CGTAGGGTGCGTCGGCTCCCCGAGCCGACGAATCAAATTCGTCCAAGCTATCGAATCCCGGAGTCGATGCGACTTCAATACCTCGACGACAACCATTGGTGGAGACCCCCATTACGGAGGGTGCGTCGGCTCCCCGAGCCGACGAATCAAATTCACCCAATCCATCGACTCCCGGAGTCGACAGCGCTTCGTCACCTTGGCTCTTATTATTGGCCAAAACTGATCCAATCAGATTCGCGTCAGCCTCCACGGCTGAGGCGTGTGACTCGCCTGCGTCATCCCTGCCCCTTGAACTCGGAGACTCTTCCTGATTCGGGTGTCGATCTCCGAGATCAACACATTTTCTCCTTCAGCCGTCGGCGGCGACGCCGACGCTTACTGCTCTTGCGCGCGTGCTCGCGCGCGCCCAGGGCGCTCCGGGACAGCGGCATTAGGCGCTGTCTCGAGTGGGGAGTCGCACGCACCGACAGGTGCGTGCGTAGCGGCAACAGGGTCATCGCTCACTGTTCCGCTGTCGCGACCGAAGCGCACGAGAGTGCGCTTCTCCCAATCGATGACCGGATCATGCCGTGCAAGCCACGGCATGCCCAATACAATGTCAAACTTATCGTCCAGATCCAGGACGATAAAGGTCTCGACAAACTCTTGATCTTCATACGTGAAGCGCACGCGTACCATGCGCTTCTCGGTTTTAACGATGGCACCCGTTGCCAATCGAACTTCCAACATACTTCGAGGTATAATTACCTCCTCGAAGTCAAGCCTTGATAGGCTTCGCAGTCGAACAAAGTTGTTCGACGCGCCCGAATCAACCAAAGCACGAAGAGAGTTGCTCTCTCTTCGAAGACACGTCCAAGATGACAAGGTTCGGTTTGTCATCATGCATTTTTGTTTTTGAGAAGGGTCCTCACTGGGGTGCTGCAGTCCTCAGTGTCGCATGTCCGAGTTGGACACGCGTGACTGCTTCACCAGTAGGGCGCCCCGCGCCTACTGGGTTCCATCGTTTTTTGTTTGTCCGCGACGATGCCCGGCATCGCCGCGTCGACCACCATCTCGGTGCACGGGTGCCGTGCACTCTCGGGCATAGTGACCGATCCTTCCGCAACGGAAGCATCGTGCATTACTTCCTTGTTGCTGTTGATAATCAGCAGCCGTTGCATTCGAGAGGTCCATTGGTTCCGGACCTCCCGCAATCGCGACCGGAGGCGGTTGCAGCCTCGGCGCATTCGCATGCAGTTTAGCCTGCCTCAGACTAAACCCCTCCTGCATTGCAAGAGTAATTGCAGCTTCGAGAGTACTCGGGTACTCACGGAAGAGATAGGTCTTCACAGGCCCATCTCTCAGTCCCTTCACGAACGTGACGACCTTGATCGCCTCGTCGATCGGATTGGTCACGATGTTCGAGACCAAGTACCGTGCTCTCTGAGCGTAAGCATGGACATCATGCTTGCCCTGCTGCAGGTCGAGGAACTCCGCCCTCGACCGGAACTCATTTTGCGGGGGCTCAAACGCTTGTCTGAGCTCCTCCTTGAAACCCTCGTACGTGCTGAAGCACGTAGGATCAGAGAGTCGGCGTCCATACGCCCAACTTCTTGCACGTCCGCCAAGGCATGACATGGCGAACGCGACCTTGGACAACGGGTTGACGATACGTCGAGCCGCAATGGCAGTGTCGAGTTCGATAAGCCACCGGAGGAGAGGCTCGCCCTCTCTTCCAACGTAATTGCTCACGCTGAGCTTCAGCGATTGCGCGCGCGGTGTCGTCCCCGACGACACCGTGGTAGACGAAGCAGCATCTCGCTGCTCCCTCATGATGAATCCCAGAGCAACACCATGTTGCTCTGTCGGCGTTAGCGTACGCAGCATCGTAGCTACAGCCGCCTCACCAATGACTGTTGACAGTCGTTGGAGAGCTTCCCACTCTGGGTCCGACAGGTGGGGACAGTCAGCGCGTGCAACGTGAGTTGCAGGCGTAGTGGAGCTTTCCATGGACACCTCCGTATCCATGGGAAGGTTCTCAGCTCCGCGTTCGTGCGGTGACGTACGAACTCAGGTAGTCGGTCGTTGGACGGACTACAAAGTGTTACCAGGTGTAATGGGCCTACCTTGGCTCACTACTACGGCTTACACGTATGCGCACGTGTATGAGGAAGCGTAGGTTTCTTTTACTTGAGTTAAGTATACTCGAGATCCACGAGTATACTTTAAACAAGATAAAGACTCCAAGTAGCGGGTTTTGGTAAAAGATGAGAACTGCTATTTTTGTTTTATGTTTCTGACTTCCTCTAAATGTAATATTCTAAACTAGGAATCTGCCAACGGCTGGTTGGCAGGATTCTGCTAACATGCAAGTCACTCATTGGCTAAAAGATGCTGCTTTCAGCCAATAGGAATCCTAAATGTGTATTCGTAAATGTATGTAGCCATTGGTGTACCTTACACCAAGGTCGAGGAAGTGTTCAAACCTCTAACAGACATCGCATCTGTTAGAGTAACAAGTGACTGTAGCCACTTGTGCGTGTAACCCCGTTACACATTTCCTCCACTATACAGTGTAGCTAACATGTGTAGTTTTCAACTAACTGTTAGTTAGTATCCAGCAGAATCAGCGAACATGTTAGTGGAGTACACTAACTGTGTATCAATACGCTAACGCCCTCTTCACGCAGCAGAGCGATGTAACAAGAGGTACTGGAACAAGTGTACACTGAAGTATAAACAGCGTCAGCAGCAGAGCGGACAATACACACATGCAGCGAGCCACACAAACACCACCGAAACCTCGTCATGGAAGATTTTTAAATGGGTCTTATGCAGAACAGGTCTTGGATTTGATTAGAGCGTGCTTTTTCGTTGAACTTGTGATTGGATCACATTTGCCATGCTTTGACGACATAAGTAGGAAAAGTCCCAGTCTCACTTTGAAACCTCAGCCGAGCGCCTACCACGACCCAAGCTTCCTAACCTCTGTCTGCGCCTCGGTGATGCCAGAGCCACATCGCCACGGACCGAGGCGTTGCAGCACCGCGGGTCGCTGCCCCTGCAACACCGCAACGGCATGCGTCGGACGGAGGAAGATGAGCAAGATCCTCGCCTTGAAGAGCTCCAGGGTAAGCGCAAGCACCACCAGCAGAGCAGCAAGGAGGCCATGGGAGAGGCCGAGAAGATGCAGCAGCACCATCGTAGTGGGCAGCAGGTGGGCAAGATGCGTCAGGAGAGCACAAGCAGTAGTCGGCCAGGAAGTGGCTTATGGAATCGATGGGCCATACTGCGCTGTGCAAGCTATACTATTTGGTGGGCGAGGACGCGAAAAGTGATGTGGTGCAGCTGAAGATGCCGTCCGTCGCGGTAAGAACAGGTGACGCACAGACCTGTGTGTGCACTCGTGCAAACGGAGGCGCTCCACATGCCTCGTGAGTGCGGAGCGCGTCAAGTCCACGCAGGTATCCGGATACATCGTTGCTGCCCCTGTTGTCCAAGTCGGCGTAGCTGACCGCTGCGCCGTGCGCCACTCCTGCCACGTGCTCAGGCTGCCGCCGCCGTTGGGCTCCGAGTCGAGCGGAAACGCGCGCACCTTTGGCTGACACCGTGAGCGAGCTTGGCTCCCGCTGGCAGATGTCTACAGAGGCTGCATCGGACGTCACGAGACGTGCCAGTCCTGTCGCCGCCGCCGCTGCTGCTGCTGCTACTCCGTCTGCTACTCCGTCTGCTGGTAAGGTTGGTCGCAGTGCAACATCTTCACTTTGGAGAGTTTGTTGCCGTGCTGCGGCTGTGGCACCTCGCTACGAGCTGAAACGCTATATATTTCTCCTAGTCAAGCAGGAGTGAAACATGTCGATCACATGCCGTAGCTAGGCTACATAATTCTAAAGTACATGTACCTGTTACTTGTTGGTAAACTAATTTTACAAGATAGGTGCTAATTGCCAACAGTAGAGTGTCGATGCTGAGAGTGTGAACGGAAACCAAACCAGGTGTGCACTGCTTTGACTAAAAAAAAACTCCAGTCGCGAATGGGATACAATGCACGCACTGCAGCAACTGCATTGGACTTTGAGCACCACTAGAAACATGAACAGCGTGTGCTATTGCAGATAATGAATCTTGCTGTCAAGAGAAGTAGGAAAGGGAGGCATGTTCGACTGCTGCGGCGACTCGTTCTACCTATCCGATACAGTGCAGTAGGTGATAGTCCATGTAAGCAGTGAATACAATGCTTTTGAACACGATCTACTGCCAAAATACCTATTGAGCCAAGGTAACCGGCCAAAATGCACACCCTTTCACGTAGATACAGCACCACGAACTGTTGCTAGAGTAGGAAGCCGAACGGAGCACGCGCTAAGGAACCCAGTCATGCCATGATCCAAAGCTGCAGGTCTTTTGATTCGGTCTCACAATCAGCATGTTCAAATCCTGGACCTGATCTGCATAAGAACCAAAATTTCGTCATTTCTTCCCTCCTTTTGAGTCTAGAACTCTTTGTCCATTCCGAGTGTGAGGAGAAGAAAGAGGTCAGCAAACAACGTGTAACACACTAAGACGAGCATTCCCCCTGTGAAATGTAACCATCTCCCTCCACAAATAGAGCCCTCCACTTCCTTGTCTAGGGTTACAGGAAGCCCATTAGACGAAGTTGGTCGCAATACCTACAAAACTCAAGATGTGTGTATAAATCTCCTCTCCGCTTCCTGTCAACCTTGTAACAACTTAGTAAACTTTGTTCCAGACGTGCCTCCACCGCCCGTCGCCTTGCTGATCGATCTCCCTCGGCGGACACAAGGCCAGAAGACAACACCCTTGCACGCACACTGTCCTCGCTACAGTTTATTGCCAGGTGAGCTCGTGATTGGTTCAAAAGATGGACCACAGTTTAGTCTAACGTCACAATCCAGCCGCTGGACCGTACTTCATCTCTGTCCATACAAACTTCAAGTTATCCAGACACTGTCGTTATCCACTTGCATATCAAAACCCAATCAGACTGATAGCGGAGCCCAATGGCGTCGCCCTCGCCGACTACGACGACGCGCGCGCGCTCCATCCAGACGCTGGACGGCTACGTGAGTCGCGGGCGCGCGCCGCCGAGCTCCGTGCCGCGCGACCACGCGACGCTGCAGGACTTCGCGGCGTTCCTGGAGCTGCGCCTCAAGTCGCAGAACGTGTCCTTACTGCGGCGCGTCTTCGCCGACTTCCTCAACGAGCAGGAGCACACGCTCGTGCCCCTGATGCGGCAGGGCGTGAGCATCATTACGGTGTTCCCCGTGCTGCGGACGAACCCCCAGCGGCGGCGGCAGGCCCAGCGGCTGCTGGCCAAGCCCAAGAGCCACCTCGACCCGCGCGGCTGCGTCTTCCTCTACCTGCAGTACCGCGCGGCCACGAGGAACATGGCGCTGCTCAAGCACATGTTCCTCGAGTTCGTGGGCCACAAGGAGGCGTCGCTGCTGCGGTTCGTGGAGAGGGGCAACGAGGTCATCAGCGTCATCCCCTTCGAGCTGCCGCGCGTGATCCTCCCAGCTCCAGCTCCTGCTGCACCTGCACCTGCAGAGGCGGCTCCAGAGCAGCAGCTAGTAGAGTCCCCTCGGGCGGTGGAGGCGGCAGTGGAGCAGCCAGTTGAAGCGGAGAGGAAGAGGCGGAAGACGCGCTCGAAGGAGCGGAAGAATGTCAGGCCAGCGGAGCCGAAAGAATTGGCGACGGCGTCTGCAGTGTCGTCGGAGAAGCAGCGTGCAGAAGTGAGCTCCAATCCGGGTGCAAACCAGGGGAAACGAGAGAGACGTAAGAAGGTCGAGACGCAGGACGATGCTCCTGCTACTCCTGCTGCTGCTACTGCTCCTGTTGCTACACTGCAGCCAGACGTGGCTGTGGCTGCGGAGCCTGAGCGTGATCAAAACAAACGGCGAAGCAGACGCCTTAGTGCTGCTGCTGTTGCCTCTGCCGTCGCCTCCACCACCACTGAGTCTGCTGCCAGCGAACAAGACCATCAAGAGAATACTGGGGCAACAGCGAGTTCTGGATCGGGGGATGCAGACGCGAGCCAGGTGAAGCGAGGAAGGCGCAAGAAGGTTGGAAAGAAAGACAATTGTGTTGCTGCTACAGCAGCTTCAGTTCCTGTCGCTATACAGCAGCAAGTTGTGACGGAGGCTGTCGATCCTGAGCGTGTCGTTAAACGACGAAGCAGACGTATTAGTGATGCTGCCGCCGCAGCCAACACTGAGCCTGCTGTCAACGAAGGCAATCAAGAAAGCAGTGTGCCTGATGCTCCCAGTGCTGCTGTTGAGTCGGCCCCAGCGCGTGGCGAGAAGCCGAAATCGAGCACTGCATCACAAGAGAAGGCTGCTGCCACACCAGTGGAAGCTGTAGCCCCTCAGGCTGCCGGTACACCTCCAACTACTGCTACCCCCGTCGAAGCGCCGCAGGACCCTCCGAAGGCCAAGAGAGGACGAAAGCGCAAAGCTGAAGCAGACAAGCAGAAAGATGGCTCACACACCGCTGTGAAATCACACAAGAGGGGGAAACCAGTCATGAGCGAAGCCATGTGCCGCAGCCAAGAGCAGTTGACGCGCAAGATGGAGGCTTTCGAGGCGCAGATTCCGTGGGAGGCGGTCTTTGGTAATTTACCGCTGCCGTTCGAGGAGGAAAAACACCCGGAGTTGGCCAAGAAGCTCCACCGATTCTGGCACAAACACTCGCGCGCTGTGTGGGAGCGCAAGTTCTGGGCCCCGATGTCTCGTAAGATGAACGCCTTCGCCTTCAACAAGCGCAACAACCGCCAGATTTCCGCCAAGAACGCGTTTGAAACCATCATTCTGGCTGCGTACGAGCAGCTCGGAGCCGCCTTCTTCGTCAGGCTGGATATGCAGCAGCCGCGCCACCCTGGTTGGTGGTACCGAAGCCCCGTCGTAGCTCTCTTCGCTCTCCAAGAGGTCAAGGGTGAGGACGCGGTCTGGGACTACGTCAAGAACGACGCGCTCGAGCGCTTCCCCGACTGCAAGCTGCCGATTCCGATCAAGGCTACGAACTACGGCGCAGTGCAGAACTGCCACAAGAGCGCGAGTGAATCCATGTGGATGGCTAACCACCCGCTGACCCCAACGTGGCTGGGCGAAATTGCTGCACTCAAGGCGAAGCAGCAAGCGCATGGAACTTCTGGTGAAGAGGCTGGGGTAAGCCAACCTTCAAGGGGACCTGATCGTGAGCCGGAGAATGTAATGACTGTGATGGACGCACTTGGCTTCACTTGAGGGAGACGCCGTGTGAATTGTGGATATGTTGAATTTTTACATGTCATCTTCAGCTCAGTGAGAGCAAAAACAGGGGTTTACAATGAACAGGTTGGTAAATGTAAGTAAGCTTGTTTGTTTATTAAAGATAGATGGCTACACGCACCAACATTGGTTTGTCTAGCCTGCCTACCGGTAGCAACTTTTTGATGAGCAACTGAAATGTTTCACTCAGGGATCTTTATCCATCAGCACTTTATCATTTGGGGCCACAAACCTGTCAAAGAGTTGGACTTAGCACAGTACCGTAAGAAGTACCGTCGATAGCCGATTGCTGTCCAGGTGACCGGTACAGCGTTGCAGCACAGGTGTCAAACTGCAACGCAACTCAAGAAGCGGAACGCGTCGCAACGAAGTCTAAGCTAGGCACGTTTTGCGGTTTCATTACAGAACTGCTGCAGATACGCACATGTATCAAACCAATTGACTAGTAGTCCATTACGTACTTACTCCAGGACTTCGTACGACCGCAAAGAAATATCACGATCCAGTAACACCACATTGGATCGCCATCGAGTTTGCTCGTCAGTATATGGGGTACATCGAGCAAGCATATTGTAAATTACCAGTAATTATTAAAAATAAGCTATGGCAAACCAGCAACGCATCCGAAACGACTTAAGCGTGCCCAAAATTGTGCAACCTCCGAAGAATGGCTTGAATTACCGGTGTGGAACGTTTGCCACAGGACAGCACCCAGTTGCTTGCATACTCATGCCTTCGCTGCCAGCAAAAAATAAACTAGCGCTGCTTGTGTGCCGTCCTAATTGTTTTTCAAGATTAACAGGCGCTGCCAAGGTGTAGACGCGGTAGTTAATCTAAGTTAGAAATTGTCGCGGTTTAGAACGTGATGTACCCCCTCAACTCAACCCAACATATCGATGATGTGCTCGTGCAGGCACTCGTCTACGGTAAAAGTTCCGCGGTAGATAACACTTACGATCGTTGTGTAATTAACCTAAATGCACCTTGTACACACAAGTGTAGATCGAGTTACCAGTGACAAGCATTGCCAAAGGGTGTAGCTTCAGCCGTGTTGTGCTGGTAGTCAGAGCAAGGCGCCATCGATTCAGGAAATAAAATTAGGACCGGTCTGGCGTTCGAGTCATCTATGATTGCATTAACTACTACGCGACAAGTTGCACGTAACATTACCGTAGTCTAAGCTTGCCAAAAGCCTTTGCCCACTGGCTTGATCAACTGTTTCAACCTTTAGCCGTGCATGCAGTTTGCAAATATAGACGGTAAGTAATTCCAATTGATTTGTTGCTGTTCTTGCATTCATTCGGAGCACTTCAAGTCGTCATGCAGTATAGGAACGGTTTTACAGATACAAACTGTTGGCCTAATAAGCAGACCCGGTTGGCAGATATTTACAGGTTCCGGCGTAAATAATTTTGTGCAAGGCATTTCACTATCGGTGCCCAGACGTGCTCAGCAGAAAATGTTGTATAGCTAAAATTCAGTGCTGCTTAGGTAGAGGGCCCTTTTCAGGAAGCTGAAAGCAGCGAACGAGAACTCCTGGAATGACATTTAATTAGGAACAGCCTACAGCGACACCAGGACTTTATAGTTCTAGTTACGTGCTTCTTGGAAATAATAGAGGACCTTTTAGAGCTCTCCCACTAAAGAGTTGATGCAAGTGTCAAATTCCGCTACGACATTTATTGTGCTCAATAGCTTCCTCTCTTCGATGCCTTTGCGTCACTTATTGCTCGTTTTAGCTATAAACTAAACTTATTTTAATACTGCAAGCAGAAATGGATCCGAGGAATGTTTTGTTACATGAAGGAGCTTCATAAAGCTCATACGCCTGGACAGCAATCGGCTATCGACGGTACTTCTTACGGTACTGCGCTAAGTCCAACTCTTTGACAGGTTTGTAGCCCCAAATGATAAAGTGCTGATGGATTTGTGGCCCCTTTTGATAAAGATCCTTCACTCACTGAAGTAGTGCTCGATTACCCAGTCCTGAATATCCGAGTCGTGGACCGCCATGCTACCCGCGGCTCGAGTGCAGCCTTCACCTGTGACTCTGTGAAGTAGCAGCACAGCTTCAAAGTGGCCGCCCAATGCTGCGTTGTCCATTGCTGCAGTCGTACAACCTTCACCCCGATTCTCATGCAGCCAACGAATCGTCTTCACATCACCACTTCGAGCTGCGTTATCCATTGCTGCAGTAGTACAGCCTTCGCTCCGGTTTTTGTGTAGCCATTTCACAACGTCCAATGCTCCAGCGGCAGCCGCGCCGTCCATTGCAGCACTGGTGCAGCCTTCAGCTCGATTATGCTGTAGCCACTTGACGACTTCGAGATGACCGCCGCTTGCCGCTCCATCCATAGCAACCGCCTTCTTGTCGATTTTAATGAAGCCACTGTACTACATTCAGGTGTCCTCCAGTAGCGGCTCCGTCCATCGCTTTCATGCTGCAACTTTCACATCGATTATGATGTAACCATTCCACCAATTCAAGATGCCCATTGCTTGCAGCGTCATCCATTACATCCTTTGTGCAGCCTTCGTTGCGGTGCTCGTGCAAATATTGCACCACCTCCAAATGTCTGTTTCGCGCCGCAGAATCCATGGCGTCCGTCGTGCAGCCCTCAGTTCGGTTCTCATGAAGCCACCAAACGATTTCGAGGTGGCCATTAGCTGCGGCTCCGTCCATCGCGTCTGTCGTGCACTGAGGTCTGATCGGCTTCTCCTTCTTCACTCCATCCGGGTATATGGCTGCATAGTAGCAGGGAGCTTTTAGAAGCTTTTGTTTCTCCTTTTCCCGCTTTTGCTGCCGCCAGTGGAGCGCGAGTGCAACCGCTTCCTTGCCCATTTCATGTGTATACTGAACGATTGCTAGATGGTCCGTTAGCCGCCGCAATGTCGATAGGTGTTTGGAGTTTCTCGGCTGTGTAATCGTAGATTCCGAAGAGGTTGACCCTTGGATTGACCCCGAGCTCCGTGTAAAGCCACTCCACAATATCCAAACGTCCATTTCTTGCGGCAACGAGCATCGTTTCTTCAGACAGATAATTGCTGTAGTGCTCTCGTTCAAATACCCCCCAAAGTGTTTCGAGCGTCCTGTCCAGTCTCTCCTTTTCTCTCCACCTGCCAGAGGTTTGTCCACACAGGCGAAAAGATACTTGGCTACCTCAAGATGGCGCTACACTGGCCTCTGCACCGACATTGGTGATATGAGGACGGCGCGTCATGTTAACAGCGGTATGAGTGCTCTCACCACCGCTGTGGTAGCCATCTTCGCTCTCAAGATGGGTATCATTGTGATAATCCTCAACTTCTCCATCGTATTCGATCAACCAGCGCACAACTTCCATCTGACCCTTCTCCACTGCAGCCACGAGCACTCCTCGGTCAAAGTGCATTTCTTCCTCCTCCAGATCTTGCTCGTACAGCCTCTTCACCTCGAGGTGCCCATTTGCAGCAGCTTCCCTAATATCAACCTCAATCTCTAGGCCGATCTTGTCGTCCAGCCACTCGAAAAACTCCACATTACACATCACTGCCGCAGCCTCGAGACTTTCCTTCTCGTCCCTGTACTCAACGTTCACGTATTTGTAGAGCCAAAGAGCCATCATCTGGCAACCCGCACGAATGGCGTTCGCTGCGTCCTTGCCTCACCACATCACGCGTCTCGCGAGGCCCTTCTCTTCCTCAGTTTTCTCATCGTCGCTCTCTAATAGCTCGTCGTTGTCATTATCTAGGAAGTAGTCCAGGATCTCCATGTCCCCCACTGCCGCGGCCTCCTCCACTACTTTTCGAGTTACGCCAAACCCACCTCGAAAATGATGGAACAGCCATTTCGTCATGGCTACATCACTGCGCCTCTCAGCTTCCCGGAGCGACAGGTTGAATTGATGTCGTTGATAGAACTCTTCCGACTGCATCAGGCCCCGAATGGACCAGGACGAGTCTTGGTCGAACTTGGCTCTCCAGAATGCGATCCAGCAGCGTCAGCGACCCGAACTTGCAGGGTTTGGCCAGTGGGAGCTCCACCGACGCGTCCGCAAACATGGATACAATCCGCTCCACATGGTGAAGGGCTTCAACCTCGGGCTTTGAGCGAAAGATCAGCGTCACAACCAGCAGAGATGGCACCATTGCAACCGTGTGTCCCTTGATCGTGAGTGCAGCCATTTGAGACTGCCTCGAACAAAATGATACTAAGCCACCATTTAGAGTTATCGAGATAATAGCGCTTGAAAATTGGCTGCTATTTTTCGTATCTAAGTGAAGTTTCGAGAAAGGGCCCGATTTGTGATTTGAAAACCTGAACTGTCACTAAAGCGAACGCTCCCTCAACACCTCACTCTCAAAGAAGATCTACACCACCGCCGACATGGAAGCCCACCGCTCGACCTCCGAGCTGCCATCGCAGACCTCCAGCGGCCCCGAGTCGTCGCCCGCCGGCACACAGGCTTCCGGCGCTCTCGCGTCACAGTCCGTTGGTGCCTCGGAGCCGCCCGCGTCCCCTCCCTGTCAACACCCCCCCCTCCTCCCAAGCAGCATATGCCGTACGCGCCCGAGCAGCACGTTTCGGCAACTCCTGGGCAGCACCTTGCGCGCACCTCCGATCCGCAGTAGGAGGAGAGTGCCTCCGAGCTGCACGAATCACCGGCGTGCACGCCTTCTCGAACCGATCGGCAGCGCAACCAGAAAAATCGACCCCGCGTGACCTCCCCGCACGTTGCGGCACATGCCGCCAGCGACGTCTCGTCTGAGAGCGAGGAGCCTGATGAAAGCAATGATGATGAAAATTGGAGCACGGCCGAGTCAGCTGAAGAGGATAGAGAGGTGACGGGGGACATCGAGGGAATCGAAGACGATGAGCAAGCCGAGGAGGATATAAGTATCAATTTGATCGAGGTTGATATTCACCAGAAGGTGACAGGCCTTATCAGAGCTGATAAGTGTGAGCGTCGCTGCCTTCAGGGAAAGGCTCAAGAGCTGCAGTCTCTGGTTAGTTCAAAAGTGTAGCAATGTACGTCGTTTAGCTCAGCTGATCAATCAATGTGATACTTATGTCCATGCTAATCCAAAATGATATCAATTGACAGCATGTGTCACTAATATGAAACATCGCGCGAAAGTGAAGTTTTAAGACTATTTCAATGCGAATTTGAAGAAACGAAGGGTATCATTGGATTCGCTGTACAATTTTACACCAGGGTAGCCAATACAAAAAAAAAAATCTTAATTTTGCTCTGGGACGGGAGATAATTTTTTCGCGGGGTCATATCTTTGGCTAATCTAACTGTTAGAAGTTGTGGAGGGCCTCAAAAGATAGCTAAGACGCCCCTCTTTCCAACGAGGTACCTAAATCCCAATTCGTACTTTGGTTGATTAGTATCTTTTTGTTCGACGCGGTCTCATTTTATCCTCTAATCGTTACTTCAGAACCGTTACTTCATCTTCACTCATCATGGCTGCATCGTCGCCGCCGTCGCCAAGGTATCGTCCGTCGCTGTCTTCTGCAGTCCACGACGCGCTCTATTCATACTGGAGACTGCCTGCTCCCACCCGTTCATCGCTGCAGTCGAGTGTACCCAAGTTCCGAGTGGACGTCGATGGAGTCGTGACTCTGGACTGGAATTCGTGGCTCAGTCGTGTCAAAGCAGATGTAGCCATCACGAATGAGATCGAGGCGACGTGGGCTCTAGCTATTGAGGCAGAACACTTCACTACTACTAATGAGGTCGTAGACTTGGGTCGAGACAGTCGATCTCCCAGTTGGCGAGCAGTTCGAGGCTTGACCCATTCCACTTCACTGGGAAAAGTGGCCGAGATGCTGCGAGACGAGAGCGGCGAGTTCTTCTTGGCGTTCGTGGTGGGGGTGACGATACTGGAGAAGGCACTGTACGATCTTCACGACCAGAGATCATCGCCTTCTGGACCCGTGAAGAAGAAGAAGAACATGATTCTGAGAGACTTGCTGCACTCGGGCACGCTGGAGGACGCCCTACCGCCCGGTTTGTTGCGGCTGCTGAAGGTTCTGTTCCTCCCGTCGGGTCTGAACCTGCGGAACTTGGTGTGGCACGGCTTCATGGCTCCTGCCGAGTTCCCCAAGTGCTTTGGCTGCCTCACGCTGCTGCTCATCATGGCACTGCCGAGGTGTTTTGACCACCGGACGGAGGAACTGCTGACTGAGATTGAGCATGGGGACACGGAGCTCTTTCGTATCGACAGTTTTAACGCTAGATTTGTTACGAGAGAGGAGACAGTGATCGGGGAGGAGGAAGATGGCGAGTTGAACCAGGATCCCATCGCTGTGCTTCGTCATGAAACGCCAGCGACGAGGAGTGAAGTCATCCGGAGGTGGTCCACTGCTGCTTTCGTTCCTATGGGGAGGTCGAATCTGCTACGACGTGCGATTGAGGCTTTGGTGGATCGAGGAGACGAGTTGTGGTTCCTGTTCGCTATTTTCCCTGTATTGGAGCACGCGCTGCGAATTGAATTTCTCCGTCTGAATCAGGAGCGCGCTGGATTGTCCAGTGCCTACGGTTTGGCACAGATCGACGCGTACTACTCCACTCTGGACGGCTTCGGCCAGAAGGACAAGCACCAAGTGCTGCTCCACCCTGTGGTTCTAGTCGATGGTGGTGACAGCGATGAGCGTGTTGGGGCTGAAGCAGATGACAGTCCAAACGACTCAGTGACGAACGCTTTGTACGAGGAATTACCCTTTGCGTCTCTGGCTGTGCTGCTGGATCTCTTCATGATGTCGAGTGGGCCCAATCTTCGTGCCAAGCTTTGTCATGGCGAGGCTAATCTGGCAGGTTTCCTCTCAAACTGGAGCCAAGGTGCTCCTTCAGCTGTCACAGAGGTCTCATCAGCGACTCGACTACTGTTTGAAGTGCTAATTCTCCTCTGCGAACGGAGCCGAGGTCCACACGAAGACGACGATACGCTCCCGAGTGCCGTAAGTCGCTGTCTACAGTCATTTGGCTCAGCTACAACATCTTCCTTTCACCCGTTCTACCGCTTACACCGCGCTCTTAGCGCGGTTTACAAGGTTGCGCTGGACTTCGCAGCTTTTCGAGAGCCTTATACAGCGTATCGTCTGGAAGAATTACACGCGGCTGGTGAAGACGAATCAAAACGGCAGGCAAGCCTCACTCGAGTTGAATTTGATTCGATCCAAGTCAGTGGTGGTGCCACATTCGCGTTGATGGAGAAAACAGATCGAGTGGCAGAGTTTCAAGCAGCGTTGGCAGTAAAGGAAGACGCTGGAACTCAATCACTTGCCACGAAGAAGAAAAATAAGAGCTTCGCGTCCTTGATCGGGCAGCTCAAGGACCAGTTGGAGATAATTGCGACTCGTATCCAGAAGGACTTCGAGGTAAATCACTGCACAAACAACGGAGTTGGTCGACGCAGCGTCTTCCTCAGCGTTGATGGCGTCCGAAGCCCCTTGAATCTCTTGGAGCGGTCAACGGAGCGGAGCCTGTTGGCTTTGAGTGATCCAGATGGGCTCAGCGTGGCTTCGTGCATGATGGAGGTCATCGCGTGCTGCCAGCGCTCCCTCCAGACCTTTAGAGAGCGAATCGAGCAGCTCCAGCAGCTCGTGACGCAAGGAAAAGCTCGGACGAACCACCGGCGCTCGTTGCTCACGAGTATTTTCTTCCTCCCAGTCTTCGAGCGCATGCAGCTAGTGAGTCTAAGCATCGTCGAGCATCAGTTGCTGCACCTACACGACGTTGCCACAGTCACAAGCACCAGCGCAGATTCAGCGGCGACGAAGGCGCCTGCACTTTGCCCTCGAGCCACGCAGATCGAGCAGCTTCAGCGCAAACTCCTGCAGTGCATCACCTCGTTCGAAGGCTGCACGGGCAGCACTGAGGCGTCTCAAAAGAGTGGCGAACAGGCAGTCGAACGAGCGTTGCAGTTCTTGAACTCAAAGGCGATGAAAGCAGCGTTTCCTTCAGCCTTCGACATGAGACGAAGAGCAAAGACGATAGATGAATGAACACCCGGTGTCAAAGAGGGGGATAGCTGGATGATCTGTGAATACTCAATGTTCACGATACACATGAGCGGGTTTTACGCTTGTCGATGCAGGGTTGCAAGAGCTCAAGGCACTGGGACCCTTCAAACAAGAACACCCTCAAGTTCTTCTTCTAACATCGTACCTAAACTCAATAAGCACTCATTCTTGCTAACTATTGATCGCAGCTACATACTCACTTCAGAACGTCGAAAGGAACCACATAAGTTTAGATCTGGGCGATCGTCGAGTTGATACGCACAGGCGAACTGAACGTGTCGAAGGAGCGAATCGCAGCTTCATCGCGGTCGATGCGTTTGTCGTCCAGTTTCTTCTTCTTGGTAACGTAGGCCACAGCGGCCAGGACGATGCCGCCCACAACCGCCAGCACCACGAGAGCCACGATGACCGGGCTCGTGCCGCCAGAAGTCGCCTCGGTCTTGGTGTTCGCCTGCTTCGTGTCGTCCGATCCCGCCTTTTGTGCCGTGCTGTCAGATTCGCCGTTCTCCTCCTGGCTGGTAGGGGTCTTTTCGACGCCGGCCGCAGAAGACTGGAGGATTGACACACCACTCGAAGACTCGTTCGCGGCAGTCACCTTTCCAGCCGTGTAGCTGCCTAAGCTGCCGGACTTGAGAGTATCGAAGCTGTTCACGTCGCTCTGCTGCTGGGTCTGAGACTGAGACGCACTGCCGCTAGTAACAGGTGCAGCCGTGGTCGCAGTCGGCGTTGCTGTCGTAGGTGTCGGAGCAGCAGTCGTCGGTGTCGGTGTCGGTGTTGTCGGTGTCGGTGCCGGTGCCGTCGTGGCAGGAGCCGACGTTGTCTGACTAGTTTGACTGGTAGAGCTCTGCTGCGTCGTGCTGCCGCCGAAGTTGGACGTGCCGTCAGTGCACTTGTCGGCCGTGAGCGACAGCGTCTCGGTGATGGTCTCCCCCGAGATGGACGTGAGCTCGATGTCCACCGCCGACATGTCGACGTTCGAGCCGCCGTTGAGCAGGAAGTAGTAGCACGAGTCCACCATGGTCACGTCCTGGTTGGCGATCTTCATGCTCGCCACGCCGTTGGCAAAGTTGGCGGGCTGCACGGCCAGCCACGAGCTGCTGCTGCCGCTCTTGGTGCAGTACTGCACGTTGCCGCTCACGGGGCAGTCCACGAACTTCCACCTGATGCTGTACCGGGACGGGTCGCTGCCCGTGAGCTGCTTGAACACGGTCGGGGACAGGTCCAGGTCGCCTTGGCTGCACTCGGGGCACTTGTCCACGATGAAGACCGTCACGGTGCTGCTCGTGTCGCTGCAGCGCGAGTCGGCGCACGAGACCTCGGCGCACCGGCCGCAGTTGAGTGTCGAGTCCCATTGCTCGCTGTTGAGCGCCGCGTAGTAGTCGCCCACGCCGGGGTCGTACATGAAATTGCAGTTGCCGGCCGACACCTGGCCCAGCGTGTAGGACGTGCCTTCACCGGCGAAGTACGTGTCGCCGCCGGCAAGGGCCATCGCCGGCAGTGCCACCGACAGGAGCGCAATTTGCCGGAACATCACAATGAAATGATCGATTCCAAGTGCCTGCTGAAGCGCGGTAGCTAATGCGCTGCAACGGGCACGGAACTAGAAATGAGCGCCACCGAACCGACTGACTGCCATAGAGTCTCAACTGTACGAGTCAAAGAGGCCCGAAAAGGCTGGAGCGGTGCAGATCGAGCCGATCGAGCCTGAAATCCCGCAAGAAATGGTCCCACCCCGTACAAAGGCATCGCAACTTACACAATTGAAAGTGGAGCTTCCTCGTTTTGCCGAGAAATTCTTGGCTGCATCGGTGCCCTTCAAGAATGACAACGCGCAGATGAAAAGAGTGGGCTAGCGCTTCAACTCTCGTAAAATACTTGGGACAACAATGCCTCTACGGAGTCGTACGCGTAAATGTAGACTCGGGTGGCAACGGAAATATGCGAGGAAGGGCTCCCACCCCACGGTTGGTGACGCAAATTATGGCAAAGAATACAAATAATAATAAACGCTTGTCGCCGGAAGCTTTGCTTTATACAAGGTACGGTAGGTGAGGCTTCGTACGCGACCCGATCCGGGCGCCACGCCACCATCGTGTGTATTATAGTTACGACTGCGATGGGAGCGGTTCCGTTGCCACTCGCCCCTTTGAAAACAGAGAAAACTAACTCATGGAGCACGCATATACACACTGCCGGTCGATCGAAGCCACACCCGCTTGTCTTGCAAAAATGGGGGCAAACTGGAAAACCTGGGCTTAGATCTTGGCGATGGTCGAGTTGATGCGCACGGGCGAGCTGAACGTGCCGAACGGACGAGCCAGGTCGTCGATGCTCTTCTCCTTCATCTTCCTCTTCTTGGCGCTGACGGCAACAACCGCGAGGGCGACGCAGCCAACAGCAGCCAGCACCACGAGCGTCACGATGCCCGGACTCGTGCCGGTAGAGGAAGCACCGGAGTCCTCCGACTTGGTGTTCGCCTCCATCTGGGTCTTGTCAACCGCAGCATCGTTAGACTGCAGGATGGACACGCCCTTCTTGGACGACTCGTCCGCAGCAGCCACTCTGCCGGCCTTGTAGTTGTTGGTGCTGCCCGTCTTGAGGTCGTCAAACGTCTCGGCCTCCGTGAGCATTCTAGCCGCCACCTTGGACGTTCCCTCCTTGCACTCGCCCGCAGTGAGCGCCACCTTGTCCTTGACGACCTTACCCGAGGCCGACGTAAGCTCGACATCCACCGCCGACAAGTCGGCGTTCGCTCCCTTCACCTGGAAGAAGTAAGCGCCAGTGTCCGAAAGGGCCGCGTCCAGGCCGGCAATCTTCATGCTCGCCACGCTTTCCGCGAAGTTGGCGGGCTGCACGGCGAGTCTCGAGCTGTTAGTGAGGCTGTCGGCGCAGTACTGAATGTTGCCGGTGGCAGGGCAGTCCACGAACTTCCACTTTATGCTGTACTGGGACGGGTCGCTGCCCGTCAGCTTCTTGAACGCCGCCGGGGACAGGTTCAAGTCGCCCTCCTTGCCCTCGGGGGTTGTGTCGACAATGTGAAGCGTGGCGGTGCTGGTCTTGTCAGCGCATCGCGAGTCGGCGCACGAGACCTCGACACAACGGCCGCAGCTAAGCGCCGATCCCCACTGGGCTCCGTTAAGCGCCGCGAAGTTTTCGCCGATGTTGGCGTCGTACATGAACTTGCAGGTGCCGCCCGAGACCTGTCCGAGCGGGGTCGCAGCGCCGTTGCCGGTGTAGTACGTGTCGGCGCCGGCACGGACCATTGCCGGCAGGACCGCCGCCAAAATCGAAACCTGTCGGAACACCATTCTCCAGGCCGAGTCTGTACTGTACCGAAGTTGAGTGCTGGAGCGGAGAAACCTGGAATGAGCCCACAGACTACGTAGGGCTTTCGACGGCGCGACGAAAGCCAGAAATGCAGATCAAGCCGATCGAGCATGGCCATCTTGCACAAGAGCGGACCAAAACCGCTCGTACATATGTAATTTGACCTCTGCACGTTGCACTGGTCAACGACTGTATGGGTGGCGCTGAATTTGCTGTCCGATTGTTTTCCGGCACGCATTACTATACCGTGGCCTATCCCCCTCCTAAACTTCTGGCCCACATGTGCGGAGGACGCACGTGTGTATACGCTATGGCCGAAAGCGCATGCTGGCGGCGGATAACTTTGAGCAACACGAGACTAGTTACAGAAGACAAGTTTTTTTCGTGCTAAGCAAGCTTGTGCCATTTTCGACCGAGAAAGTATCGAGCAATTAATTATTCATGAACACTTTGCAATTAGCGTCTCGAGGGGGTTAGTATTAATACGCTGCGGCAGGGAGTTGGCGAGGGGCGACGAGCTGGGCTGCGAGTTTGGCTAGGGTTTCCATAGTCGCGTACTCTTTCGTTGAAAAGTTATCGTGCGGCTTGAAGTCGGATGTGCACAACGACGCCACGATGGCTCCGTCGGGCGCTCGAATGGGGAACCCGGCGTAAAACTTCACACCGGCGTCCTTGATGATTGTCATCTGAGCGAAGCGCATGTCACGCTGCGGGTTTTTCACCACCAGCGGCTTATCAGCGTACACCGTGTGCGCGCACATATTCTCATCCCGAGGCGCGACGTTCATCTCCGGAGGACGCTGAGGGAAGGTGCCCACCGCGTGAAAAGTATCCTCGCCCACCATTGACACATATCCGACGGGGCAGTTGAGCTGCCTGGCTGCCACTTGAGCCAAAAGGTTGAGAGCTGCACGATCGTACGTCGGGTCCAGGACACCAGAGTTGTTGATGTACTGCAGCCGCTTGCACTCCATGTCTTGCTCAGGCATTGGCGGCAGCGGGTGGTTCGGGTCGCGAGTTCGGTCGCCGTCGAACTCGAACGCGTAGTCGCGCTCCAAATCGGCCACCTCACAGTCCTCGGGCCTCGTGCACTTTTCAGCCACACGCAAGCTCCGCTTCAGGTGGTGCTCGATATCCCTGCGCACCTTCTCGGCGAGGTCCTTGGGTGGTTCGGTAGTGGTGCTTGCGTCTGCGCTTCGGTTTAGACTGCAGAGAGCCCGATGCGGTGGGGCTCACCAATCGGCCGAGCTGTTCAAGAGCGTGAGATCTCGTGGTTGGGTCTTCGGAAGACAATTGGTCGTGAAGCAGGTCGTTGGGCGAAGAGTACTCACGAAGGATAGGAGTCGTCACCTCGGTATCACTGTCCGAGAACCAGCGATCGTCGCTTACGACCGTGGGTCCCAACGCTGCAATGAGGTTCTCGTCCTCGAACTTGCAGGCGTCGACGCGCACGACGCACTCGACGCAGATGCGGTTCTTACGCACCTCGCCGATGTGGGCTTCAACCTCGTACAGTTGGGAGCAGTCTCTGCAGACCATGTGACCGCAGAGCTGACAGAAGAAGTCGCGGCGGATCAATGAGAACCGCTTCTGGCAAATGGAGCACGACTTCAGCTCCGGATCACCCACGGACGCCGTGTGGAAGTACACAAACGACTGGAAGTCAAAGCGACGTCTTCGAATCACACGCTCAAACTCGCGTAGCGATTGAGTGAGCAGGTCCAGGACGTGCTTCGCTTCAGGGTTCATCATTGCAGCCCGACGTCGCGTTACTTGAGACTTGTTCGGAGCTGCGATTCGCGATAGTGGGCCCGGGCTGTAGGCGCCGAACGCCTCGGGCGGTGTCACCGCAGCGTACCCGTGTGCTATTATGGTGGTCGATTGGCTGCTGCTACCGCCAGGTGCTGGTGTGGATTGGATATCAAACCCCACAGCAAGATGGTCGAGCTGGTGGCGCAGCGCCGTACGCTCGGAGCGAGGCACCAGTTCGTCATGTACATGCTTCGGAAGAGTCTTCATCACGTGCACCGCGCGGTCCTTGCTTGCGTATTGGTGGGTGAACGACGCAAAGCAGAGCTTCTGCGGCAGCCGGTGCTTCTTCGACTGGAACTTCATGTGCAGCATCGGCTGCAGCGTCGCCATGTTCACGGTGATCAATACCTTCTGGCCCTCGGCTCCTTCCGGAGGTGAGCTGTTGTCGGATAAAGTTTGACGCGATTCCTCTGAGAAGTGGCAACGCTGCTGGAATACGGTGCGGGCGTCACAAAACTTTTTGCCGCAGAGCGCAGCCATGGTGCTCTGGTAGTCGCTGGACTCACGGTTGATTAACACGTTGAGGACTTCGTTCAAGTGGCACTTGATCTCCGTCTTGGCCAGCGACGCGTAGGCCAGATCCATGTCGTCCGATCTGTTGGAGCTCGGCATCAATTCGTACGCTGCGATGCCTCCCTTGCAGCTCTTGCGGCGCCACAGCGGGCTGCCTCGCGCATCCATCACGATGGCCGCGTGCAGCTTGGGGACGGTGGCCAACAGGTCGTCGGCCATCTGCTGGTCCGTGAACAGCATGCTCTCCTTCCCGCGACTGCCTCGGATCGCCAAGCCATCTCGTCGCTGCTGCTCCTGCGGCGGTCGGTATGAGTTGAACGTCGACAACTTGCGGTGCGACGTTGACGCGCGGGCGCGCGATCCAGACCGACCCGACCGGATGCTGCCCGAGCGACCGGATTGAGTGCTCATGTCGGAGTTGCGGGCTGTTTCGTTCGAGCAGTGCGACGCAGATTAAGGAATGAGTGGTGACATGCAAGCTGCTCACGGAGCGGAGATCGTGTTGGTCGCATCCTGCGCGGCAGACGGCCGTCCTGGTGAGCTGGTGAGGATGCAAGTGGGACGAGTCCGTGGCCACGTTGCAGCAGGATAGACCAGGTGCCACCCCTCACCAAAATGCGATTCCTTTATGGACTCGACAGCGTATGACGCTGCTGGTGAAGGATGAAGGGCGCTGGCGAAGGATACAGAGGTGTAGTCGTTCATCTTTTTAGCTGGACGCTCTGATGCCGTCATGACGGTGATAAACTACTCGCCAGCCGCAGCAACATCATCATACAGGTATGATAGAGGAAAATCTGCTGGTCGTTTGCTCCTCGATCGCCGCCTCTACTCACCCGTCACTATAATACGAGCGTCGTTCGTGTGGTACACGAGTGACGACGCTGGAAGAGATCAAGCAATCGCTATGAACGCGTCACTTTGGCGCCACCGTGGTCCACTCGCAACGCCGACGGCATTGGTCGGACGTGAAGCGAACACCTTTAGTCTTTGAGTCTCACGATGCCGTTAATGTCGGCACAGGCAACTCCTAAGGTTTTCTATGGGTGAGACCTTGTTGAATTCAACGATGCGTCCGTATTGTGCTGCTTTTACGGCCCGAGCACTCGCAGTAATCTGCCACGCATGAGAGGACCCCTCCGTCTGCCACTGGCAATAGCAGACTGCCAGACTGCCACTACTAGTCGACCAGGTGACAGGTCATTATTTGAAGTCGTTTTAGTTTACCGGATAGGTCCAGCTCGTCCAGACGATTGCACAAGCCCCACGCATACTGGTCTAGGCAGGCACAGGAATTCGATTTATGGTTTTCTTTCTGCATGCTGCCTTGCATCAATCGGTATCTTTGCTCTGTGTGGGTCTGGTTGCATAGTACTCGGTGAACACTAGCTTGGATGACCTGGCCTGCGTAGGTTCCTCACAACCCGCACCAACGGTTCACGCGATTAAGCATCTTGGTTCAGAGTATTCGGTGAACAGCTCAAAACATCAGCGCGTTTGTGCGATCGCGGGGTACGGTATCGGCAGAGACAGTCGTCAACAACGGACCCATTGGCTCCGTCTGCACTGATAGCATGCAAGAAACAACGTGCACCGTGTATTTGGCTCGCATTATCGCATCGCAGAGCTGCTCGTACTTGGGATATCCGAATCATCCGCTTCGCTTCAACGTGAATCCGATTTGACGGGGTAACGGATAAACAGCGCCTAACTCATGTGTCCCACATTATCAAATCATTCTGACAAGTTTATGTCTTTCAATGATTTACAATTCGGTAAATGCCTCCTTTGCTCAGCCCACACTACACATGCTATAACGTAGGCTCATTCTGAAAGACAGTACTGAACCCATTTCCCATCCGTTACGAGAAAACCACCCCGAGCTGCAGGCGGCGCGACATCCTTGATATCATTCCCAGAATCCGCCCTCGACTGCACCATGAAGACCTTCGCCGCCGTCGTCGCCCTGCTGCTCGCCGTCTCGGCCTCCGCCCACGAGGCCTCCCACCTGAAGATCAGCACCAACGCCAAGAGCGTGAGCCAGCACCACGTCGAGGAGCGCGTGGTGGACCACAAGGCGCTGGCCAAGAAGCAGGACATGTTCTACCGCATGGCCCACATGAAGTCCACGCCGTGGGACTCGCAGCCCGCCGAGCGCGAGGCCAAGTGCGAGGACCTGTGCATGCTCAACGACTTCTGGGAGTTCCAGCAGGTGCGCAACTGCCTCAACCGCCCGACGAGCCTCTGCTCCATCTACAAGACGGGCCTCGCGTCCATGGACGTGGTGCTCACGGTGGCCGAGTGCACCTGCGGCGACAACAGCACGAGCTCCAGCACGTCCTTCGACGACGACTCCGGCAGCGCCTAGAGGGTGGACAACCGTTGCGTGGATGGACTTCAGCTTTACACCACTTGTACACCAATACACAGCACGTTTGCATTCTTACTCTTGCTCGACGTGCGTCATGAGGTTGCAACGCCGGCAAGGCAGAAGCATGAAGCGGCGGCTGCGTTGATCGATATCCGTCCAGCCGCCGGATTGCTCAGCGCTAAAATCATGGTGAGCTGGGAAGCAGCATCGCCATAAGATTTAGGATTTATCAAAGAGAAACCTAGGAAACCTTATCCTCAGGAATCATTTAACAAGAGCCAAAACTAGCTTCAAATACCCTCCGTGTTCCTATACCCCGCCAAACAAAACATGATGTAAGTTACGTAAGTCACAACAGAGTTGCACATCGCCGGTGCATGTTTGCCTGTCAACGAACACCGCTGGCCGCGCGCCATTCCGGACCGGCGCTTCCTCCTCTCTGCCATGGCGCTCATTCGCCAAGTTCCAGCCTCGCGACCAGGTTCCGCCGTTGCACGCAGCCTCCAATGTCGCTGCAGGGCCTCGACACCGAGAGATCGTCGCTGATTCCAGGCGCCGACAAGTCTTTCGTGGCGCCGACTGCTTCGTCGCGGAACCCCAGACGAAAGCTCCCCCGTGCTTCACTGGTTGCGTTGCTCTCGTCCTTCGCCATCGCGGGGCTCCTGCTGCTGCTGCACCGTACTTCAGACACCGGTAACGGTATCACCCCCACCGGTTTCAGCTCGTACTCGCCGGCTCCTCGATTCCGCGTGAGCTTTCCGGCGTCGCTGCATGATGCTCCGATCACCGGCCGGTTGATGGTCTGCATCGCCAAGAAGCACGCGGTCAAGGACCCGCAGGGGGAGGACCAACCAAGGTTCTTGGTGGACGACTCGGCTTCTACCCAGCAGATTTTTGCCGTTGATGTGTGGGACTTCATGCCCGGTGACGTTGGGAAGGAGAACCGTGAGGTGAATGCGACCCACGCGGTGGGCTATCCGATGCTGTTCCTGGACGAAGTGCCCGCGGGTGAGTACTGGGTGCAGGCGGTGCTGCACCCGTACGTGGAGTACAACCGCTCGGACGGCCAGAACTTGCAGCTGCCTCGGTTCACCACGTTCGAGAGCGAGGGTGGTGTGCTCACTAGTCCGGGCACGCTTTACAGCGCTGCGAAGCTTGCGCTCTACGACCCCGAAACGTTCTCTGTGGATCTCGTGCTAACCAACGTTGAGCCGGAGCTGCCGGCACTGGAGGAGCCGCACGAGCTGCTGAAGCACGTGACGTTCCGCAGTCCGTCACTGTCGGAGTTCTGGGGAACGGACGTGTACCTGAAGGCCTGGGTGCTGCTGCCGCACCGCTTCTTTGACGAAGAGATGAAGGACGTGCACTACCCGCTGTTCATCTACCACACGCACTACAACCGCTACTTCGAGCACAGCTTCTTCCCCGCTCCGCCTGAGAACGCCACGACTGCGTCGCTAGGTGAGCAGTATGGCTACTTCTTCTACTCCAACTGGACGTCCGACAAGCCCGGTGATCCGTTTACTAACAAGCGCGGCATTGTGGTGCAGCTGCAGCACGCCAACCCGTACTACGACGACTCGTACGCGGTCAACAGCGCCAATATTGGGCCGTATGGCGACGCTATCACTTACGAGTTCCTGCCGTACATCGACAAGAAATTCCGTGGCATTGGCGAAGGCTGGGCCCGCACCATGTACGGCGGCTCGACTGGCGGCTGGGAATCCTTCGCGGTGCAGGTCTACTACCCTGAAGAGTACAACGGCTGCTGGTCATTCTGCCCGGACGCCTTTGACTTCCACCGCTTCCAGCAGGTCGACTTGTTCGCCAACAAGAACGCCTACTACGCTCGTGGCGACTGGACCCAGAAGGACCGAGGTGCCAAACGCGATTACCTTGGTGATATTCGCGAAACTATGGCTGAAGAGAACCACCACGAGCTTGCAATGGGATCACGGGGACGCTCTGGTGGTCAATGGGACGCCTGGCAAGCCGTGTTTTCTCCTGTGAACAACACGGACGGATACCCTGCTGCCATTTGGGACAAGCTCACTGGTGAAGTTCACCCGGAAGTTGTGCAGTACTGGGAGGCGCACTACGACGTTCGTGCCAAGTTGCAGCGCGAATGGAACGCTCGCGGACTTGGCGCCAAGCTCGTCAACAAACTCCACGTCTACGTGGGCGTCACCGACAGCTACTACCTGAACGACGCCGTGTTCCTGCTTGAAGACTATCTGAAGACCACAAAGGAGCCATACTACAACGGATCCATCGTCTACGGCGTCACGGATGGCCGCGGCTACGAGCACTGCTGGACGGGCAGCTTCGACCAGTCCATCTCGCTCGGATGGCACACCGTCAACCAGCGCATGCTCCCTCAGATGGTGGATCACATCGTTCAGTCGGCCCCCAAGGGCGCGGACCTGAGCTTTACTAGGTATTGATGCAGCGTGCTTGTAGACCCAGCCAAGTGCTCCTCGTGGGCTTTACTTGAAAATAGTCATCATTATACGTTTGAATTTGCCTGCCTATCATCTAACTACTCGCTGTCGAGATGGCCGTGTTGAAAACGTCGTCTCCATCCCAACGCTGCATTTGGTTCCTCTGCAGTAGATCGTCACGAGCGATAGCCATCGCGCTTTCAGACAGAGCCTCGACTTCACAGTTCCGGCAAATCGTGACAAGCCGCTGCTTGAGTCGTTGGTCGGGGAGGACGAACGTGAGCTGGTGCTGCCTCCGGCAGTCCAGGCACATGTAGCGCATGCAGATTTTGCAGTGCCTCCTCTTCTGCAGCATCTTGGAGCCGCGGTTCGTGCGACTTGCGGCCTGGACAAACACCGACTGCTTCTTGCCGCAGCCGGAGCAGCACTTGTCGTCTAGCGTAGAGTCCCCAGCTGAGCTGTCCGTGGTGCATTCGGAGCTCGAAGACGACGTCTCGCCATTGTAGCGCTGTCGAAGCGCCCACACCAGCTTCTTCATTTGCGCGCAATATACATCTTTGGCCACGGACAGCAGTATCCGAGCTGCTGATCGGATCACAATGGTGCGCATGATGCCTCCCGCAGGATTGAAGAAGCCCTTAATGTAAACGTCCGTCATGTTCGTGGTTCGCTGGCGATACAAAATGCTGATGGAGCTGTTGCCGCGGAAGTGAGAATCGAGCGGCGGCGTCTCGGGGAATTGAACCGAGTGCACAATGTGATACCCTACGCGCTCGCCATTGCGTAGCCTCTCAATTCCTGTTGTCTCCATGTAGACGAAGTCGCGATGTTTGACCACTGGTCGAACTGCCAGCGGCACGAGAACCTCTACCCACTTGATCGTCACAGCGTTGAAGGGATTTTCCGAGGTGGGGCTCACGAGGTTTGCAAGCACGCAGCTACTGGGGATGTCGTCGTGGATGTAGGACGTCTTGACGCGCATCTGCTCCGTGGTAGGGCAAGTGACGCCGTACATTACATCGTCGAGATCGCCCACGATGCTTCCGGTGATCATGACAACAGGTAGATCCGCCGCCGGCGTCTCCAGTTGATACGCGCTCTGCGATTCCGACGCGCGCGGCAGCTCCGCGTAGGCCCGCAGATCGTCCTTGGACGAGACGAACTTCCATTGGCTTTCGTCCACCTTGCCTTGGCTGTCAATGAGGAAGCCCTCGTACATACCGATGTTACGAGCTACCAGCTTCTGCGCCAGGTTCTCCATCTCCGCGGCGGTGGTCGGCGACAACTGCAGCGGCGGGAACGGACTCGTGTGGTGCTTGCTCACGGACGGATCCATCTTGACGCCAGCGACGGAGCCTGCAGACCCAGCGGATACCGACGAGTCCGCAAGCTTTCCGGCGAAAGGGTCAGTGAAGCCCATTGCCGCGGGTGCTACAGCGTGTACCAATGCCGTTGTGTCCTCCTTACTCGAGCCGAGTGCGCTCCCAGCTGCATGATCTCTCTTGCGGGAACGCCACCACATGATGCTGATCCAGGCCAGCCCAGGCCATGCGCCATACGTCAGTCAGTCCCATCCCGTTCCAGCGCGCGGACACTGCAGGATTTGAAGTGTTCGTGCCCATTTTCGAGCCAAAGTCACAGCAGAGAGACCCGGCATAACGTCACTTTGGCTCAGGAAGATAGAGAATCGAGCTCTCGAGACAAACGAAACGCGTGGCCCCTGTTTGTCGTCCACCGGCGAAAGCAAACAGGACTCCGCGTGGTCAGACGAAGAGATACAAGTCATTGTTGGCATTGACCGACGATTTGTCAAGTGCACAACACAACCAGCTTCAGCGTCCAAAACTTCAACGGCCTACCGGTAAGACTGCGCGCACTTGGACCTCACGCTGTAGCGGTAACACCACGCCGTGATGCACAGCTGGATGTCCGAGAGAGACTAGGCGACGATCCTGGCTCTCTCGGGCAGGATGGGGACTCCTTGCTCACCAAGCAATCCGGCGCTCCTTGTCATTCGAGCAGAGTCGGGTGCAATCTCTTCAACTGTATCGCGGCTTTCGGCCTCATAAATATTGAACTGTTGTTATCTTACGCTACACGTACCCTAAGCCAGGGGCGGCTCAGTTCAGCTCGTCGAAGAGGGAGATCTCCGTGCCGGACGTGATGGCGCACAGCTCGTTCCGGCCGTAGACGTCGTTGAAGAGCAGTTCCTGGCTGGCCACGGTCGCCGCCTTGGCGTCGAGCGCTTCCCTGTAACACCGCGGACAGAAGGCCACCTCCTGCTGCAACATCTTGCGGTCAAGCATCATGAAGTGCAGCTTCCTCTGGATTCGACAGCCTGAGCACACGTAGCGTGAACATCCGCCGCAGCAAAGATTGCGATGCAGCAGCCGGCGGGTGCCAGAAGGTCTGGTCAAGCACGCTTGTACGCAGACCGCGGAGCTCTCTTGCCGCTGCTGCCTTTCCATCGTAGGACAGCGCTGGCGGATACTCCACGCGAGCTTCTTCATCTGCGCGCAGTAAACGTTCTTGGACACGGACAGCAGCGCCTTGGCAGCTGAACGGGTGATGATAGAGCGCGCCAACCCGCCGGCTGGGTTCAAGAAGCCCTTGATGAACACGTCCACTATGTTGCTGTCTCGCTGCTGGTACACTGCCGTCATCGACATGTTGCCCCGAATGGCCGAGTCTCGAGCGGGGGTCTCGGGGAACTGCACCGAGTGGACGAGCTGATAGCCGACCCGCTCGCCGTTGCGCAGGGTCCGGGTGCCTGTCGACTCCATATACACGAAGTCGCGGTTCTTGATCAAGGCGCGGACGTGCAGCGGCTGACCCTTCTCGACCCACTTGACGGTGACCGAGCGGAACGGGTGCTCTGCTGTAGGCTTCACCAGCGTGGCTAGCACGCAGGCCCGGTACATGGTGTCCTGGATGTACGACGTCTTGATGCGCATCATGTCGAGCGTCGGGCATGTGAAGCCGTAGATGGTATCGTCCATCTCCTTCAATACTGCCGGCCACGAGCACAATCGGTAGCTCGGAGGTCGACGACGAATGCGATCGGGGGCGATGACAAGCCTCCGTCCCTGGAATCGGCGTGGAGAGCCCGGCGCGTTCGGCGTAGGATTTAACGTCGTCCTTCTCGTACATGAACTTCCATCGGTTTTCGTCCACTTGGCTGTTCTCATCGAGCAGGAAATGCTCATAGGTGCGAACTAGCGCTCTGGGCGTCCGCTACGCGGACGCTAGGGCTTGATTTGTTAGATTGCCCGCCTCCACTTCGCTGCGGCAGGTGGTCTTTAGGTCTTGACGCATTTGGAGTTTACCTACTTATCTGCTCAGTCAAACTTTTATATAATTACGTGTATACTTCTCCGGTCCGCTAAAGAATTAACAGTTCTCTAATCAGACTATATATTGCGTTCTACAGCTCCAACAGAGCTGTAGCTGCCCTTAAATTTAAGCTCTGGATCTGGTGTATAACGTAGTATTTTTGATAAATCCATTTTCCCGCCCTTTCAGGTAGTTATCGGGACGTTTAAACAATCTGTTTCCACAGGTGTGAGGTTTAAATTCGCTGCGCCATCAAAAATGATCAGATTAGAACTTGGAAATACACATGAGAAAGCGGAAAGAGAGTTTATTCCTGTGATATAATGTCGTAAACAGTTGAATATTCCAAGGCAAGAAAAACAGCCAATCGTGTTTGAGGTTTGTTGCATACAAATCACTGATGTTAGAGTTTTGTCCAATGAAGTGAGGTACATAGAGGTAATATGACCAATCATACATCGAGATGGTTTGAGGTTTTTTATGGAAAACCTAACTGTTAATTCTTTTCCGGACCGGAGAAGTAATTACTTGTGTACAGACAACGACTTACAAAGCCGGCAGACACAAAAAGCCGGCAGACGAAGTCAAGCAAAGCTTAATATAAGCAAACCAGCCAATCAGATTTAATCAAATGACTTCATCTTTGTATACCATTTGGTTTTGTGTACTTTATATGTTTTCGTGTGTACTTTATGCAACACGCCGTGTGTTTTATGACAGTTTTACAGATTTGACGGGAGGGAATTTATCGTTGTTTTTATATAGGAGGATGGCATTAAGCATGCCGGCTTTGTAAGTCGTTGTCTGTACTCACGTGCTTTTTCTCAGATTGGTAACACGTGTTTGAGTTAATTCTGTGTCTCAATCTCTCGCGATACACTATGTTTTTGTGTGAACATTCCCTTCCTCATCGATTGCCTCCGGGTCCACTGCAATCTTGATCGCCTTCCTTGATGTAACTCTCGACAGCGCCACGTAGAGTTGTCCGTGAGCAAAGACGGGTGACTCTAAGTAAATTCCCACGTGATGGATAGACTGTCCTTGGGCCTTGTTAATAGTCATCGCGAAAGCTGGTACAACTGGAAATTGCTTGCGCTTGAGCTTGAACGGGAACTCTCTATCGTCATCCTCTGTGTAGAAGATGATCCGCGGAATGAAGACCTTTTTCCCCTTGAAAGGTCCCGACATTATAATTGCTTCGATGCTTTTCTCGCGCAGAGACAACACGCGAAGCCGTGTTCCGTTGCACAATCCAGCATCGCTGTTCAGGTTTCGAATCATGATGATGGGAGCGCCAACCCATAACACTATCCTGTGCGGGGGAATGCCAGAAAAGTTTAACGAGTTCAAGAACTCTTGCTCAAACATATTCGGGTCCGCAACTCCCTCCAGCGAATCATTGGAGAGATACTCCCTTGTGTCTCCCGAAAGACGCGCAGACACCATGTCATTGATACGCCTGACACTTGCGTTCGTAGGTGCTAGAATGGCTCGTTCAACGAAGTACTCATCTGGTAAGTCATTGTTTTCTACGCTTGGGTAGATAGCGTCAATAAGAGCGTTGACATTACGCTCTCGGCGACTGTCATCTGGGTCTTCTGTGTCTTCATGATCCTATGGCGGTAGAAGATTAAAGTTGGGCGGCGCCTCCATCTCGTCACTCTCTTTTGTTTCTTCATCAACCACAGACGATGATTCGGTATTTCCCGGTATGATGCACATATCGCGCGGAAGGCAAATATCGGTTTCACCGATCTCCGAGTTGACTGGATAGCGGCCCTTGCCTATCTGGAGTAAGAAATCAGAGAATTCAGCTAACTCGGCTGCGCTGACCTGGTCAGGAGCTGTCCACACACGCATGTTCTCCGTTAGCCGCACTTGACGCAAATGCCCCCAGAGTGGCGAAGATTTGAAACAGGCCTTCACTGTCTCGGCCCTCGTAGCGTCCTTCAGGACTGGCAAAATCTGGCGATGATCTCCACTGAACACCATCATCTTTCCTCCAAACGGCTCAGTCTCATTGTGCATGATATCGCGAAATGTTCTATCCACAGCCGCAAAGCACGCGCGGTTCATCATTGGTGCCTCGTCCCAATTGATCAGACTTGACTCTCTAACCATTCTTGCTTTAGCTCTATGCCAGGATAGACTGCAGGTTGCAAACTCGGACAACTTGAGCGGAATTCGAAACGTCGAGTGGGCTGTGTGGCCCCCTGTCAAAAGAGTAGCGGCAATACGACTGGAAGCCACAGCAATTGCAACCTTGCGTTGCAAGCGAACATGAGCAAGTATCTGCTCCAACAGGAACGACTTGCCAGTACCACCCGGCCCATCCACAAAAAATAGTTTCTGCCCTTGTACCGGATGATGCACCGCTTCAATCACTTGGTCGAAGACTTCCTTCTGGTTCTCGTTCATTTGATCAGCTAGCATAGCGGTCTCTTCGAGATCACTTGTGCTATACGCGTCGAGTTCTTGGTGGATGATATCAACCGGCCGAGCATCTTGTTCATCAACCTCCGCCGCGACATCGCTGTAGAACGACAAATCAGGAAGACCGTAGTTTTCGAGTGTCTTCCCGTTTGAATCTAGGTATTTGGCCACATCCAGCAAGGCTTTGTACTCAGCCATCCTTAGGCGAAAGTCCACCTCGCGTTCAATTTTTTTTTTCCGCATCATAATGCTCGATCTGCCGAACAATATCCTCGGACATTTGCACCTTGAAGTTGTCCCAAAGTTCTCTGGCGTTGCGCGGCAGCGAATACACCAGGATAATTTTAAATAGCTGCCTCAGTTCCTTAGCCATCATGAACAATGCCAACTCCGCCAGACAGTCTTGCCACTCTTGGTCGTTTTCCAAGTACCCTGCAGCTGCAGCCGCCTCTTGATAAGTGGAATACAAGTGACCATTAATCCTTCGGAGGTCCTCGAAAGATTTAGGAGACCGCCTGTGACACAACAAAAGTCGCAGGTAAAACCTGTCCGGATCTTGAGGCGACACATGCACCATGCGTCCCAGCGAAGCCACGTATTGTTTATACGGTTGCCAGTGCTTTCTGTCCTCTTTAACCCAGCGGTATTTTGTAGGGACATCTTTGTACAGAAGATCGGCCGTTCCAATGGGGTCGTTTGTACACAACTTGAAAAATGCAGTTAGCATCGTATTGACGCCAGTCCGCACCAAGTTTCGCAGTTGTCGATTCGTCGCGTGCTGTCGATATGCAACCAAGCTCATACCCTCCAAGTGAACGGGTAAGTTCACAACTGAGTGCGTAGACCCTTGAGTTGGATGTTTCAACAGCCGCATACAGGCTTCAACAGGAATGTAGCGCCCGAGCAAATACTGAAGAATCTCGTTGGCTTGAATCTCTTCTCCTTCAATAGTGGTCGTGGTCATATCCGAGCCCTTATACACGTACTTGTAGATGTACTTGACAGCCCTGTTTGTCGAACAGACTTCGACGTTGATGTGGCAATTGTATTTATGCGATAGAAATGGGTTGTATGGCACAATCCATTGGTTGATCGTCGCACTGTCCCACACTTTACCTTTGTGGACCACAAACCCACCGGAACGGCGTTTCCGACGGTGTCCAGGACTCTTATCCTGGACCATGGTCGTTATCTCGGTAAGAGGCTTGGGGAACTTCTTAGAGCACCTAACGTTCTTCTTGCAGGGGCAGTTCAGATTCTGTCTTCCACATGGACCGTGCATCATACTTGAGATCACCGTTTCGTAAAGTTCGGGGTGCTTATCCTTATCAGGGAGCTCTGCCGACACTAATCGGTCCACGTCTACTGCGGACACGGGTCTATCTTCAGGTCGCAGAATTAGAAGAATGTGTGCGTGAGGAAGCCCTCGCTTTTTATATTCTACCACATGGACCCGAGCGGCTTGGATACCCAGGATGCCTTGGTCGAGGTCTTTGTTAAACGCTTTCAGCTTCTGCATGAATACTCGCGCAACGACATCAGGCCTGTCAGTCGCCTTCTCGTTCGGTCACAGATTCTCCTTGATTTCTGGCCAGTTAGGGTCGCACGTCATGGTGATGAACAGATTTGGCGCGCCGGTCTCTCTTACGTTTGCCATAGCGTCGAGGAAACGTTGGTACATGTAGCGGGGCCCTCCCGTAAACGTGGGAGGTATAATATTCTTGCGCCCGATGTTTTCGGCGTCAGGTGTATCGCAATTCTCTTCTTCACGACCGGTCTGCTCTCTGGTAGACCCGGCAGCGCGTCGTTCCACCTCCGCATCAGCTGCAACTCTGTGAACATCAATGGTTTCGCTGCGCAAAGCATCGCTTAGTCTCTGAAGTGTCTCCAGACGGTACTGAAGTTGGTTCAGTTCTATGTAGCGTAGCCGCTCCTGCTCACACTTTGCCCACTGGTCTACACAATACTGCTGTGTGAGACGTCCACCTCGCGGGATGAGAGACTTATTGCCGACCTGTCGTACAGGAGATATGCCTCGAACTCCCTTAGTGACATCCGTAATAGCTCTCCATCGGAACCAGTCGGATTTCCCACGTACGGAATGCCATACGTCCACCCGGTATCGCCGTAAGGTAAGAGCAGTGGATACTGTAGTGGGTCGTAGCTGTCGCTAGTCTCAAATATACGCTTGAAGCCAGCCTGACGAGTAGAGAGCACAATATGGCGAGACTGAACCGCATGCTCATCAACCACAATTGCTGCCACTTCGGATGCCGTTGGGGTGTTATGCGTACCCGGCTTTGCATTCCGAGACACATGCAGTCGGAGTCGGAAGTCATCGTTATGAGGGATAAGGTTCTGCAAACGCAATGCAGGATCATCGTCCGGTATCTCTTCTCCAGCGGCCCTTCGCCGTTCCTGTTCCGCGGCCGCTTCTTCGTAAGCAGGTTGGGCCCGCTGAACCAATATACTCCGCGCGTGAAGAAACTGTTGCGCGTAAGGGTTGTGCCTTTCCATAATTTCATCAATCTTTTCCAGAACCGCTCGATCCAAACCGTCTGTCATCTGCATCCGACTTGTCACACGCGCATTCATATCCGGATCGTTGATGTAGACCTGTGCGTACATTGACCGCCCGTTCTCCGACGGCAATAACGACCCAATTCGATGGCAAACCGAGCCCATAACGCGGAAGTTGTACACACCATCCCGAGCCACACTGTGATCTACAGCAAGAGAGCGCGACCGTGAAGCGCCCATCGACGTAAACGCGAAGACGTTGTTGTACGCACGAATCGAACGCATAAACGCCGCGATGTCGAACAGTTGAAGAAACACTGAGGGGGATGCGCGAGACGGTGGAACGCGGATCAAGCCGTTTCGACAGCAGCAAGCGGCAGTCTCATCGGGGAATTTCCACGCATTACAGTAACGACACACCCTCTCTGTCTCGCGACTATCGTCCGTAAAGCGCGTAAAGTAATGGCATCCACCTGGAACCATGGCTGGATCAAAGTCTTCGTAGTATGCGAGTCCATTTTTGTACTGGCACGACCGCCTACGGAATCGCTCAGCTTCTCGTCTTCGCGCTTTCTCCTCCTCTGTCAATGCCTCTCGTCCGGGCTGCCGCATCGCGATCTCTTAAAGCTTGGCGCTCATCCTCAGACATTGCCCCGCGACGCGCGGTTGCAGACGATGCATCGGTCTCACGCAAGTCTCGCTGTTGGTCTTCAGGGCGGCTGCATCGACTGGTTTGTTGAGACGACCGATTGGATTCTCGAATGTTTTCGAACTGAGCCGACGACATCTGCTCTCGTCTAGCTCGATAGCGGCGCGCGCTGGATTCTCTGTCACGAATAATCTGAGACGCCGAACGATTAGCTCTACTGCGCTGCTTCCCTCTATCGTTTTCTCTAACACGATCCAGTTGGGATAGAGTCATTTCAGCCCGTCTTCGCGATCGCCCCCGCCGCTCACGCGTGGTTGGACAGGCCTGACCCGTTGGAACTCCTAGCGCGAATGAAGTGTCAGAATCGCCGATGCCGGTTGTCTTCCGCCGCACCGCCTTGAAGAGATTGATGCCTTCCTTGCTGCCAAGGGATATCTATGCCTGTTTGCAAGCTGCGTCTGCAGAAAATCCTAATGTGACCACATCACCTACGACATTTCCAGTGTTTTATACCAACTGCAACTTATACGATGGTAAGACGCCTCATTAGCCAAGCTTCTGAGTGTCTGCTTAATGCCACTGAGCTTTCTCAGCCCAGGCAATAAACCACTTTGGGTTGTAAGGGGTAATGGGTCAGTTGTTGGGTATTGCTTTGTGTACCGGAACATCAACTGGTATCATAGGCATCGAAGGAGCGTTTAGACCGGAAATCGGTACAGAACCCAAAAATGCGTATGCTACGTAGCACACATCAACAAATTTTCTGCGGGTGGAAATATGCTAGAATCCCCTTATGTAGCAAGGCAAATACCGCCCTCTTTTTTCTTGTGTGATGTTGGATTGTATGTTTGGGTGTGGGTGGGTCGGAAATGCGGTAAGCGGTTCCAGTTGCCGAAGCAAAAAGATTTCCGTCGCCCCCCGAAAGGAAGTGACGGTCTCAGTTCGCCGCTAAACAAAAGGTAAGCCATAAGCCCTCAAGTCACTGTCCCCAGTGGCTCGGCTCGGGTCCCCACCCAAGCCACGTGGCTGGCCGCATGCACTCTATCGCGGACACAGAAGCACCGAACCGAGGTTTCCCCCAATCCAACGTGCCGGTCCCATACACTACTAGTGTAACACGACCACTACTCCGAGTTTTAAACAGGCGACCCGGCAAAGCCGGCTTTTATCGCCACATGGATCTGCCAAAACTCGGTTGGGTATGAGAGTTCCCATGCCGCTGGCGGGCAAACATGGGCGCCTCAGGGTCGCGGCTCCGAAGAGCAAAAGGTGCGACAGAGCTAAGTCTTAGTACGGCGGCGGGTGCCAGCTGCAATCTTTCTTATCCTAAAAAGGCGTTTAAAAAAAACCTTATTAAGGATGGTAACGGGTTTGAAGCAGAAAGCCACAGTACTACAGTATAATCATGCCAAATAATTAAATCGGACACTCATACAAAGCAGTAATGTTGTGGATTCAGAGCGACTGTCCGGCGGCTGGGCCGTCCGTGGGTGTCTCGGCGCGGAGTGGGCCGTCTCGTAGGTATGGCGGCCTACTGCAACATCCCACGGACTCTTGAATAGGTGTCCCTAAGAACGCCTAATCAGCACCAGTCTACCCCTAATTCCGTACTATAAACCCTCGACTGCCCTGAAGGTACCAGTTATCCCAACAGGCGGAACTCCCGAAACCGTAAAGTAGTTTATTTATGTATGGACATGCAGTACTCACTGTTGTGTGTGTCCGCTGTCGCTGCAGTTCGCCACTCGCTTCTCTACGCCAGGCGCCCTCCGCTCGCTGCCTCGGTCCGTCCGTCCGCCGCGCGCCAACTTTCAAATGGGGGATGTGATAATCACGCCCGCTAAAGTCCGACCGGCTCCGTGTAAGTCCGAATTTTAGCGTGATTGTGGCTATTTTTGTAACTTCGTAGATAGTTAAAAAGCCAGTTCCAGTCGACTTGATGAGTGAATAATGTATGCAATAAGGCCTAGGTAGCGTAGTCTAATTGACAGGTCTAGGCTGTAGGGGCGGAAAGCGTGACGCGATGACCGGAGCGCCTCGAGCTCGGATGTTGCTTGGGGTGAGAGGTCAAGCGGCTCGAACGGGTTGGTGAAGCGCTTGCTCGATCTCCACTTCATCGTGTGGAGACTTCGGGACTAAAATCGAAATGGACACTACCAGCGATATGATCTTGATGGAACTTTGGTGTTGATCCTTGCGTTGGCTCCACCGTTGGACTGCGACGGTATGCGTAGTGGAGGGATCGTATCCTGGCAGTTCCAGATCCATTATGCATTGTGATGTTTCGACTGAGAGCCATCCGGCGCCGACGTCGCCGTCAGGAACGGAGAAGCGACAGCAGATCCGCTTCGCTACTTCAGTGCTCTAGCAATCATTTCCACTTCGGTGGGGAACGGACATCACTCTCTTCGACGCGAGGTCGTTCGTCGCTCGTGCCTTCGCATCGCCACCGATGCTTCACTCGAGATTGAGTTGAGCACGCCTATCGGCTCAAGACGATTGGGGCGCCGGCTTTCCGGCCAAGACCAAAGCTCAGCTCTTCACAAATGACGAGCACTTCGTTCGTCGTTGCTAAAAGCGTTTGTTACGCGCCGCCGACATGTCGAAGGGGCTCAAAGTCAACGAAAACTCAAACAACTTGGGTCACCGTGAGTGCGTGCGGTCGGGGTTTCCTTGGATCGGCATCTGAGCCCTATGCACTTCAGCTTCAACGCCGGCCACCACACGATCCGCGATTCAAAATTCACTTTCGCGGATTCGACGTTTTAGTGGAACGGCGAGTACCGTAACATCCCGCACTGAGACTCGATGTCTGTACGTTTTGGGTGGCTTCGCAGTTTTGCAGCTCTGCGGCACGGCATTCGGCGCAGGCGCCTTCATTTTTCTGATTCTCGCTCCGCCTAGCCAGCTGGGCCCAGTGGTGACCTGGTCGACTTGCCTGTGAATTGTCAGCTTTCGAATCGTCCGGGCTGGTGGCGACTCCAAGGCGTGCTAGCTAGCACGACGTCGAGGCACGCCGATGGACAACACAACATGTAGAGACGATCGCGTTCAAGATTCACCGTCAGAGGGAGGGAAAACGTAGTGGTTTCGTTATGCAAGCACGAGCTCATTGTACATGGGGACTTCGGACACTTCGAGCACCATGTGCTTGGTCACGGAGTCCGTGACACGGACGCAGAGGATCGAGTCAGCTAGGAAACCTGATCGCGCCCATCCGAGACGATCATGCCCGACATGATGCCAGTCTGCCGGTCGGGGAGGTCTATTCCAAGTTTCTTCGTATGCGAAACCGATATGAACCCATATCATCTTGGTCAGGGTAGCGTCAGATTATAGTAGATAACAGGTAAAAAATGTCATCACTTTCGCGTAGGCAAAGTTGCCGTCATCGGAGAGACACAGGCCAAGAACCCGCACCATGTGGTGGCGGCGCCAGCATACTCAAGCCTAGATGTTAGCCCGCGGCTGGCTCCTTTCTGCTACGCCGGATCAGCCTCAAGCAGCTCGCTCCTACTCCATCCGAGTCACCGGGCACCTGGCCGGCACTTGGGTTCCTCCTCATTCTCACTTTGAGCTCGTTGCCGTAAAATAATACAAACAGGATAGAATGTCGTTCCGGCAGATTGCGCTCCTGTCGGCGGCACTGCCGGCGATGGCCCTTGCCGGCGGCGACACGTACTTCGCCGGTGAAGGCACGTCCTACACGCTGGGCCAGGTGTCGGCCGGCAACTGCAATTTCATGTACGACCCCGGCGTGGGCGACTACTACGCGGCGCTCAACAGCGAGCAATGGGACTCGACGCTCAACTGCGGCCGGTGCGCCGAGGTCTCGTGCGCCGACTCGCGCTGCAGCGACACGAGCAGCACCGTGACGGTCTTCATCGTGGACAAGTGCCCCGAGTGCAGCCAAGGCGACCTGGACCTGTCCCCGACCGTGTTCAAGCAGCTCACGGGCAGCGACCCGTCCCGGTACAGCATCAGGTGGAAGTTCGTGGACTGCCCCGTGAGCGGCAACGTGCAGTACTGCACCAAGAGCGGCAGCAGCAGCTCGTGGCTGGCCGTGCAGCCCGCCAACTTTGCCAACGGCGTGGCGAGCATGAAGATCGCCAACCAGGACGTGACCATGGTGGACTCGTGCTACTACTTCCTGCTCAACGGCGGCTCGAACGTCGACATGTCGGCGGTGGACATCGAGCTCACGTCCATCTCGGGGGAGACCATCACCGAGACGCTGTCGCTCACGGCCGACAAGTGCACTGACGGCACGTCCAACTTCGGCGGCAGCACGACGCAGCAGAGCTCTACCAGTCAAACTAGTCAGACAACGTCGGCTCCTGCCACGACGGCACCAGCACCGGCACCGACAACACCGACACCGACACCGACGACTGCTGCTCCGACACCTACGACAGCAACGCCGACTGCGACCACGGCTGCACCTGTTACTAGCGGCAGTGCGTCTCAGTCTCAGACCCAGCAGCAGCAGAGCGATGTCAGCACCTACTTCAACTCGCTGACGACGAACTCAACCTCGGGCAGTGATAACGACTACAATGCAGGCAAGGTGACGGCAGCAACCGAGTCTTCAAGCGATGTGTCCATCCTGCAATCTTCCGAGGCTGACTTCGGCAAGACGTCCAGCACCAAGCAGTCTGACTCAGACAGCACCCAACAGCAGGACGACTCCGACAGCGCGGCGCAGAAGACGGGGTCGGACGACACCAAGCAGGCAAACACCAAGTCGGAGGCCACCTCTGCCGGCACGAGCCCCGTCATTGTGACTCTCCTTGTGCTGGCTGTCGTGGGCTGTATCGCCCTTGCCGCTGTGGCCTACGTTACCAAGAAGAAGAAACTGAATGACAAGCGCATGGAGCGTGACGCGGCCATGATCCGGTCCTTCGACACGCTATGCTCCCCCGTGCACATCAACGAGACCAACATCGCCGCCATTTAAGTAAAAGCCCTGAGATTTTTGACTTCAGAGTCTCCCGTATGAAAGGCATGGCCAGCGCGTGTCGGCAATTCTGCAATGGAGCTTAGACCTCGTCCGGCAACGTGTAGCGCGCGCTTTTATTTCTTTGTTAAACCCCCTACTGTAAAGGTCTAGCCATTGTAGTCGCAGTAAGTAAAATACAGTACGATGGTGGTGTGGTGTCCGCATCAACTTAATAAAATCCCTCTTTGGTGCGTGCACCACAGCTCCTTGATTCACTTGCGCTCTGGAGCTATCTTGATGGTTTACTATTTAGCTCTTGCGATGGAGAAGTCCTGCATCGCCACCTCCAGCACAGAGCTCGAGCTTTCCTTGAAGGATCTTTGACACACGCCACTAAGTGCAGTATCGCAGCCGAATAAGCTCAATGGTCCCAGCGTGAGCTGTTACGTCTCCACTGCAATGCAAGGGTGGACCATGAAGATTTATCTGCAGGAGGCTAATTGAAGCCAAGCAGCCAGTCGCCACATGCGACGAAGCACAAGCTGTTGCCGGAAATACACAAACATGGGACTGATTTCTGAAGTTGTCCAGGATCGCAATGCTGCAATGCGATCTATCGAGGTAGTGCCAATAGGTAGACGCGTGTAGTCACGCTGTGTGGCTGGAGATTGGCGTGGTTGGTAGTGAAACGACTCGACTGGAGTAATCGACAGTGGCAAAGGTGCCGGAAGCTCTGAATTCAGGGTGGTATCAGCTCGATAATTGCATGAACAGTCCAGCGCAAGAACTTTCCAGAAGAGAGAACCTCGATTTCCTTAAGCTCGGAGCCGGCAGCGCAATGCATTGAGCAGCTCACCATGGTACAGGCCCACCGGTTCCGCAGCGACAGCTACGACAGACTGCGTGTAGCGTAGCTAATGGTGTCTTCTTGCAAAGAGTCGAGAATCTGATGTGGCAACCGTCGACAATGAATGCATCACCACCATTTATTCCGACCCTGCCAGCCTGTCCTGCTGCCCCAGCAGATAGTGTGTTTATCGTTACAGCCTGGAGCACTTGGCTGACTTTGAAACGACACGGATTGCGCTATGCCACATCAGGCCGAAACACCTCGCAGTATCCTCGTTGAAACCGTTCGTCGCTCTCTCGGTATTCGTCGGCCAGGACGCAGGATCCTTCCTCACTTTTGAATCCAACACCAACCGCAACAACAGCGACAACTTCAGAGCTTTCAGCTACTTCGACAACAGCATGCATTCGAACACCCGATTCCGACTGGTTTTACTGGCAAGCGCGGCAGCCTTCAGCACTGCGAGCGCCTACAGTGGATACGGGACAGTCTACGGTCCGATTGAGCCGTCCGGCGGCAACTGCAACCTTCAGTCCTACCCCAAAGAAGCAGTGACCAACTACGCGGCGCTCAACCGAGTGCAATGGGACAGCACCATGAACTGCGGCCGCTGCGCGAAAGTGTGGTGCACCGACGCTCAGTGCGAGAACCCGTCGAGTTCGTCCGAGATCGTGTACATCATTGACCAGTGTCCGGGCTGCGAGGAAGGCGATCTTGATCTCTCGCCGTCGGTGTTCGAGGCCATTACCGGCATGGAATACACGAAGCTCAAGATCGAATGGGACTACGTGACTTGCCCGAGCACCGGGTCAAATCGAATCCAGTACTGCTTGAAGGAGGGCAGCAGTGGACACTGGGCTGCAATCCAGCCAACGCACATGTCTGCAGGCGTCGACTCCGTTCTGATCAACGACAGGCCTACGACAATGGTGGCGTCTTCCTACTACTTCCTTCTGACAACGGAGACTGATCAACTCCCTCTGCCCGATATTTCGAACCTGAAAATCACCATGACAAGCATCGCGGGCGAGGTCATCGAAGACGTCGTGTCCTTTGCAAACGCAAAGTGCGTCGAAGTCGACTCGCAGTTCACTGCCAGCGGAAGCATTCAAACTGAACCGGAAACCACGAGTGTATCTTCGACGAAGAATGCCCCGACCGAAGCATCGACTGATGCCCCAACTGATGCCCCAACTGAAGCACCGACTGAAGCACCAACGACTGCTCCTCCGACAGACGCACCAACCAGTATCCCCCCAACAGAATCTCCGACGAGTGCTGCTCCTACAAAAGCTCCGACACCAGCTCCTCCGACGGAAGTCCCGACGAGTGCTGTTCCGACAGAGCCTCTGGCGACTGTTGCTCCGACTGAAGCTCCAGTTATGTCGAGCTATAATCCCACAGATGCCCAAACGAGTGCTTCTCCAACGAATTCTCCCACGAGTGCGTATCCGACCGAGGTGGCAACGAAAGCACCTTCAAGCGAAGCTCTGGCGAGCGTTATTCCAACAGGAACCCGGGCGAGTGCTGTTCAAGAGAGCACTGCAGCGTCAGAATCCTCGGCAAGTGTCGATCAGGCTGGTGTGGTATCGACGGATGCCTCGACGAGTTCTGCTCAAGCGAGCGCTACAGCGTCATCATCGGCAAGTGTCGATCATGCAGGGGTGGTATCGACGGATTCCCCGGTGGGTGCTGTTCACGTGAGCGCTGCTTCGATGGAAACCCCGACAAGTGCATCCCAAACGAACGTCGCGACAGCGGCACCATCAACGACCGCTGCGAATGCCGCTACAAGTGCTCCATCCGTCGCCCCAACGGACGCTCCAGCGAATGCGGCAGCTTCTTCATCAAGCAGTCATTCGTCCGCCGACAACACCGTGATTGGTGGGCCGACCGAGTCGATCAGCACTCAAGAATCCTCGGGATCAGGACCCACTATCATCATCAGCGTTTTCGCTGTGCTGGGATGCCTCTTCGTCATTGTCGTCTTCGTCATGTACATCGTCATCAAGAAGAAGCAGCAGCTGAACGAGCTGCTGGGGCAAGAGAAAACGTCCGACGTCTCTCGCTACTCGTGCGAGAGCGACTTCCAAACCAACATCCCCATGGACGAGCACCTAGCTTTCCCGTACGCTGCAGCAGCCACCCCTCAGCCCGTCAGCTCCACCAGCATCTAAATGGATCACGAGTACCTCACACAAGTATCGTTAGATATATCTGCCTAGAACGAATAGGTCGCTAACAACAACATAGATATTCCCGCTCTACTTTTGACAACCTGCGCTGCCAAGCCACTGGCTTGAAGCCAGCCACTGCGAGCCTCCACCTCAACAAAATCCGCGCAGATTCTTACAGCTTCAACTTACGCCTGGGGTGACTAGCCATCTTCTTCGAAGCCATCTCAACTTGCGAGCGCTGGCGGCGTGGAAGCTTCGCCGACCCAGCGCGGGCAACGCGTGGTGGTCCACTCGTCGGCAGTGTAGCCATCTTGTGCTGTACGAATCATCTGCCGAGCAGTCAGCGGTGTCCCGTTTTTCGCACTGTCGTCGCGTCGCGTCGCACGCTTGACAAGATAGTGTGCACCACACAAAATAAAAACATCTTGCCGTTTGTATGTTCCATTTGAAGTAGCCGTTAAGTGGCAGCTATTTCTGAAGTTTGTGACGCAACACCGAAATCGCGAGACGTGGCAGATCTTGCCGCCGTTAAATGCGCCGGTCATGAACGCGCGTGAGCCGGTCTGTGTCCTGCGCAGGCGGCGCCGTCGACAGCGATCTCGTCCGAGGCAAGCACGCCAGCTCTGCTGATTGTCGCACATGCCACTTCATCGCTTGCTGCCACTCATCGCGGCCGTCAGCGCTGGCGTCCCACGCTCCCGCCACCCAAGCGGAGACCCTTGCCTGTGGGTGGACTATCAGCGCGTCAAACGGCGGTGTTGCGTGACAGGCAAGTCGCGCCACGAGGCCCACCATAGTCTATGGCATAGACGGAGCCGTTTCCTGCAGCTCCGATCCTCGCCTTCGAGTTGCGTCCCATGCTCGACGCACGCACGCCGCGTGACCGGCCAGAGACCGTGGCCATTGTCGACGGTTTCCAGCGAATGGAAGCCGAGGCGAACGACGCCAGCGAGATAAAAGACGCTGCACTGCAGCCTGCAGCGCATGAATCCTGTGACGGCCGCACAGCTGTTAACAGCTGGAAGTGGTGCTGCTCGCCGCGACCACACGCTTCCCACCTTCGCCGACCGCGCCACGAGCGACTCATTTCACATTCCGCAAGCCGCAAACTCAATCGCTCTTATAGCTCCGCGGAGTTTGACAAGCAACATGGCGCCGACAAACAGATCCTCACTTCAACTTGCGATCCTCCTTGTGATGCACTGCAACTGCATCGCCATGGCCTACGAAGGGTACGGCACGGTGTACACGCTCAACTCGCCGTCCGACGGCAACTGCAACTTCATGAGCTGGCCGGACGCCGCCGTCACCAAGTACGCTGCGCTCAACGCCGAGCAGTGGGAGGAGACCATGAACTGCGGACGCTGCGCTCAAGTCACGTGCACCGACGCGTCGTGCGCCGGCCAGGCGTCCGAGATCGTGTACATCATGGACCAGTGTCCCGGGTGCGCGTACGGCGACCTGGACCTGTCCCCGGACGTGTTCGAGAGCATCACGGGCCAGTCGTACACGAAGCTGAGCATCGAGTGGCAGTTCGTGGACTGTCCGATCTCGAACAACGTGCAGTACTGCCTGAAGACGGGCAGCAGCGAGTTCTGGGTGGCGGTGCAGCCGGCCAACTTCGTGTCGGGCGTGCAGAGTCTGTCGATCAACGGGCAGGAGACGTCGGTGATCGACTCGGCGTACTACTTCCTGATCGACGGCAGCGGCGAGAGCGTGGCGGATCTGAGCTCTGTGAGCATTTCGCTGACGGGGGTGAACGGCGAGGTGCTGGAGGAGACGCTGTCCTTGAGTGCTGACGAGTGCACCGATGGCGCGAAGCAGTTCGCTACCAGTGACAACTCCCAGTCTATCATCATTGCCGGTAGCTCATCGAAGAGCTCGTCCACTCAATCAAGCTCTACTACCGCGCCCTCGTCGGCACCGACCGCCACTCCGACGCCGACACCTACACCGACAAGCACGCCGACGTCTACGGAGGTGTCAAACACAACAGCGACCCCAGTTGTGTCTTCTTCTCAAAGCTCGAGCTCTGTCAGCTCGGATGAGGGCGATGCTGGGTCCATCAAGACTGGCCAGGGCTCCGCTGCATCGAGATCAAGTGCTCTGCAGGAAACAGTCACAGCTGAGCCAAATGCTGTCCAGTCGCCAACCGCTGCATCGACTCCGGGTAGCGTCGTCCAGTCCAATGTGAAGAGCTCTGGAGACTCCAACTCGACGTCGTTGATGGTCGGGATGATCGTGTTGGTGTGTGTGGCTGTGATAATTGCCGTCGGGCTGGCTGTCTACGTGCGTCGCCGCAAGCAGCAGATTGACTCCTACAAGCGTCGCGAGGAGCAAGGCACGGCAATGTGCGACGACGACACGTCGCCTCGCGCATCGGACTTGTCGTCCGCCTACGACATCGTGCACAGCCCCACGGTGCACTTTTCCTCCATGGAGTCGATGGGGAGCAGAGTGTGAATCCAAAATCGGCTCTCGTGAAGAAGTACAAGTAGTGATCAAGTCCAGCGGATAGTTATAAGCTGGGTAGGTTAGTTAGCGTGAAGTAGTGAGAAAAGAGGGCATAGTTTATCGGTATTTAGGCAAAACAACGAAGTATTTCAACCGGAAGTGCTGTAATTACACTGTACATGTACTGTACCTTGCCAAACTCGACAAGAATTGTTGAAGCATGCGATCTTGTGCAGAGACTGTGAAAAGATCTCGTTTGACTCGCCCCCACTATGCCAGCGAACCGACTCGCGCGAAATGAGGTTCGGTGAAGTCTCCGCTAAACCACTCGACAGTGTCGAGTGGTTTAGCGTCGAGTCGACAGCGCCTCGCTTCAGCCAAAAGCTTGGCTTGCTGGGAGCCAAGACAGAGTTGCAGTGGCGTGCGTGCAGTGTTATCACTTGCCGTGCAAGCGTCCCTGCGTCTTTACCCACCAAGACCGCACCGAATGCAACTCGTGACGAAGACGGTTGCCTGAGCTCGACACCTTCCAGGCACGCCAGTCACAAGCTGCTCGGAAAGAGGCTCCGTTGTCGCAGCGCGACCATAGTTTCAAGCCGGAACGCGGCACTGCGGGGCGACAGCGTGCAACAGCAGCCACTCGCGCCCCGAACGAGCTGTCAACGCCTGCCTCATTCGAGCGACGATCTCCGTGACATATCCGAGCAGAGACCGAGCGCGTTTGACGGCGCCGCCATTTCTCCGGACGAACCCATCGCGCGCGGCCACCCGTTCGGCGAGTCCCGCCGGACGCAGTGCCACTCCCAAGTGCGTGGCGCGAACAGAGCCGGTCGCCGATTCTGAAGGAGACCAAGCGGACCGTTCCACCTGCAGCAGGTGGAGTTGTCGCGGGGAAATGGAACGCGACCGGCACGGTCTCGGCAAAGGGAGCCATGATGCATGACGTCTGTGCGACCGCACGCATGCTGGTATGGCCATATCTTTCGCGCCCGCTTTCCACCACGTCAGTGCACCCCTCGGTCTCTTGGCCGACGTCCGAGCTTGATAGATCGGACGCAACCATCTAGTGCGGCACTGCTGGCAGCAAGCCGACAACGCGAGCAACTCAACCACTTTCAATTTCGCTGTAGCACTGAAGCATCCAAAGTGCAGTGAAGTCCTACCCGTAGTCAAAATGCGTTCGCAACGAATTGTCAGTGCCTTACTGCTAGCCGTGCCGGTGACAGCCTCAACCACGTATGAAGGGTACGGCACGGTGTACACGCTCAGCTCGCCGTCCGACGGCAACTGCAACTTCATGAGCTGGCCGGACGTCGCCGTCACCAAGTACGCTGCGCTCAACGCCGAGCAGTGGGAGGAGACCATGAACTGCGGACGCTGCGCTCAAGTCACGTGCACCGACGCGTCGTGCGCCGGCCAGGCGTCCGAGATCGTGTACATCATGGACCAGTGTCCCGGGTGCGCGTACGGCGACCTGGACCTGTCCCCGGACGTGTTCGAGAGCATCACGGGCCAGTCGTACACGAAGCTGAGCATCGAGTGGCAGTTCGTGGACTGTCCGATCTCGAACAACGTGCAGTACTGCCTGAAGACGGGCAGCAGCGAGTTCTGGGTGGCGGTGCAGCCGGCCAACTTCGTGTCGGGCGTGCAGAGTCTGTCGATCAACGGGCAGGAGACGTCGGTGATCGACTCGGCGTACTACTTCCTGATCGACGGCAGCGGCGAGAGCGTGGCGGATCTGAGCTCTGTGAGCATTTCGCTGACGGGGGTGAACGGCGAGGTGCTGGAGGAGACGCTGTCCTTGAGTGCCGACGAGTGCACTAACGGTAATTCACAGTTTTCGTCCAGTGGGGACAGTTCCCAGACGACGACCACTGTACAAACTTCGACATCAACAACGACGACACCGACAACGCCGACATCGACAACTCCAACACCGACAACTCCAACACCGACAACGCCGACTCCGACACCGACGACCCGTGCACCGACAACCGCACCCGTCACGGAAGCACCGACAACTACACCAGTGACACAAGCACCCGTCACGGAAGCCCCGACTACCGCGCCCGTCACAGATGCCCCCACCATGGCTCCAGTGACGGAAGCGCCGACAACAGTTCCAGTGACTACGGCACCAGAAATTGAAGCCCCTACCACTGCTCCTGTCACGGAGGTGCCCACTGCTCAACCTACCCCATCGCCGACCCCGACACCCACGCCGACACCAACACCGACACCGACACCGACTCAAAAGCTTTCGGCAGCTCAATCGCCATCATCCAGCTCGGATGCCGCACCGGCGACCCATTCATCGTCAGTCGACCAAGAGAACGTTGTTCCAGCGACGTCCACCAAGGCTGCGACTGTATCGTCTACCAACTCGACATCATCAAGTGACGTTGAGCAAGAGTCTGCAAGCGCGTCGGTTGACAACGAAGAGCAAAGCGCCACGAAATTGTCGTCGTCCGCAGAGACGTCGACTACAGTGCAGTCGGACGCATCCACGCCGGCGCCCACTTCAACACCGAGCGCCACCGTGGCTTCCGTGCAGGAAGAAGCCTCCAGCAGCGGTGGTCTCCACTCGACGGCCGCCATCGTCGGCCTCATTGCTGCCGTCTGTGTGGCTTTGGGGGCTGCTGTCGGCGTGGCGATGGCCGTCCACAGGAAGCGCAAACTGCTCGAAGCGAGCAAGAACGCGGAGGACCGCGATTCGATGGCGTCGTACGTAAGCGTCCGCACACCAAGGTCGGAGGTCCCTGTGCTGCACTCCGCAGTGTAGAGAGGTGAGCGCTGAGGAGCTCAGTAAAGCCCATGCAAATGTGTTGCAGTAGTGACGTTAGTTATAAACTCTACGTGAAAGAGTGTCTGAAGTGTCTGATAATTCGACCGAAGTCGTTGAGATATACATGTACCACGCAGTAGGCTGGTATCTTTCTCGCCATTGCGTCTACCGTAGCTCATCAGAAATGAGCATGCGTGCTTGCAAGTTGGCGCGTTGAAGCTCAGCTAATCAAGAGGGTGGCGCGCAGGAAGCACGCCATTATTGCCTCGTTGTCTTCGGTAGCGTAGCCTTCGACAAGAGGATCACGCTGCAACGTCCGTTACCCGCGTCAACTCTTGACAAGCTGAAGCTCGCTTGACTTCATCTTATCCGGGTGCGGTGCATCGATAAGAACTGACAGCTTCATCATCTCAGTACTATGAGCACCACATGACCGGCTGCACGTGAAGTTGTGGGCAGCGTGAAGAAGGTCAATCGGAAGAAGCGCTCACAGACCAAGAAGAATCGCGTACAGTAGAAGGCACCCACGCATATGACGGCTGGATTGGCATATGGCTGCATCTGGGCATCTGCCCACTTGCGTGGATGCTGGCCGATAGTCGAGCACTGTGATTTCCATGCTAGACGCCTAAACATCCTTTGAAGAATGCCAGGGTTGAGCACATTCGTCAGCAGGCAGCTGCTGCAATAGAGAGAAGGTGTCCACGCAGCTTCTTGATCGAATTCTTTCAGAGTTCACAACTGAATTTTCCAGCAAACACTCAAGCTACTCAATACCCAACTCAAGGTCTTTTTCGTCTTCACTATGGCCGCCATTGTCCCGATCTCTTGCAACCAGCGTTGGCGCAGTCGCTCTCGCAACGCCAGCACGGACTCGGATTTCCTCGGCATGGTGCCTACCTCTCCTTCGGTCATGGGTGAGCTCACCATTATCCCGGTGGATGAAGCTGCGTACGAAGGCGACGACGAAGACAAGGGCGTCGAGCGAGTCGAGTCGCCGCACAACCTCGTCATGCCCCGCGAGTACGCGGCTCAAGAACCGGCGTGGCCCGTCGTGCCGTCTAACAACGCCAAAGCCATGGAGAGGCGGCGTGCGAGCGGCTTCTAGGCTGGAAGCCGACAGTGACATGATCACTATGAACAGTTTGATGTCGTCTAGGTGTGTACCAGTGTCGTGAACAATGCGTAATGAGACGAGTACAATTCTCGGTTAATATCAGCTTATACCCCCTTGCCTTCAAGTCAGTGCGACGACTCGCGCTGCAGCGACAAGAGCGGTATCGTGTCCGTGTACATCGCGAGTTAGTTATCCGAGTGTAGTCAAGTCAACGTGGACTTATCCTCGGCCGTGCTCAAGCTCGTACCGGTACAGCCAGCATCAAGTGAAAGCGAGTGGCGTGCCGATCCCCCAGTCTTCCGCGGCCGGCAGCCAGGAGCGGAACGACGAGTCTGTCAGTACATGAGGATCGGACGATACCAATCAGGCGGACGAACACCAGGACGAAGGCTCTCGTGGTGCTGGCGGTTGTTGGTGGCGGCTTCGCTCTGAGATGCTGTTGCCCACGCGGTCGTGAGGAAAAACTAGACAGGAAGCGCGACGGCTGCAATGAAGTTTTTGCCGCGTTCAGCTCGCCTGGGCGTATCAACTCGACGATCGCCCAGATCTTAACCTACTAAGTATGTGGTTCCTTTCGATGTTCTGACGGAGTATGTAGCTGCGATCAATTGTTAGCAAGAGTGGGTGCTGATGGAGTTTCGGTACGATGTAAGGAAAATAGGGTAACTTGAAGCGGTTCTTGGTTGAAGGACACCTTGACTTGTCATGTGAGCTCCTGCGAGCCTGCATTGACAAGCGTTCATGTTGCTGCCTCACTTTCAAAGGACGTTGGCGGTTACCAACTAACAGGTACATGTTGAAGTGATCCAACCAATCATAGACACATAAGCATCTATGTTTTGACCGTACGGTTTTGGTTTAGTAAATATGCTACGACAACTTTATCAATTGAAGGTCAAGACCGTACTTACACAGGATCATTTCTATAGTACCTTCTTTTCTACTTGACTTTCCAAGTAGACAACCTCAATAACTTTGATGATCGTATTCGACTTCATTCATTGACTCGGGATGTCGGTGGTTGCAGTGCTGGGTCCTCTTTTGGACCTGCTCCCCCATTGATGAACGTCCGCTGTCGCTATTCCAAGGCAGCGTGAGTGAGTGGAGTGATATGAGAAGTTATTGATTTTTCTATTCTCCCTATTTCTCTTTTTCATTCAATTTTCTTTACCAATCAAACTATAATGCTTCTGCAGTACTACGACGTACTCCTTCAACACATCCGTCCTTTGCACACCGGTATGTGTATGAACAAACCTACTACCTGACACTGAGAGCGCGGAGGTACATGTGGTAATTCACAGCGCTAGTATTTACGCGGAAGTATGGAAACACGACCTGTAAGTGGCTTGTAGAAGTAAAGCGAACTGTGACTTGAGCACCACGAGCAGTTTGATGTTTAGGTGCGTACCAGTGTCGTGAACAATGCGTATTGACAAGGCATCTCCCCCCTGTGCGACATGCTCGTGCAGCCTTCGAACGAGGTGACGCACTGCAGAAGTTTGCGCTGGAGCTGCTCGATCTGCGAGGCTCGAGGGCTAAGTGTAGACGCCTTTGTCGTCTCTGAATCTGCTCTGGTGCTCGTGGCTGCGGCAACGTTGTGTAGATGCAGCAGCTGATGCTCGACGATGCTTGGACTCACCGCAGCCTTCGGCTGCACGTTGAGCTCGTTCAGCGTCCGCCAAATGGCGGAAGACCGTACTTACACAGGATCATTTCTATAGTACCTTCTTTTCTACTTGACTTCCTAAACCTACCCCGAGACGCCGATGCTGTCGTTGAGCGCGTCTCCGTCCACCCGTTCGCGTTGCGCGAGCGCGGAAGATGGAGACGAGTTCTACGACGCGATCGAGTGCCCTCAGTCCCGCGCGCTACAGGTTGGCGGAAAACGCCGCCGCCTCAACGACGTTGGAGACGACTGCGACGTGACCGAGCTTGTCGACACGAACGAGGATTGCCCCCGTGCCCCAGCGCCCAAGCCATCCGCGGCTAGCACCTCCCCAGCCTCAGTTCGGACCGTGTATGTGCACAACGCGCAGCACTTTGAGTGCACGCTGTGCACGTACACCGCTCCAAGCTTCGGCTCGCTGCGCGACACCGTGACTCACGTCACCGCCGTATTGCCTTCTTGGACCGATTCTCGGCCGGATGCACATGCGTCAGGCCGTTCACTACAAGACTGGCGGCCGCCCGCCACTCTCTTGCGTGCCCAACCACTATGGTAACCCTACCGATGCCGACAGCGCCGGCGGTAGAAGCATCAAGCTTCGCCGTCGGTGCTGACGATGCAACCGTCGACGTTGCAGCCCCCACCGCACCCGTTCCGACCCCCCCCCCCCACGAAGAACTAGAAGGACCCCCCATCCCAGCCGTCTGCGAAGTCTACCGCGGTGCAGTCGGGGCCGCCCGCGTAGTCTACAGCAGTACAGTCGGAGCCGTCAGTGGAGAGGCCCTCTTCGCGCTGGGGACGATCGCTCCCGCGAAATTAGGTCACCACCCGAGTGGCGACCCAGATTGCCGACCGCCTCGGGGCAACCCAACCAAGGTGGGATCGGCCATTACCCCGTGAAATAATTGCTCAACAAATTGCTACACGTCTTGGATCATGCCCCCCCCCCCGTCGGCATCGATGCCACCCAACGCGCCGTTAGCAGCTTTCGACCCCGTCGCCAATCCGATTTCGACGCAAAACACCGCTGCTGAGCCGACCCGGGCCAGCCTACACGATGCCACTACCCCACTCGGTGCCCCGTCGACGCAAAGCACCGTATGACCAAGTACTAGTACTGCCAACAGCGGCACCATCGACATGGCTGACAGTGATCCTACCAGCAATACTGACGTCGATATGGACGTCGCTGGCGGCGGCGAGCCTCCAACGATCGAGGCGGCCACAACCGGCGAGTGGTTACTGCAGTTTGATGGTGCATGTCGTAAGAATCCCAACCCTGGGGGTGCTGGCGCGGTGCTCTTCAATCCTGCGGAGGTGATAGTATGGACAGGTTCGCTCTACATGCCTAACGCCGGAGAGACCAACAATACGGCGGAATATACGGCACTTCTGCTTGGGGTCTGCGTAGCTGCCGATCATGGGGTCCGGCGCCTCCGAATAGAGGGCGACAGCACCCTTGTCGTTCAGCAGGTGCGCGGTCGCTACCGAACGAATAATGCGAGGCTGAGTGGGCTGCGTAAGCGGGTTATGACCGAGCTCCGGCGGCTCGAGCACTATTCGCTACATCAGATAGACCGCCAGCGAAATGGACAGGCCGATCGTCTTGCCAATCGCGCTCTTGATCGGCGCAACACGCGCGCTGAGTGTGGTGTTCACCTAACGGCTATTGGCTGCACATCTAGGGATATCGACCCGGCGCGACCTCTGAACGCGATCGCCTCGCAGCCACCCGAAAATCCTGGGTCCCAAGATGTACCCATGTGCGAAGAAACAGTGGCGGCTGAACCCCCTGCTGATGCTGACGATGGTGAGGTCTACGCACCGATGCAGGTCGGCACAGAGGCGGTCCCTAATCGCCGCTCGCGTCTATGACTTCGGGAGCTCAAGGCCGAAGAAGAAGAAGCTGCGTGTGCAGACACGGAGCGGCTGGGTGTGGCGTTAGCAGCGAAGATCACAGATGCAGCAGACTGGAGTACCGCTGAAGGCTACATTTCCGCGCTTCCATATCTAATCTACGAGAAATTGCAGCCGTACACGGCCGCTGCATCGTTAGCGGCGGCGGCGACGCCACACGACCGGCCGCGCCCGGCCGAGCAATGCGCTCCAATTGGTGCATCGTCGCGGCTTCGTGCCGGCCGCAGGCGACGACGACGGCACAAGAAGCAACGACCCCGCGCAACTCGAACTTCAACAGGAAGAAGCGAATCGATGAGGCATTAGACAACCTCTATGCGATGGAACGCAATAATACGAGTACTCGCCAATATATACGCAAGGCGCGGCGCCGGGTTGGTCGTATTCGCCGATCTCAAGAAAAGCAACGTCTGCGCCATCGTTTTAATACTGCCGAAAAAGACTGCGTGGCGGAGATCCTACAACGTCCAGCAGCAGCCAGGACGCGAGAACAATCAGCAGCAGCCCAGCCGAACCCGAATCTGGTCCACGACAGCGAAGACGGCGAGGATCCCGGCTGCCCCCTCTCCGGCGAGCAGCTCTGGCAGTACTTTGACGGTATCAACACGCCGCGGTCCGAGTTCGACCCGCAAGCGCGCGTCGGAACGGCCTTTCGCGACGCTGTGCGTAGCTTACCGGCCGCGACTGCGCTGCCCGATCTTCTAACTGAGGCCCCCTCGGAAGAGGATATCGAAACGCAGCTTAACCGGGTCAATTTGCGCTCCAGTCCAGGCTTGGACGGGGTTGGCTACGATATCTATCGACGGTTTGCTGCCCAACCGCTCCTTGCACTCGCTGCAGCGTTTGTATGCTGTTGGGAGCACAAGCGCGTCCCTAGAGTTGGAAACTTGGCACGGTTCGGCTGAACTTTAAGAAAGGATCCCGTGATGACCCTAGTAACTGGAGGCCAATTTGGCTGCAGCAGTCGATTTACAAGCTGTACGCAGGAGTGCTGGCAGGACGCTTTACACGCTGGCTGGACGCTAATGAGCGTCACGCCCCTGCCCAAAAAGGTTTTCGGTCTGTCAATGGCTGTGGAGAACATAATTTTGTGGCGTCGACTCTGATTGACCAAGCGCGGCGAAAGCACCGCGAGCTCCGGATCATTTGGTACGACCTCAAGAACGCATTTGGCAGCGTACTACACGATCTGTTGTGGTACATCCTCCGGTTGCTAGGTGTTCCACCGGACTTTGTTGGACGCTGCCAGGGCATCTATGATAATGCCGCTTTTGTTGTCGGCAACGCGAAAGATGGACCATCGGCCCCGGTGTCGCTGCGTGTTGGCGTGTTCCAAGGTTGTCCACTTAGTCCCCACTTTTTTACGGCAGTGGTTACTCCGCTCTTGCTCGCGCTGGATAAGTTAAATGATGCCGGTGTGAAGCTATCGGGCGCGGATCGACCAGGCGTGTACGCATTTGCAGACGACTTGAAGGTCTTCAGCACGAGCAAAACAGGCATCGACCAGCAGCACAGGGTGGTAACGAACTTTTTGCACTGGACGAGCCTCCAGGCTAATCCCTTGAAGTGCCGCTCGCTCTCCGTCACGCGAAACACGCGATGCAATCTGGTTTCAGGTGATCTAGCAGCTAAACTCGATGGCGAAGCGATTCCGAGCTTGATTTTGCACGAGGCGTACACCTACCTCGGCATCGGAGACGGGTTTGACCATGCCATGAGCCGAACCGAGATTACTCCGGCAATTGCAGAGCTCAAGCGCGACGCCACAGCTCTTCTCCAGTCTGGTCTCGCGCCATGGCAAGTCGTTAAGGCTGTGAAAACATACCTGTATCCTCGCGTTGAGTATGCACTGCGGCACCTTCGTCCGTTCAACCAGCAGCTGGCCGGCTTCGACAGACATCTAGCGCGCGGACTGCTCAATCTCTTTCGCCTACCCTCGAATTCTACAAGGGCATTTTTGTATGCACCAGTCACCCGTGGCGGACTCGGACTTCTCCCGCTGACCGAACTCCATGCAGCTCTACAACTAGCCTATGGGTGGCAGGTATTGCACTCACCAGACCCTTCGATTCAGCGTATTGCTCGTACTCAGCTCCGTGATATTGCTGCTGCGCGTTACCACCTTGACCATGACTATTGGAAGACCCGCACGGACGAACTCGCCGAGATGCTGCTGAACTCTAAGCTGGGCGAGTCTGTACATGCACCGAAGAAGAGGAACTCAAGTGATATCGGTTCTCTTTGGATTGATATTCAACGCCATTTGACGTCGTTCGATTTGCAATTTGAAACAGCACCAGCGGACGCCGCCACGGGGATCCCAGCTACTGCTCTCCAGCTTCAAGTTCCCCACCACAAAGGCTGGCTCGACTACAAGACTGTTCTTCGACAGCTCAAGATGCACATGAAATACCGACACTACCACCGCTGGACGCAGATGATGGACCAAGGCCGGGTCGCCCGAGCGATTGGCGGTGCTGGAAGTGCGTTTTTGACTTGCCCACGCGGTCTCTGGGAAGCGGACTACCGCTTTGCAATTGCTGGCCGACTGAACCAAGTCGATACCAACAGCGTGCTTAAACGCAAAAAGGTTCGCGCCCACGCTACATGCAGACACCCTGGTGGCTCATGGAACGAAACGCTCGGTCATGTGCTTGGACACTGTCCTGGTACCGAAGGTGCTGTTCGTGGCCGTCGTGATGACGTCCTCAAGCTGATTTCCCACGCTATCGAGGCATCTCCGCGCGGCAGCCACGGAGAAGTCGAGTTGCTAGTCGACCAGACAGTGCCAACGCTCCCAGGACCAGCCCTTCGCCCAGATTTGCAGCTCTACAATCGTGCCAAGCGCACTGTAGCCATCGTGGATCTCGCCATCACCTACGAAGACCATCGTAACGACTCTCCTGGCAGCTCGTCCCTCGCTCGCATTGCAGACCAGAAACGCAAGAAATATTCCAGTGTGAGGAGGCATCTCGAGCGGCAAGGTTGGTCAGTTCAACTATCTGCACTCGTATATGGAGTACTTGGGTCTGTGGCGCAGGGCAATCACAAGGTACTGACTACGGAGCTCGGGCTCCTTAAAAGAGACGCTAAACGCCTTGATCGGCAAATTTCAGCAGCGTGTATCCAGAGCAGCCGACGAATTTGGGCGGACTTCTGCAGGCAGCACAGGCAGCGACAGCACACAAGGAAACGGGGTGGTCGAGCGACGGAGATCGGGGGGTCCCCGTCAAGTGGCCACAGCTAGACGTACTCACGCACGCACCCTCCGTAATGGGGTCTCCGCCAATGGATGGTGTCGAGGTATTAAAGTCACGTCGGTTCCGGGAACCGACGCTGCGAAAAGACAGAGACACTTCGCGTCGACTCCGGGAGTCGACGCACCCTTTGTAACGAAGGGCTCCGCCAATAACAGGCGTCGAGGTGAAGCTGGCGTGTCGGCTCCGGGAGCCGACGCTACAGGCGGTGCGGACGGTTGCGAACGTCCCGCACCGAAAAAAACTTGCATGCTGTCGTGCAGCTGGGCTGCAGGACGAATCACCGTGCGACCAAGCCGGGCTTGAAGTCGCTCGCCCGCGGGATATACCCGCCGGCGGTATAAAAGAAGAACACCCGTCCACGGCTGGGCCTGGTCGAGGTCAAGAACCAAGTGGAGCCGGGCTTCGCAAAACAAGAAGATGGCGCATGCGGAGGTCGCTGCGCAAGTCTCGGCCTGGGGCCGAGACGCTACAAGAAATGTGTGCCGGGCAGACGGAGGCTGAGAAGCCGGACGTCGAGACGTTGAACGTCTTGACGCGTACCTGTGCCGGATTCCGGTGCAGGGAGATGACTCTCGCTAACCCTCCGACGCAAGCGTCGGAGTTGACTTCGCTTCTAGCCATGAGCTGGAAGCGCTTCGCGCGTGATTTGCACGATGGACGCATCGAGCAAATATGCATCCTCTCGGACGCCGAGAGAACGAAGAGCGAGAATGAAGAACTGAGGCAGTTCTTCATAGAGAGCAGAGGACACTCTCAGTGCGAACGCGAAAAAGGAGCGCTTTGAAGAGCAGATCTGGGACTCGTTGAAGAGGAGTCCCTACTACGAGATCTTACGGGAGTGCGCGGACGAGCTTCCAGAAGAGATCCCTGCGGAGCTTCCGCAGGACAAGGGCATCCAGCACGAGATTGATCTCGTGCCGGGCACGAAGTACTGTGTCACGCGGCAGTGGCCACTGCCGCAATAGCAGGTCAAAGCGATCGACGATTTCTTCGAAAGTCGTCGCAAAGCTGGAAAAGTGCGGGAATCAAAGTCCCCGCACAGTGCTCCGACGTTCTGTGTCAAGAAGCCACAGGGCGGCTGGCGCATCGTTCATGCATACAACAAGCTGAACGATGCGACGATACCGGCGCAGACACCGATACCGCGAAAAGATGTCATCATCGATTCGATGGCCAGGAGCACTATCTACAGTGCTCTTGATCTGCGTGATGGATTATATCAGATCCTCATGCGTGAGGGCGATATCCCTCTCACGGCCGTGAGCACGCCGAGCGGCATGCTCTGGGAGTGGCTAGTGATGCTACAGGGCCTGAAGAACGCCCCTGCGACCTTCAACAGGTGCGTGACGCACTTGTTGCGCTTGGTGCGCGACTTCGCACCGAGCTACTTCGACGATGTGTTCGTCCACAGCCGGGCTGCGGACGGAATGAGCGATGTTGAGATGCACAAGGTGCATCTCCGAAAGCTGCTTGCGCTCATGCGCAAGCACAAGCTCTACGCAAACCTGAAGAAGTGTATCTTCGGGGCGAGCGAGATACCCGTGCTCGGGTGTCTCGTCGGGAAGAACGGTGTCCGCCCTGACCCTGAGAAGGTCAGAGTGATCAATGAGTGGCCGACACCGTCGAATGTCAAGGAACTGCGGCAGTTCCTTGGCTTGGCCACGTATTTGTGCAAGTACGTGAAGGTCTACGCGGGCATGATACGCCCGCTGTCCCAGCTCCTGAAGAAGGACATCGAGTGGGTTTGGACTGCTGAATGTCAGCAGGCCTTCGATGCAGTCAAGCGGGGCTTGACTGAGGCGCCGATCTTGGCGGTGGCCGACCAAGATCGCCCGTTCCACGTTGTGTGCGACGCATCCGACTTCGCAATCGGATTTGCGTTGATGCAGCACGATCACGAGGGTCGTAATCGTGTCGTCAACTACCAATCGCGTCAGCTGAAGCCAGCTGAGCGCAACTACCGGGTGCATGACAAGGAACTCCTTGCCATGAAGTACGCACTCGCGAAGTTCCGAGTGTATCTACTCGGAAGCAAACCGTTCGTGGTCTATACGGACCACGCGTCGCTGCGGACGGCTGTGAAGTCGCCGCACATCTCGCAACGGATGGCGAGATGGCTCTCATTCTTCGCAGAGTATAAGAAGACTCAATGTGGTGGCCGACGCGCTCTCGGGTCGACCTGACTACGCCACGACTGATGCCGACGTCAATGCAGCACTCCAATGTCATCACTGTTGGACGACGTGAAGGTCGCGTCCACGCACGACGCGGACGCGAAGCTCTTGCTGGCCTACGGCTCAGAGGCTTCTGACAAAGCTCGTCAGAAGCTGCCGAAGCATCTTCGTGCTCGTGCACGCCGTTACCGGGTTATTACTCTACAGTGTAGTCGACGACAACGCGGACCGCGTTGTCGTGCCCAATGGCCATGACCTGCGACTCAGGATCTTGTATGAGTATCACGATGCACCGACTGCGGGGCATCCGGGCCGTGAGAAGACATACCTTCTTCTCACGCGGGACTTCTACTGGACCCACCAGTATAACTGGGTGCGCAAGTACGTCCGTGCTTGCGAGGTTTGTCAACGTGTGAAGCCTGCGCGTTTCGCGCAGGCTCCCTTGCAGTCACTGCCGACTCCATTGGAATGCTGGCGTTCCATGTCTTTGGACGTCGTGTTCGGTCTTCCCCCGGACAGCCAGGGGAACGCGGGCGTTGTGGTCTTTGTTGACCGCTTCAGCAAGATGGTACATCTTCCTGCGGTACCCGCTGAAGTGACTGCGAAGCAGACGGCGCGTCTGTTCGTTGACATGGTGTTCAAACACCATGGCATGTCGATCGACATTATGTCGGATCGAGACCCGCGCTTCACTGCACACCTTTGGCAAGAAGTGTTTACACTTCTTGGGAGTCAACTTTCGATGTCGACTGCGGACTATCCGCAGACGGACGGGCAGGCCGAGCGCGTGAACCGCGTGCTCGTAGACGTGCTTAAGAGCTACGCTCACTCGTTCCAACACTGCAGCGAGTGCCTGCCGATGGCGGAGTTCGCCATCAATAACTCGGTGGATGTCTCGATCGGGCATACGCCGTTTTACGTGAATGCCATGAGTCCCGCGTCTACTCGGGATGGTGGCTCCTTCCTTAAGTTGAGGAGGATCTTCAACTGCAACGCAGCAGCCGAAGACTGCCGCTGACACTTGTACAATGTCAGCCGCGACCACGCGCAAGAAGAAGAAGAAGACGGGTCTGTACAGGGCTCAGACACCGCGAAGCCGAACGCAGTGGCCGGGCCTACTGCTGGAAGCGAGCTGAACTCGTTCAGCTCGGAAGCAATCAACTTCGTGCAACGCAGACAAGCCGTCATTCGGTTTGACCAAGACGCGATTGCAGCTTCTGTTAATCAACAGAAGCTGAACGCAGACAACGTTGGCAGAGGCAACACTAATGAATTTGAGAAGGGTTCATTAGTCCTGTTAGCTACTCAAAACGTGCCTAAACATGCAGTTTCCGACTTCGGGGCGAGCAAGCTCGTTCCGCGCTGCATCTGGCCATTCACTGTGCTGGCACAGCTCGGCAACGCCTACACACTGGACATACCGCCTAGTATGCGCCTCCACCCGACGTTCTACGTCGGACGGCTGACTGCAGCACGAGCTACCTAGCTCGGCTGAACCGAGGCAGACGACTCGGCGGTAGCCATCATCCTCTCCAGCGCGACTTCGCGCTGGAGCAGCGGGTCGAGCTAATGGTCCAGCTCGACCGGAACGATCGAGGTGGTCTGGGAGGCCGCCGCAACCTGAGGATACTTCCGAGCGCCGAACCCAGCGCTCTGGAACTACTCCATCACCGGAACTCGGTCGTGGGGAGACGCGAGATCAGGTTCAACACCAAGTTGACCACACACGGGGTATGTTTCCACCATCACAGCAGCAAATTCGTGACGCACATGGCTCAACTCGATGGATAGTTGAGCGGATTGTTGGTCACAGTATACCGAAAACGAACAGGCAACCGATTCGTTTTCGTATCCGTTGGAGAAGATTCCCTCCCAACCAAGATAAATGGGAGCCGCGGAACGTCTTGCTCGAAGACGTCCCGGACATGATGAGGGCGTACGAAGCCCACCACGCGCTACACGCTGGAAAGTAATACGAGCGCTGCTGTTAACAGCAGCACCCGAAGGCACTTCGAGGGCAGATATAGGTACCTGCCTCCGTGGCAGCGACGCGCTTCGCACGTTGCCGCACATTATACGCAGCATCAGAGATGTCCTCCGCTGGTACGCCAGGGGTCTTCGACTTCGACGTGCTCGTTACGGAACGAGCACGCTCTCTTCAAACGTCACGCATTGACCAAACGGTCAATGGTAGTTGACGTGCCGAGACCGGCACGTCTAACCTTGACGGGGGGACGGTGTAAGGGGGTTACACGCACAAGTGGCTACAGTCACTTGTAACTCTGACAGACACGACGTCTGTTAGAGGTTCGAAAGACTTTCTCGACCTTGGTGTAAGGTACACCAATGGCTACATACATTTGGGACCACCACGACGGGTGGTTCATACACATTTAGGATTCCTATTGGCTGAAAGCAGCATCTTTTAGCCAATGAGCGACTTGCATGTTAGCGGAATCCTGCCAACCAGCAGATTCCTAGTTTAGAATATTACATTCGGGGGAAGTCAAAGCATAAATCACAAATATTAATAACAGTTCTCATCTTTACCAAAACCCGCTACTTAGAATCTTTATTTTGTTTAAAGTATACTCGTGGATCTCGAGTATACTTAACTCAAGTAAAAGAAACCTACGCTTCCTTATACACGTGCGCACGCGTAAAAGCCGTAGTAGTAAGCCAACATAGGCCCACTACAACGACGGCCCATGGCTCCTTACGAGATGTCGTCGCACGACACACCTCGTCCCCCACTGTATTCAGCTTGTAGATATTTCCACAGCGCTTGGCCTCCATCACCGTCGCACTTGTCCTTGCTGAATTGCGCGTCGACATCCTTCTCGGCTAGCTTCGACACCGAGATGAGGCTCCCATCACCTTCTGGGATGTACAGAACATCCGACAACGTGACGGACGTCCCGTCCATCAACTTCAATCCGACGGTGCCCTTTGCAACTGCGTCGATCTTCGTGCCATTCGCGATCGTCATGCGGACTGGCGTCTTCAGCTCTTCATGGACACGAACTTGTCCCGGACGCTGGTCATGTGCCAGCTGGCACCGGAGTCCACAAGTCACTCCGACTTTGCCATTGTGCCCGTAGCCGTGAACACAAAGTCCGACGCTTCCTGCGCAACTTGTCCACGTCCCTCATCGGCCTTCTTCTTGCGGCACTCTTGCTCCTTGTGCCCGAGCTTCTTGCAGTAGAAGGACTTCCCGGAGAACCCGCGGTTGCGGAAATCCTTCTTCGTTGCGAATGCCTTCTCCCGAGCCGATGTCGAATCCGCCGAGACTTCAACACCAGAAAGAGGTTGAATCGCGTACGCCAACGTCATGTTCGGCGTTTTCTCGAGTACGGTGCTGACCATCCGGTACTCGTCCGTATAACTGCCCACCAGCAGCACGAGTTGGCGAGTCTCGGCCAGAGCTGCACCAATCATCTCCATTTGCAGCACCAGCTCCTTGATCCGGTCCACATGTGCCACGAACCGCGTCCCGGGCTCCATCTTGAAGTTGTGCAACTTCTTGGTCACGACGAGCCGATTCTTGAGAGTGTTCCGGTTGAACTGCTCCTCAAGCAGGCGCCACGATTCAGCAGCGGTTATCGCTCCACGGATGTAGACTTGGTATGTGAGACTCACGTCCCCAGCGATCACACCAAGGACCTTCAGATCGTCGGTCTTCCATTGTTCCGTGGAGCGGTCACACAGCTGGTCGAACTCTGGCTTGACGATGTCCCTTGCGCGACAGTTTCATCCGCATGTTGAACACCCAGTGGAAGTAGTTGTCTTCCACGAGCTTCACGGTGTCTGCGTAGCTGGGGCTCATAACCACTTGAGATTATGCGGGCGAGGCTTGGTAGTCGAGTGTTGGTTAGGAAGGAAATCCGAAAGTGAATTAGAATGAGTTAGAACAAACTAACTATCATATCCTTGTCTCCTATGCTTAAACATGATTCGTACCAACACACACCTCCTACTTCCAAGTATTAGAGGCTGGGGATCAAAAAGTAAATGTTGCAGATCGTATCCAGAAAGGCAACTTCAACTTGCCTTTCTCTCAGCCAATCAGAAGTGTCAAATCTTGGGGCTCCGCTAATCAGATCCCAGTATTCCACCACGTGTACCACAATTGCCTACCATCGGCAACAACTTCACAGCAAGCACGTGCCTCGATACGGAGACACACAACTAGACTGCGAAGTGTACGATCGCAACATCTACGACTGTTTGTGGAGCACTACCTCACGCTGTACCTCGCTAAACATGCCGTACAGGTATAAGTCCGAAGTGTGTCGTGGATGTAGTTTCGTCCCGAAGTTTTTCATCAATCTGATCCTGTAATATTATTATTATTATTTGCGGATTTTATGTTTTGAATCGACAGCTGACCAACTATTGTGTGCGCACTTGGATCAACTACAGTCACACCTCTAAAAATGACACCAAGTTCGCTCGGTCTAATACGCTGTTTCAGTTAAAAAAAAATTGATCAGATAAAGAAATGGCTACACTTCTAATGGCTACATTTTCATATGTTAGGTGCACAGTACAAGGGCTTTCTTTACCTGGTACCCCTCCAGCATTTTCGTACTCTTGTTTTGTTTCGTCTTCACACAGACAGAACTTAACCAATAACGGTAGGCGCGGTATTGTCTGTTCCTACCCCTTCTTCTCATTGGTATTAGCAGAATCGCATCCCCTCAGGTTGTACGTGAGTTTCAATACAGTGAGGCTATGGGAATATTTGTTGTCCCGATATCCTGCCACCATGCCTGCAGTTTTATCTTTTGCTTGGTATCTACTGCATAGCCCCTAGTTGTCTCGACATCATAATATTTTAGTTTTCGTAAAATATATATGTACGCTGCGCTGATTGTAAAATACTGTGGCTAGCTTATTTATCAGTATTTACAAGTTGCAGTTACTGCAAACTCTTTGTTCCAACTTAGCATCCCAAATAAAATTTCTCTCTTCGCTCGATTTGTTGTGGCGGGAGTAGTGGTAGCAATGGCATACGTGGGAGGAGGCAGACAAGTGATTGAGAAAAATATATGAGTTTGGATCTATTACTACGGCGTCCATTTAGAGGGTTGAGGCGCCAACAATGGCGACCATTTAGAGAATAAAGAGGTTTTTGATCAGTTATAGAACACCTATAGTGAAATCCATATAATCCCGTTTGCAGTCGAGGAATCCTAACCAGATAGGAAACACATAGTCAGTTAGAGGGGTTAATTTAGGGGGTGTCACTGTATCATCTCGAACATCGACAGGTGCGGATCTTGGCCTTGAAAAATGGGGTGGCAGGAAAAAACATGGCCGTTGATACAGCCCATGTTTTCTAAACGGGTTAGGGTAAGGGACATATTAAAAACAAGTAAGAAATCTCAAACATGTTGAAACATGGCCAAACATGTTCGGCTTGTGGGACGGGTGTCATGGCCTACAAACACTATGCAATTCCTATGGGCTAAGGTGATCTTCGGCTGCCAAAAGTCGCTTTCCCGGCGCTTTAAGCCCTCTGAAGACCGACCAAGCGTTGAGGAGGGAATACCATGACTAGCCATGGCACTGGGGTGAAGTTTGCAAGCTCTTCATGCCTCTCAAATGCCGCTGGTGTCGATTTCGCTAGGACGCTCCCGACAGATTTGGGTTCATTTCACCCCCTCTGACTAAAAACATGGGCTCTATCTTTTCCGAAAATACATAGGGGGCAGGGCTGGGGGAATGGTCAGAATTCGGGCAAAACATGGCTGAAATCGGCAAAATCGGGTCGAAATCTCAGAAAAATGGGGAGGGGGGGGGGGGGCACGCGCCCCCTGAAAATCCACCCCTTCGTCTGTTGCCAAATATTCCTCACTGCTTCTAAGTAATAACCCCAAGGTGGAACGTAATTTCTCATTAAGAAAAAAAATGCATACAGCAGTCAAGTCAACAATTTTAATGTGGCGGACATCAACAGCGGGGTGTGAATCGAACGTTGAAGTTGCTGCTGTTCCTCATTCTCCAATTCGCCACGGATCACGCAAGCGGAGAAGAAGATGGCGGCGGAGCTGCCAACTCCAGTCGCTTTCACGGCCGTGAGGCTCGTGTTCCTCTCCAGGAGCTGTGCAAGGCCTGCACGCTCAACTCGATCCGCCTGCTGGACCGCATCTGGGACAATAGTCTGCCGGAAACAGAGCCGTCACCGGCTGACTTGGGTCCTGGCAACGGAGGCTCCTGGTCCTGACGCAAGTACCTGCGCACAGACCGCCACTACCACCGGTTCCAGTTCCGTCGCGCCATTGTGGAAGCGGTCCTGCTCGAGAACGCCAAGGACGCACAACGCGTGGTCAAGTGGCTCTGGCGCAAGTTCCACGGTTGTATTGTCCCCGCGCCCGCAGTCCACATGACCGCAGGCCAGGGAGGACTGGGCATCTTGAAGTTCTTCAAGAAGAACGAGATCGCTCCACGTCGAGATGGAGGAAGAGCCATGAGAGACGAGGTCGACGCTGATCAAGGTCACGTCGTGCGTTGGGGACGTCGGGACATGGTGCATGCTGCTAACAATAAGCAGTACAAGACCGTCTGGTGGCTCTACAAGAACGTTCAAGCTCCTCGGGCGATGAAGAGTGTGCTAATTAATGCAGTCCACAACGGAGACCTCGTGCTCATCGAGTGGCTCCGAGACAAGTACCGCACGCGTGGGTTTGACATAAATTCTGAGACGGAAGAGTACGAGCTGGAGGAGAGAGTCGCGGTTCGAGTCGTGGAGCCGCCTCGCAAAAGTGGGTTTGGACGTGTGGGGGATTTATCGGGGGAGAATGTGGGCGAGTTGCTGCGAGGAGATCCCGAGGAATTCATGGAGTTCGCGGTACGGGGAGGCCAGCTTGAAGTCCTGGATTGGATGGTCGAGAATGGTTACGTTAGCAACTGGTGTTTCCTGGCGGCTAGACCAGCGGTGGACTCGAATCGCATGGACATGGTCAAGTTCCTGATCAAGAAGAAACTGTTGGAAGCTGGTCGAGCGTTGAAGTTGGCAGCTGAGGCGTGCAAATTGGAAATGGGGAGGGAACTTCATCGACTGTACTGGAAGAAAATTGTTGCGTCGCACTATTATCCAGTGCGAGAATCTCTCGCGGAAGACGACCATGACCGGCTGTGGATCTCGTCAGAAACGATGCTGAAGGCAATTGGGTGGTGCGGCAGTTTGGAATTCGTGCAGTGGCTCGTCCAGACTTTCAGCACTGAAGTCAACCTGTTCGATACGAGCAACCTTCACGCGTCGGAGAAGAAAAGACTGAGCCTCGACACGGTGGCACGACGTGGAGACATTGCGTTGGTCAAGTATTTGCACGAGATATCGGTGGTGAGGAGTGCAAGCACGAGTCGTCAGACCAAGAGAGCAAGAATTTCGCGGGAATCTCGCTTAGCCTGCACGACTGACGCGATGGATCAAGCCGCGTCTTCGAGCCACCTTGACGTGGTGAAATGGCTGCATGCCAATCGGTCCGAGGGCTGTACGACGCGCGCGATGGATTTCGCGGCAGGAAATGGACACTTGCAGGTGGTGAAGTGGCTGAGTGCTCATCGTTCGGAGGGATGCACGGTTAAGGCTATGGATGTCGCCGCGAGCAGGGGGCACTTGGATGTTGTGAAGTGGTTGCATCGCAATCAGTCGGAAGGATGCACAACAGCAGCCATGGACAGCGCTGCAACCGGCGGCCACCTGAAAGTTGTTGCGTGGTTGCATATAAATCGAACCGAAGGATGCACAACCAAAGCGCTGGATGGAGCAGCGGAAAATGGGCATTTATCCGTCGTCAAATGGCTTCATAAGCGCACTAACGCTCGTTGCACGACAAGAGCCATGGACTGTGCTGCCAGCGAAGGTCACCTGGAAGTCGTCAAGTGGCTCCACCAAAATCGCGTGGGACGCTGCACAACTGCTGCGATGGATGGCGCCGCTCGAAACGGCAACCTTGATGTGGTTAAATGGCTTCACAAGAACCGTTCGGAAGGCTGCACCACTGCAGCCATGGATGAGGCTAAAACGCTCGAGATCGTGCAGTGGTTGCAAGCAAATCGAGTCGAGGGATGCATACCCAAAGCAATGGATCAAGCAGCCTCGGATGGTGATTTCGACCGCGTGTTGTTTTTGCATTCGGAAAGTGTCCAAGGTTGCACGGGAGAGGCATTTTTCCACACGCACAAAACGCCACTGTTCATGGGGATGCGAGAATGCGTCTTTGACTCCAGCCGACAACATTCACGACTGGCTCACTGAGTATTATCCGGACGAGGACGACAATGATATTTTTTCCGCTGTTGACGGAGAAACATGTTCGTCTTCTTGCCTAGTTCATCATCTTTTTAATTACAGCAGAATTTCACCACTGGTAGCGCCGAGTTGTTGAATTTTAGTTGGGTCTCTCTCTACACGCCTTTGTGAGCAAACCACGATAACAAAAACATCATTTCTCAAGAAAAGAACCGCGTATTTGTATTTTTCGTGGCCATCAACAACTGTTAACTTGCATTGCAGTCTTCAATCTGTGTGGCCACGAAAGGGGTTCGTGTATTCACACTTCCAAAACTGGATAGTGTTCCAAAAGCCATTGGCGAAGGCTCCTAAATCCTCCGAACCTAGTGATCGCCACTGCTTGTTGGGTGCAGCCTTCGCAACGTTGAGAATGCAGAAACAACGCAATCCCAAAGTCCCCAAGCCGAACTGCGTGATCCATCGCTTCGGTTGTGCATCCCTCGCTGCGTTTTTCGTGCAACCACTTAACGACTTCAAAGTGGCCAAAACGTGCCGCAAAGTCCATTGCGGCCGTGGTGCACCCTTCTGTGCGATGATCATGTAGCCACTTGACAACGCTAAGCTCTCCACTACGCGCCGCGCCGTTCATTGCCCTCGTAGTACAGCCTTCACTTCGGTTCTCCTGTAGCCACTTCACGATATTAAGGTGTCCGTTGGCCGCGGCCCGATCCATAGCGAAGGTAGAACAGCCTTCAGATCTGTTGTTGTGCAGCCACTCCACAACATTGAGGTGCCCATTCTTCGCTGCTCCGTCCATAGCTTTTGTTGAACAGCCTTCCGTTCGAAATTCATGTAGCCACTGAACCATCTCGATATGGCCGTGGCTTGCTGCGCTATCCATTGCTTTCGACGTACACCCTTCGGTTCGATTCAAGTGCAGCCACTGCACCACACTTAAATGGTTGCGTCTGGCGGCCCTATCCATCGCGGCGGACGTGCACGTCGGACCGTCACCACGCATCGTTGTTTCCGTTGTTGTTGGTTCTTCCTCCCTCTTTCGCTTTCGCGTATTAGCTCCTTGGAACAGGAACTGCACGCCGTGAAGAAACTGAACGATCGCTAGATGCCCAAGGCCTGCGGCCTCGTCGATAAGGGCTCGCTCATCTGTCGGCCTTCGTTTGAATAGATCGATGCCCTGCTCCATCGAAAATGTATTAAGCAACCACTGCACAGCCTCGAGGTGACCATTTTTAACGGCTGCTAGCATCGTCCGATCTGAAATCCAATCTGACACATTTACTGCGGGAGCATGTACATCGAGGGGTCCAGCTAGAGGATAGAATCGTTGTGACCGCATTTGTTCCCAATAGCGGTCGTAGATGCTTGAGGCAATCTCCATACGACCATGGCTAGCAGCCACGTCCATTACTCGAGCCGCCTCTACCAGTCTATTATCGAGCAACCAGTTGACCATATCCAGTCGATTCAGCTTGATTGCTCCATCAATTGCCTCATAAGCGTGGGCCACCATGTCTTTATCAAACTGCCACTCCATCACATCGAGATGTCCAGCAGCGGCAGCCATGCCGAGAACAACCGAAGCACGAGGTCGTTCATCGAGACGATATTGACCATTTAGCCACTCGAGCAAAATCACGTCCCCATTCTTCACGGCCGCTATAAACACGATAAGAATGGTGCGGCGTACTGACGCGTGGTGATACAGCCACCAAATCAATCCATTTTGCCTGTTCTTAGCAGCATGAACCATGTCGTTCCCACCCCAGCGCACCCAATTCCTTGCGTTTGGGCCCGATGGGGCGATCCCTCGAGCATCCAGCACCTCTCTGTTCTCTGGAGGTCCCCGTGATCGAGAAGAAACCGCAAAAGCACGATGTTCCCTTCACTCGCAGCGACTGTAACAACTCGTTCAGGTACCACGCAGTCGTGGAAATGGTCGAATAACCACCGAAAGACGTCCATACCAGCGTGGTGCGTCACGGCCTCTATCATGGCAAGTTGGAACTGGGAAAAGTTGTAGTGACGATCGGTGCGTAGATACTTTCTCCTGGACCATTCGCCTCCATTTCCTGGACCTAATGCTGCAGGGGACGGCGCACTTTCGGGGCTGCAACTGCTCCAGATCCGATCAAGCAAAGGGACGGAGTTGAGGCTGCAGGCACGACTTAGTGCCATCTCGACCGAAGAGTCCAGGAATGCGGACGTGGCTTGCACAACGTGAGTCAATTCATCGAACGCCGGCGTGGAGCGGAACAGCAGCGCTACGGCCAGCAGAGGGGCAGGCGTCGACGATTTTGGGTCTTCACAAAATGAGCCGTAGCAATTTTTGGCTCTTCACAAAATCAGTCCTAATAATTGTGTATACTCAAAATCTGGTTTGGGATTAGCTCATTCTCCAAAAGAGAAGAGAAGAGATGGCGGACGTCGAGCCGTTGCTGGTGGTGCAGCTCCTGTTCCAGTCGAAGCACGGGTTCACAGACCTCTCGCACGTGGTGTCTGTGAGAAAACAAGGTGCAGTTCGGTGCCCGGAGCCAGGCACATCTGAATACTATCCTCCGCCTTCCGCTCGGCTGCGAGTCACAGATGAACACTGAAGGTTTGTATGCAGGCGAAGGCTGTTGGTGGACAGCGACCGCTACGTTGTAGGATGAATTGACTTTGCTTCATTATAGATTTACAGTGCTTTTGTATACTGAATACAGTTTGCGGAGCGGCGTGTGTGCTGGTGCGGATCGAGCTCTGCTCACTCTTGATTTTGGCAGCTCTGCGAGCACTGCCAGAGCTCGATCCCCAGACACACGCTGCCCTGTCGTGGCATCTTGCGCCCGGCACGTACAGTGTTTAGACATTTCCTTTATTGCTCTTACTGTTAGCTACAGCTTACGTGTGCTTTGCCTACAATGGCACCTACACTGAGAAGTAGTCTACAGCCTGAGAGCCTGGTGACACAACCTGTGTCATCTCAGTGTCAGCTGTCTCGCTGTTCCTGGACTCGTCTGTGGAGCTGCCTGTCCACAAGGCCTGCAGGTTCCAGTCGATCCGGCTGCTGGACCGAATTTATGCCAGCGCTGCAGATTTGATGCGACACAATTCCCGTTACGGAATCTGGGACGTGCTATCGCAGATATCTCTTCACTCTTTCGTTGATTGAGGCAGTGGGTTTTAACAACTTGGAGATGGTCAAGTGGTTGTCGGCCAGATTCCAGACGTGTAGCATCACGAGTGACGTGGTGGCCAAAGCTGCGGGGATGGGCTCAACTCAAATTCTTCACTTCTTCTACGACAATGACAACGGAGCAGTAATGGAGCAGCTCCTGGCGGCTAAACCAAATAGTTTGGTGGGGCATTTTGTGGAATAGGGGGGGGGGGGGTCTCAATGGCAAGCGCCATAGCCAGTGGCCACAGCGACGTCGTGTGGTGGCTCCACCGCCACATTCCTAATGCAAGATACGACCTTACGGCGGCTCTTAAGGCGGCGATACTGGCTCAGAACATCCTAATGGCTGAGTGGCTGCTCACGCGTGGGGCCGCTAGCCCCCACGCGTGCCAAGCATTTCGATAGATATCGTGACACAAGGAAGACTTGACATCCAGTGGCTGGACGAACGTGGCGAACTTGATGGCGTTCAGGGCTTAATAGTGAAAGCTGCGGAGCATGGATGTCTCCATATTGTACGCTGGCTGATTGATCGCGATGCTGCGAGGAGCGGCATTTTCACACACCTCACGGATATTGGAGGCGAAGCTAGTCTTGCTATCAATGCAGCGGCAGTGAACGGTCATTTGGAAGTTGCGCAGTATCTATACGTACGCACGAAGGCCCCGGAGAACGATCTACAGCATCGGTTACAAATTTTGGAGCAGAGGAAGCAACGACGCACCTTGTGGACGCATCTCGGACCTAACAGCACAGCTGGCCGCGTATCGGGGAGGATAATGGTGAAAGCAACGGAAAACGGCTTCCTGGATGTCGTGCAGTGGCTGAATGCGATTTCGGATGTTGCAGTCATCAGCAACATATTTGGCTATTGGTACGCAGACACGACAGAGCTTTTTGTACTTATGCAATGGATGGGGCCGCATTTGGCGGGCATCTGGATGTGATAAAGTATTTGCACGAACTGCAGCGTTCTTTTGACGATGACACTAGAAAACGCAAGCGAGATGAAACAATCAAGAGATCCAGACCGGATTGCAGCGAAGCAGCAATGGATGGTGCGGTGCGGCTGTCGCTGGCTATTTGGACGTGGTGCAGTGGCTGCATCACAACCGGCGCGAAGGCTGTACAACTTTTGCAATGGATTTCGCCGCCACATTTGGTCTCCTAAATATGGTTCGGTGGCTGCATGAACATCGGTCTAAAGGGTGCAGTACTCAAGCAATGGACGGAGCCGCAACGAATGGACACTTGGAAGTTGTGCAGTGACTGCACAACAATTCCAGCTCAGGCTGTACAACGAAAGCCATGGATGAAGCCGCAGCGAATGGACATTTGGAGGTGGTGCGTTGGCTGCACGATCATCGTAAGGAGGGATGCACGACTCGTGCGATGGATGGAGCTGCTGAACACGGCGCTTTGAGCGTCGTCAAATGGCTCCATCGCAATCGGACTGAAGGATGTCGATGGACAAAGCGGCAGAAAAAGGTCACCTGCATATTGTGCAGTGGCTTCACTCTCACCGGTCAGAAGGATGTTCTCCCGCCAATATAAACTTCTAAATGAGAGGGCAAAATCCCTACAAGCCACAATACCTGGTTATTCATGTCGCCGCGAGCAGTGGGCACTTGGATGTCGTGAAGTGGTTGCATCGCAATCGGTCGGAAGGGTGCACGACAGCAACCATGGACGGCGCTGCGACCGGCGGCCACCTGAAATGTGTCGCGTGGTTGCATACAAACCGTACCGAAGGATGCATAACCCAAGCACTGGATGAAGCAATGTTTCTACAGCTTTGTTGTGCCGTCACAGCACTGTTGTGTGCAGTTCACGCGTTCTCCAGTGCCACGAATATACAACATTTGGCGTGTGCGGGACGTCCTCCGCAGGAAGATGAAGTTTGCAATGGATGCTGTGGACGAGGGGGTCGCAAACCCCTTCAAGGTTGGTACATTGAGTGGTGTGCCGAAGCTTGGCGGCCAAGACCATCGAAAACTGTTGGCTGCACTCGCTACATATTGCAGTAAATCAGTGCATTTGCTGTTTGCATGTGACGAGTCAAACCTTTAATTCTCAGTATACCTTTTTCTTTCGATGCATATCAGGCGTTCCTTATCGACGCACTTTACTAGTACTACTGCTACCGAGTGGGACCTCGTGAATGGAAATATGCGTGCAACGAAGGTAAAACGATCAAGCCATCTGCACCAAAGCAGTACAGTAATCTGCCCAAGTAAGGAACGCCTGATATATATAAAGACGCAGAATATATAAATTGATGTTAAGTTGAGTATACTTTTCCAATGTACTGATTTAGTTATTTCAAAATGAACTGAGGAGCAGCTTTACCTGCGAGTCCGGAATGATTCCAACAGTGGCGTATGGTCGAAGCACTAACCTTTGACCAGACATCCTCGCACCACAACAGCGCTGTCATCTGGTCGACCTCGTAGGGATTATCTAGCCCTTCACCACGCCGGTCGCATCATTTTAAGTGAGGCGGAGACGCTTGGACGGTGTGGACTTCATGGGTGGAGTGGGACTTGTGGGGCGAGGTGCAAAAGTAAAAGTGCGAGTCTACCACTACGGTACATGTAGTTTGAAGTCTAGTAAGATCGCTTAATGCGCGCCATTTTTCAAACGAGGGTGGAGAGCTGATGATTGGCACTAGATTTTTCACCTTAGTACCTCAGTACCTTGCAGTACCTTGCACATCCCCCTATCGCCACATCGACTGGAAAATAATATTAAATATGTGAGGCTATTAGTTGTACACCCGTTCCTTATTCGGGCAGAATTCTGTAGTAGTACTCCGCAAGCACTACTAATGTATTTTTCACGCGATGTTACCCCTTGGTCTCGACAACGGCACGAGGAGGAAGTCCCAGCGCCCTCCCGAGTTTGCTACTTCACTACGTCAGGTTGACAACAGGCTCTAGCCTGACGGATCAAGCTTGAATATATCTTTAAGCGCGAAGACGGTGTCCCTCGTCCCTACGTAGTGCAGCACTTCCCACCCCATGTTGGGGCAATCGTTGGCTTTGTTGAAATAGCAGAGATTCTCGTAGGTGACACCGTTGCTTCCGCAGACCGCTTTATGGCCATTGTTAATGGCGCACTGGTAGGGGCATTCTGCGAAGACTCCGGCGATCAGGAGCGAGGCGAGGACGGAGAACTTCATGGCTTCAGGCTTCGGGTGTGTGGTGGGAGGTCTTCCGTATAGGAGGCAGTATAACTGTGGCCTGTTGCGTAAATAGCAAAGTGAGTAGGACGAGGGCTATTCCCCCGCTGAGCCGGCAGAGGATATTAGTACAGCACAGCGAAAACCGATATCTTGATTTTTGTATATGATCATGGGGTTTGCTTCGCTGCGCTGCGCAAAGGCAGTCGCTGCGCTCCTGCGATAAAAAGATTCTCTCACCTGGCGAGTACAGTGGTCGGCTCGCTGGAATGCTTGGCGCTGGGCCCGCCTCCGCAGATACCGCGCGGCCCTGCTTCGCGGGCGGGGTGCCGCACGGGTCTGCTATGGCTACGCGACCTCGCAAGTTGTGAGTCGCAACCGCTCGCCTCTGTTGGTCCTTTCTCTGGCCCATGCTGCACTAACGGAAATTACCGAATAATACCCCGGGCACTATTTATTAGTACCCTCCCGTTTTCAAACTAATTCTGATAAATTACGTATATTATACAGTATTCCATGCATAAATATGCTTTCGACAATAAGCCCACAAAATTATACTTGATATTTGTATTGAAGTAACCGTGTAACCCTGGGCTACGCAGTGGGTTACGTTTTAGAGGGTACTATACGGGTAAGGGGCATTATTTGGGAATTTACGTTAGCTAAAATGGCTACCACCTCGAGCAATCCGCCGCCGCTGCTGGCCGTGACTCTGCTCTTCCGCTCGAAGCCCGCGTTCTCCGACCTCCATCACGTCGTCGATGCCGTTTCTCTGTTCCTCGACTCGTCCGTCGAGCTGCCGCTGCACGCGGCCTGCAAGCTGGCGTCTACGAAGCTGCTGAGTCGACTATGGGGCAGCAGTGAAGTTTACACGGACGGAGACAGCGCTACTATTGCTGACGACTCGTGGACACTCCGCAAGTACATCCGCAGTGACCGACACTACCGCCAGTACCAGTTCGCACTGTCACTAACAGAAGCTGTTCGACTCAAGGACATGAAGATGGTTCGGTGGCTTGCGGCCAGATTTGAGGGCTGCGAAGTGAAGAAGAGCGTGGTCGTTGAAGCCGCTAAAGCGGGGTGCTTAGACGCGTTGACGTTCTTCTACGGGAGGGACAACACCTCGGCTGACCCGAGTATTCGGGCTCGTGGGGTCGGATTCGGCGTCGAGTGGACGGGGGAGCACATGACCGCCGCAGTCGAACAGGGCCACGGGAGTGTGGCGTGGTGGCTTGGAACACACTTCCCCCGGGCTGAAGATATGAGCAGAGCCTTGAATGCTGCGGTTTGTAACGGGGACATTGCGATGGCCGAGTGGCTGCTGGCTCGAGGGGCGACGTGGACTCGAAGCGACTCGGAGCTCCAACCAGCTCACCATCTAGCAGCTAAAGGTCGAGTAGACGTCTTGCAGTGGTTGGACAGACCTAGACAACTCGAGGGGGTCGTTGGCCTCGTGGTGGTAGCTGCAAAAGCTGGTCAACTGCACGTTGTGCGCTGGCTGATTGATCGAGATACGGCCATCCAGGAAGCGAGCAAAAAGCTCTATCTGACGGCACTTGGTAGGGAAGTAAGCCTTTCGATCCATATCGCCGCAGTCAGTGGAAGTATCCGCACGGCAAAGTACGTTCGAGCTCGCGCGAAGTATCCGACGAACAGCCTTCAACGCGCAACGCAAACGCTGGAGCAGAAGCGGCAGCTCGAGATTTTCTCACGTAAATTCAGGGGCTCAGTAGAAGCTGCAGCTGTGTCGGGGAAGACGATGACGCTTGCGGCGAGGAATGGGCATTTGGAGGTTGTCAAGTGGCTCTATGACGAGTATGGCAAGGACCCGGACACGAATCTGTTCGACTGGAGCGAGCCGAACTACTTGTATCCCTCCGTGTACACTGTCGCCATGGACGCAGCTGCTCAATGCGGCCACTTGGAAATAGTTCAGTACCTGCACCAACTCTTCCAATCCATTGACGCAGAGAGCAGCAAGAAGCGGAAACGAGACGAAGTGCCCCCGCAGCCTACAAGATGTACTCACCGAGCAATGAATGGCGCCGCCGCGAACGGCCATTTGGCTGTCGTTGAATGGCTTCATCACAACCGAACGGAGGGCTGCACGACTGATGCGATGGATTCAGCTGCTGCAGGTGGGCACTTGGAGGTTGTGAAATGGCTCCACAAGTACCGATCTGAGGGGTGCACCACGGCAGCGATCGACGGCGCTGCAGCGCAAGGACATCTGGAAGTTGTGCAGTGGCTTCATGAGAACACTCGTGTTGGTTGCACAACAAACGCAATGGATAGAGCAGCTACTAATGGCCACCTCGATGTTGTGAAATGGCTTCACACACATCGGAGGGAAGGATGCACAACCACAGCAATGGATCGCGCCGCCATACAAGGCCATTTGAACGTAGTTAAATGGCTACACCGCAACCGGACGGAAGGCTGCACGACAGCCGCAGTTGATAACATCGCCGATTGCGGCAACTTGCGCATGCTTCAGTGGCTTCAAAGCCACCGTACCGAGGGAGGGACAGAGGAGGCGTTATCGCTTGCCGTGGTCGAGAACCACTTTGAAGTGTTCCTCTTTTTGAGCTCGCAATACCGGATGCGGTGCACTGATAACCAGCCAACGCTGGCGTACGAACATTTCCGCCAGGAGATTCAGGACTGGATCATTGAACACTACCCTGAATTTCGAGGAACCATTCCGGAAAATGACGAATAACTCGTTTTTACTTCTACTTCACGGAACTCTTAGCCAATTATTAGCCGAACCTGAATAGAAAAAAATGCTCACAGGTCGAAGACCTGTGAACATTGGCCCCGGCAAAAAACTTGTAACTTTCCAAAACCGGGTACCAAACCGGGTCTCTCTTTCTTAATTGTAATATTTAAGCTAATATCTGGTATCCGCCGATAACTGCTAAGATTTATGTACATTACTTACCAAAGGTTATTGTGCTTTGCAATGATTTTGGCAATATGAGGCGAGATTTGCTGTATTTATAGCGACCACCTGCTAGATTTACGATAAATCAAGGTGCATACTCGGGTGGAGGCCTAGAATTACGCTAAAAGTGCCACAATTGCACTTTTGAAAGTGCAATTGTGGCTGTGCAGCTGCAATTCTGTCGGCTTTATCCACAAGCACCTAGACACACGGCAATTATGCATAAGAAGTTGGATGTGCTGGGGATCATGGACGGTGGTGTACTGGGCCAATGCATGGCTGCTGACAGGCTCTCCCAAGTCGATATATTTGTATATATGAGGAGGTGGATTTATGCATAATTCTAGCAGGTCGTGTATCTTTTTTCACACATATTTAGGCGCAGGCTTTGCCATATTTAGCGTCTAAAATGGTGGGCAAAATCATTGCAAAGCACAATAATACTAATCGTTTATTATTGACCAAAACCTGCATTCAAACACTTACGGACGCTCTAGTACACTATGAGAGCGTCATGGCTTCGCTGAATGCGTATCAATTTGCGCCATAATCGACCAAGGTTAGCTGAAGATGAACGACATGACTTGTCTAGCTGCAGGCTGCATTTTTTTACATGTCAATTTGCTCAATACCCAATCACTCTTAGCCGAAGATGCCCAACCTCGTGTCTGTCGCCAAACCAATCAGCTCAACTCGACAGTGACACGAGCATCGTTCGTTTGAATAAGACTTTTTTCCCTCCGTTGAAGCACACACTTCCAAGGAACTGGCCCATTAGCGTATATCTCATTCCGCAATTTATCTCCCAAGCCCTCAAGTTAAAAGTTTGTTTGTTTGTTTTGTTTTTGAATTGAGGATCGTTATTGTCACTTAGCTAACATCCTCAAGTTAAATGGTCAAGATCAGCGCACCATGCGTCTCTCCTTCGTTCCGCAACTGTAGCTCTCTCGTCTGGTCGTTAGCACACAACATAGTACGAAAATGATCACAGTATACCTTACCTGCAAAATGAATGAAATAGCTCTCTCGTTGCTGGCGCCAACGCAGCCATTGGACGCTGACCAGGGTGTTATGTCACCGATGGCCTCATCAGACCAGGCAACATCAAGTATAAAGAAGAGCGGGGCTTGCCTCACAAAGGTTTGGCTGAAACATCATTTCCGTATCGATACACTTCGATGTGCGCAACTATTTGTTCAACTACGCATTCTCGGGCAGATGCTGCGGCTGCGAAGCAGGCGCAGTAGATGCCCACGTTAGAGTCAACTATATAATAAAGAGTTGGGCTGGTAGTGCCTTTTTTAAGGATTAAAAACAATACAACTTTGGGATTTACTCAATTATTAATCGTTATCATCGTCCATGAAACTATTCGTCGACCTGTGTACCCTCCCGGAGCAACGCTCCGGGTTGCCTATGTTTTAGTTGCTGTTCAGTCGAGCCTGTAAGCATTACTAAGTACCTACCACCCGGGCTTTACCTCGCCAGCAACAGCTATGAAGCTGTCTCATTCGTGCCCCCACATTTTCTCGAAGATAAAATCATAAAAGCCCGGGTATTCCCGGACTTTGGAGTTGGAAGTGGCCTCTTGGCTCATCCTCTCATTCCGGACCAGATGGAGGAACATCGTGGCTTCAAACGCGCCGTGCAGCGCGGCATTGTCAATAGCTGCAGCTGAGCAATCCCCGGGGCGATTCGCATGCAGCCACTCCATGACTCGAATGTGGTCGCCGGCGGCAGCTCCAATCATAGCGTCCTGCGTACAGCCCTCGCTTCGGTGCCGATGAAGGAACTTCACAACGTCAAGTTTACCGCCTTCTGCGGCCAAATCCATAGCCGCTTCCGTGCAGCCTTCACTGCGGTTTTCATGGAGCCACTTTATAACGTTCAAATGGCCGCTCTCAGCCGCGAAATCCATTGCGTCGTTTGTGCAGCCCTCGGACCTATTATGGTGCAACCACTTGACCACATGGAGATGCCCCATAGCTGCTGCGGCGTCCATCGCTAGTGTAGTGCATCCTACCGTTGTGTGCTCATGTAGCCACTTCACAACGTCTAGATGGCCAAACCCGGCCGCCGCAGCCATGGCATTCTTGGTACAACCTTCAGTCCGATGAGCATGTAGCCACTGCACCATCTCGATGTGGCCACTCTTCGCCGCGCAATCCATCGCACCGGACGTGCAGCCCTCAGTTCGATTCTCGTGGAGCCACTTGACGACTTCCAGGTGATTGTTTTCTGCCGCTGCATCAATCGCCTCCGTGGTGCATTCAATGCCATGGCGCCTAGGTGCCGTCCCGAACATCATCTCTGTCATGTCTCCGCTGTACTTTTCTTTCTCTCCCTAGCGAACTCGATCTCCAGCGAAGGTGCAACTTGGTGCAAGTACTTCACGACGGCTAAGTGTCCATTAGCGGCGGCTTCGTCCATCGCATGTATCGCTCTACCATCTTTAAGGGACGGTCGGAAGAGATCGATATAATAGTTGCAGCTAAACTCGAAGCAAAGCCACTGCACCACCTCCAGAAGCCCTTTCCTGGCGGCAGTTAGCATCGTTTGGCGCGAAATCGGCTTCGCTTGGTGGTCTTTGCCCAGTTCTTTCGCGATCTCGGCCTTGGTGTGGCTCAGATGTTCGGATTCCAGCTTTTCCTCCTCGTAATCCATTGGCCAGTCCACACGCGCGTTGATGTACTTGGCAACTTCGAGATGGCCGTTGATCGCTGCTGCATGGATGGCCAGACTCGCCTCCCCTCCGACTGAAGTCACGTACGGAGGGCGCGAGGGTTTGTTCCTTCTACCGAAATACATTCCGCTGTAAGAATCCTCTTCATCGCTATCTTCCTCGTCCTCCTCTTTATCCCAATCGCACTCAATGACCCAGCGTACCACATCCAGGTGTCCGTTCTCCGCGGCCTTGACCAAGACTCCAGCAGGAATGCGGTCGAACGCGGACCCGCAGCGCAGAAATCGCAGCATCCTCAGATGTCCGTTGGCCGCTGCTCCCGGTACTCCGCAGATTGGAATGCGAATACTCTGGAGGAGCCATCGGACCAATTCCTCGCCCCCATTCGCCACTGCAGCCTTCATCATGGCCGTATCATCTCTCTCGAAGTCCGTATCGAATTGATACAGCCACCTCAGCCGCCTGCCGCCGCGTTCGCCGTGTCCTTGCCCCCGAAGAAAATGTCTCGCTTGGTGAGACGAGTGTCCACCTCGCTGTCTCGCTCGTTATCGGCGAAATACTGTAGAATGTCCATCGCGCCGGCTGCTGCGGCCTCCTCCACCACCTGCATACAAACGCCGCGCTCCGGGAAGTGCTCGAAGATCCACTCCACCATGGACAGGTCGATATTCTTACACCCCCCCGTGAGAGACAGCCAGAACTGGCGCTCCATGTAAGACTCCTCCTGCAGCAGCAGGCGGCGGACAGACCAGGAAGAATGGTCCGCCAGCGTCTCCAGACTGTCCCATATTCGGTTCAGTGGAGGCAGCGACCCCAACTTGGACGCCCTCTCGAGGGGCAACTCCACGGAAGTGTCCAGGAAGACTGACACGGCGTCCACCACGTGCGGCAGAGAGTCGAAACCAAGCTTGGGAAGAGCGGGGCCACTGGGAAAACAATATGGGTACTGTGTACCCATAGTCAGAAAAGGTAACATGTCCAAGGGGTCTGGTGTATCCATAATCAGAAAAAGGATAAAGTATGTCCGGACCGACCGTCTACATATATTGTGCGTAGCACAGCCGAGCATGTAAATTCAGGTGTCGATCGGGGGTGCCCATAGCCCCTACTTTGCGTTTAACGTTGCTGCTTAAGCTCCTCACTAAGTAGGGATGTACTTCGTAGCATTATGACGACCCTGCACCAAGTTTTCAAGAAAACGATTCTAATGTCGCCAATCAGACGAGGAAGTGCACACTTGTTCGATCTGAGACGCTACAGTACTGTGTAGAGCAGCATCGTGTCGTCGCGAGACAAATGAATTTGTGTAAACGCATCTGGCAAGGTAATCTCCATTCGTGAATGCATCGCGCCATGGCCAGAACGGAATGTAATCCTTACTTTCTTTACGTGCCCCCGCGTCCTTACAACATGGACTCTTATTGTACTTAGTATCGGACTGAGTAGTGTAGGAGTTTGTCCAGCGTGGGCATGCGAGAGGTATCACCCACCCGCGCGTAACCACATTTTTCGTCGGCGTTTGCATGTGTTGACGTCATACAAGCCCATGATCTCGCGCAGGTTGCTTAGTTGCGGGATGCCAGAGGTTCGACGACCAACATGGCGAACGTGTGAGCCATTGGCTGTAATGTGAAAGGCCGGACCGGCAACGCCAACGGATGCACCGAGCAGCCGCCGGAAAAAAAGAAAACAGAAGCAAGACATGGTCGACAACTGCCGCTCTTGGTTCTGCTTTCTTTTTCGTGTAGCCAAGCGAGTTGAAGATCTGTGCGCGGTCGCCGCAAAATTGAGCAATTGCGGCCCGCAATTGCTCATCAAGTGGGCACCGGTCATATCGAGATCCTTGCCGCGTTGTTGCTTCAAGCTAAGTTATTGCTTCCTCTCAACAGTTATATATATTCTGATTATGCTTCAATAACGGTGTTTAGGTATTAATGAACACGTTTCCGTCAACATAATGACCTCTACTCAATCATTACTGAAGAATACTTACTCGGGATCAAGTCACAAGTGGGACCGACTAGCGAAATAAAACGGCCAGACTTGACCCCGTTCAACGTTACGCGTCCATGTCTGCTCAATGGCGATGCCACGGGAACCCTGCCGACCTCCCCGCGGCTGGAATTCCGTGCCGGTCCAGGTGTCAGGCGTCCGTCCTCCTCGACCTCCAGAGCCTTGGCGATCACTTCCGAATTGTAGACGCGCGTGAAACGTAGCGGACAAATGACCAAGCGCTTCGCCAATCCGTTCCCGCCGCTGGACCTCAATGGCACGGCGGCCGACGAGCTGGAGCGACTCGCGCGCATGTTCGTGCAGGACCACATCGGCCTCTACGAGCAGTTCCTGCACGAAGAGAACAGCCGCGTGGACCCGCAGCGCTGGAAGTTGGTGAGCGAGCAGGGCGCGTGTCGGGCGTACAGCGAGCGGCGAGGCAGCATCGACGGCAGCTCGAGCTCCAGCGGAGACGACGTGCCTATACACGCGGATACGCCCAGATCGAAGCTGCCTACGGTGTTGGTGACGGGTACTGTATTGGGGGATCTGGAAGACGCCATCTACGGGTACGTCTGCCCCACACTGGACCAGATGCGCGTCAAGACGTCGTACGTCAACGACCAGCTCGTCGGCGCCCACGTGCTGGCCACGATCGTGCCGCCCACACCGGAAGACCCCTTTCGAGCGGTGACTGTCAAGTGGATGGAGAAGGGCCAGCGCATGCACGTCCGCGCCGTGGTCAATAACCGGGATTTCGTGTATATGGAGTCGACTGGGGTGGATTACCTCCGTAATGGCGAGCGCGTGGGTTACCAGCTGATCCACTCGGTGCAGTTCCTCGAGACGCCGCCGCTGGATCGGTATATTCGTGGTAATATGTCCATGTGCGCGTGCTACCGACAGAAGGACCCTTTTTCGACCGAAGTTTTCATCAAAGGATACCTTAACCCAGCGGGAGGACTCATGCGCTCTATCGTGGTGCATTCGGCTGCTGCGGCGTTGCTGTCCGTGTCCAAGAACGTCTACTGCGCGCAGATGAAGAAGCTCGTGTGGACGATCAGAAATCGTCGCCTGACCATTGTTGGAGAGACGGCAGCCGAGCTAGCGAAGGTCTCGGATAAGTGTGTCACCTGCCAGGCACCACCCAAGCAGTCCATCAAGCTTCTGAGTGGGAAGAAACGGAGACGCACATGCAAGATCTGCTTTCGCTGCGTGTGTAAGGAGTGTCGCGAGGGTAGGAAGCTGTGCTTCATGCTGCCGGATCACCGACTCGTGGAGCAAGACGTGTACTTCTGCAAGCGGTGCTTGAACGACGCTCTATCATCCAAGGCACAGGCGGTAGCGCGTGACGAGGTCATTATGAGCGGTGAAGTGTACGAGTGGAGCAACACCTACGGAAGCTCGTCGAGCAACGAGCCCGTGCTAATCGACGATCTCAACGATCGTTAAAACTGGCGAAGATTCTGGACGTACATGTAGGAATGTTATAAAGTGATGGACAATAACGATAATGAAATGCTGAGCGTCACTGGCAGGCTAGTGTTAAATTAACAGCGTCGCGGTGAAGTGATCCCCGCTCAGCGTGCCTTGAAGAAGTGAGGGAACAGATCCAGTCGAAGCTGATATGCACTGCGTCCGGGAAACCGATCTTTCTTTCGACGCGGCGACCAAAGTTTGGTCCAAACCGCCTCTAGGAGTATGAAGCCTTAAGACTGGATGATTCGTGAGACGACGGCGTCCACAGTGCTGAGTGTGTCCTTCGGAGACTACCGCCGACCGAAGTTCGGAGAGAAGAGGCCGCCTTGCAATGTTCAATCCCCCTCTGCGTCCGCAATCGAATCAGGCTCGGCCTCACTTCTCGAGTTCCTCGGCAGCACCAAAAACCATGAAGTTCCCATTGCCACCCGAAACGATGCCCAAGCTGCAGTTGCCTCTCCATGATCAGCAACGCATCGAGCGCCTAGCGTCGGTGTTCGTAAATGAGACCGTCGACCAGTACATGGAGCATCTGCAGGCTGCGAGGGCGCAGCGCAGGCCGCGGGTCTGCAAGAAGCGCTGGAAGCAGATCAAGAAGCGCGGCAACATGACCGTCTACCAGGACCGGAATGCAGGCGAGAGCGTGAGGCAGAAGATGAGCTTCCGGGCGTTGCTGGAGACGCCTGGGGAATTGGTCAAGACCCACGTTGTCATGGGACTCGGACACTGTGAGGGTCTCATGGAAGATGCCGTCTACGGGGCCATCGCCCCGACTGAGGAGCTCATGATGGTCAAGACCGCGTACGCTTCGGACGGCGTCGTGGACTGTCGAGTTCTATCTTCCATTATCACGCCCACACTGATGGATCCACTGCGCGCGCTGCAGATCAAGTGGTGCGTGAACGGCTCGGCCCCCATGATCGTGTCCAGTATGGTGCGCAAGCGGGACTTCGTCTACGTCGAGTCTTCGGGCATCCTCATGACCCAGTCATCGGCTTCAACTTCCTGCACTCGCTCGAGTTTGAGGGTGTGCCCGACTTGAGCCATCTGGGCCTCGTGCGCGCCAACCTGAGCATCTGCAGCCTCTTCAGACAGCGAGAAGAGGGCGGCGTCGAGCTCTTCCTTCAAGGTTTCTGTGACCCGCTCGGCGACATGGCTGCGAGTGTAGCCATCTTGACCACGGCGGAGGCCATCCTGAGCTATGCGGGCGTGGTGCACTGCAGGCAGATGAAGAAGCTCAACTGGGTGCTGAGCAAGAACGCGGCCGTCGTGTACGCGCAGGAGCCCGAGGTGTGCTGTGTATGCCACAAGAACCAGAGCAGCAGCCTCCTGCCCAAGAAGCACTGCCGGATCTGCAAGGGCCGCGTGTGCCACTCGTGCCGGAAGCCGCAGGAGCTCTGCTTCGTGGAGCTGCACTCGAGGACGGTGCGCAGGTACAAGCTCTCGTTCTGCAAGGACTGCGTCAACGCGGCGCTCTACCACAGAGCGCTGGAGATCGCGCACGACGAGCTCGTGGAGGAGAACCCCATGGGCGCCTACGAGGTGGACCAGGAGTCCATCTCATCCATGTCGTCCTTCCGGTCCTCGTCGCAGTCCGATCTCCGCCAGTTCTTCGCCGCGTAGTTGCCGTCTAATGATGCTGCTATGCTGCTACGTATACATGTACATACCGTTACCTACAGTCTACCGACGTGTACTTGGACAGGCATTCCAAGCAGTCAAGTACCTTGCAGACAGCTTCAACTCGGACCGATCAGAGAGAAGCAAGGCATGCATGGCGGGCGTTGAAGTTTGCGAGCTTAGCAGTGAGCCACAACATTTATGATGACACATCTGTACCGGTATCCGCGGGTGCTTGGAGATACATGTACATGTGGTATTGTGGGGGTTTAGTTATAATGGGGTTGCCAAAAAAGGGGCCATTTTGGAGACGGGCGAAGTCTTTATGAAGAAGTTTGTATGGAGTGATTGATGATCGAGGTAGGAAAGTACTCATTCCCATTTTGTACCACCCCCATTATAACTAAATATGGTAGGTAATCGAAGCGGCGCTACGCTGCCATGATGGAGACACACTGGATGGCGACAGCAGAGGGAGGTGCAGATCATGCACGCGCGCGGGTCAGGCGATCACGGTAGCCGTGACGAGCTGGCGATGCAGCAACGCTGACTCAGACCTGTCAACGCCCAAAGTGGAGTTGAGACGGAGCTTGGGCTTGGGCCGCACAGAGTCTGCAACGACTCGCCGTCACGGTGGCGACACCGGTATTATAGAGGCTCGACGTTATCGTCCTCAGGATGGGGGCAACGCACCCTCGCCGAAGCCGCCACCGCAGACTCGGCGGTACTCCCCATCGCCATCTGGGCATCCGCCGCCTGACGTACAGCGGTGCCCTTCTGCCTGGTTTAGCGGAGACTTTGGTCGGGTCTCACGTAGCGTGGCACTCCCGCGTTCACTTGGCCTTCTGGTGGACGGGCGGGGGCGGCGCGCCCGCGTTACCGGCCACCAAAGTGACTGCATTCCCCCTGCATTGTTCATTTCGACGCTGTGTTGAAGGCTCCATGCGGTTCCCGCTGCCTGCCGACACGTTCCCGACTCTGTCGCTGCCGCTGGACGACCAGGACGCGCTCAAGAACCTGGCCACGGCCTTCGTGGACGACGCGCTGGTGGAGTACCACGCCTTTCGGAACGCGCCGCTCAATGGCGTGGTGGACGACAGTCGCTGGAAGCTGCTGAAGAAGCGGGACGGCCTCACGTCCTACTTGGACCGGGAGCTGGGCGACCCCGCGGCCACGCGCACCGCTGAGCGCGAGAGCGTGGGGGGTATGACGTTCTCCAAGAAGCTGCACGGCGTGCTGACCGTCGGGACGATCGATGGCTCGCTGCACGACCAGATGTACGGCATGCACCACTGCAGCATGGAGCTCATGCGCATCAAGTCCGCGTACATGGACGACAAGATCGCGGACGGCAAGGTCATCTGCGAGATCAGCCACGCCACGCCCGAGAGCCCCGTGAGCGGGCTCTACATCAAGTGGAGCGTCTCGGACTTCGCGCCCGCCATCCTCCGCCAGATCGTGCGGCCACGAGACTTTGTCTTTCTAGATGGTACTGGTATCATCAAAGATCCCGTCACGGGCGAGGAGATCGGCTACAGCATCATGCACTCGCTCCAGATCCCCGGCATCCACGAGCTCAAAGAGTATCAGATCGTGAGGGCTACCCTATCTATCTGCGCGCTGTTTAGAGAGAGGTCCTCGGGGGTGGTCGAGGTCTTCATGAAAGGCTTCGTGGACTCCATGGGCGACATCCACACGAGCGTCGCCATCCCAGCCACAGCAGAGGCGCTCATGTCCTACCGCAAAGGCGCGTACTGCGGCCAGATGAAGAAGCTCAACTGGCTAGTGAAGACCAAGAAGACGGTCATGCTCGACCAGCTCAGCGGAGCCTGCTCGGTCTGTCAACGCACCGTCAAGAAATCCGCAGCGTGCCAGATCTGCATGAACCAAACGTGCCCCGCCTGCAGCGTGGTCCAGAAGCTGGCCTTCCTGTCTCCGTCGCGGAAGATCGTGAGGAGGAACATCCCGTTCTGCATCCGCTGCATGCGCGTGGCTGCGCAGGCTGACGGGCTCGAAGTGGCCTCCGAGGAGCTGCGGCGACAGAACCCGCTCGAATACTTCGAGATCTCGTCCAGCGACAGCGCGACGCCAGCCTCCCCCTCCAACTCGACTCTACCCGACACCCAGCGAGAGTTCTTCGGCTGAAACACAGGGAAGCTACAGTCCAAAAGTTGCCGTCAAGGGTTCAACAGGATGCCAATTTTTATCAGCGTAAGTAAATGTATTAACTTGTTAACCGAAGCCCATTGCTCCAACCTTACTCTGTAGCCTGTTGTTGCCGCCTAAAGAACAGGTTTCCAAGAGTACGACCACAATGATGAAAGTTGGCCCCGCTGAAGAAGTGCGATACTTTCGAATGGAGTTTGGCCATCCGAGGAGAGGAAGAACGGCGAGAACCCGCTGGAAATTCACGACCACGGCTGAAAACCAGGGCTATGCATTCCTTTTCGACGTGGATGCATACCGATGCGCGGCACAGTACAGGTTGCTGCTCATGATGCGCGAACGGAGCTCTTGACAGCTGTGGTGGAAATCTTGTGCCCGAAAAGCTTCCTGGATGTCTGTAGTGTCGGGAAAGGAGCTTACCGCGCGCATGCAGAAGCTGGCTGGCTGCTGAAGACTGAATTTTTATCGGCAGATTGATGAGGAGCGTCCAGTTGCAAACTTGTTGTTGATTCTATCGCACGGAAGGTGCAGAATGAAGCGGCTTTGGATTCCGTCTCCAGTCCTTGTCGTTATTTTGCGTCGGAGCTTCCGACGTTGTATCACGCCGTAAACGGACGAGTTGAAGGATTTGTACATGTGTGGATGGATGGATACATGCGGCTGTCGTGTCGTGGCGATTTCATCTGTCTCCCGAGCGCTCTGGAGTGGGAGCTTCAAACACGCAGGGACTCGGTGTGGGGCCACTTCACGAAGCGAAAGCGCGACGCTGAAGATCTTCCACAACCCACCAGCGGACAGCCACAGTACATTCAAGCGAGCAACGCAGAGATTGGTGCCCGAAATTCGCGTGGATTGACGGAACCACGGGAAACCGGGCCATCTGGGGATAGGCACAACGTGGCTTGGCGCGCATTACTCCTTTCGATTCGTGGCAGGTTCAGCTCCACTGGAGCCTCCTGGTGGCTGCTAGGATGCGCTTTCCGCTGCCTGTCGACACGTTCCCAGCGCTGAAGGTGTCCGAAGAGGACAAGCTGGAGATCCGAAAGCTCGCTGATAGCTACATCCACGAAGCTCTGGAGCAGTACATGGACTTCCGCATCGTCAACGGGGGTGAGCTGAACAAGGAGCGCTGGAAACCAATCAAGACCCGCAAGGGGGTGACGGCGTACCGAGATTTGGGGACGACGGACTTAGCGTCGTCTCGACTCGCACCGAAGGAGAAAGTCGGCTCTGGCGCTGTGACAGCCTCGACCAAGCTGCAGGGCGTGCTGACAGTCGGCACAGTGGACGGCGAGTTCAACGACATGGCCTTCGGACTGAGCAACGCCAGCACTGAGATGCTCAAGATCAAGTCGTCGTACACCAACGACAAAATCGCGGACGCCAAGGTACTAGCTGCTGTCGTGGAGCCCACGCCGACGGAGCCTGTTCGCGGGACGTACATCAAGTGGAGCGTGTCCACCGGCGCTCCGTTCATACTGAGGAAACTCGTTCGACCGCGGGACTTCGTGTACCTGGAGTCCATCGGCATCCTGCAGACCGAGTCGGGCGAGCGTATCGGCTACAGTTTGCTGCATTCGCTGCAGATTCCGACGATCCGCGAGCTCTCGGGGTTCCAGATCGTGCGCGCGAACGCGTCCATCTGCGTGTTGTTCCGACAGAAGTCTCCGGGGAAGCTCGAGCTCTACGTGAAGGGCTTCGTGGACGCCATGGGCAACGTCAGCTCTTGTTTAGCGCTCTCCGCGACTGCAGACGCGCTGCTGTCGTACGGGAAGGTCGTGCATTGCGGACAGATGAAGAAGCTCAACTGGCTGCTCAAGACCAAGAAGACGGTGATACTGGACCGCAACAGCAGCGACTGCGTTGTGTGTAAGGATACCGCCCACCGACCCAGATGCTGCGACGTCTGCTTGAACACCGTATGCGCTCGCTGCAGCGTCACCAAGAGGTTGAGCTTCCTGTCGCCAGCCTCACGCCGAGTTTCTAAGCGCAGCGTGTTGTTCTGCGTGTGCTGCTTGTTGGCAGCATTGAAAGCCGACGCGCTGGAGATCGCAGCCGAGGAGCTGGTGCGTCAAAACCCGTTCGACCTCTACGAGGCGTCCACGAGCACGCCCTCGTCCAGACTTGTGTCGCCGTCGAGCACCACGCCACCTGACGCCACCTCGGAGTTTTTCGGTTGAGCTCATGAGCTGGGCTAGGGCCGTTATCGTTCAGTGTTATTGTTGGTCTCAGCTCATAGCTCGGCCGTTTCCGTCCCCCCCCCCTTCATTGTTGGTAAGCAGAGGCAGCTAGCGACGATGCCGTCGTCGGAAGGTGACGCTGGCGATGTGCTGGAAGTTGGAGACCATGACGACGGCAACAGCAGCTCCTCGTTCTCGTCCTACGACTCGGAGGAGTTCGGTCTCGTAGCGCGCAAGGGCTTCGCGCGCATGTACGTGCTGTCTCGTAATATGGCGTCTAAGGACGAGACGGAGGCCAAGGGTGAGTCCTCTTCCAAGCGCGGGGGCTGGAACCTGCTGTATGCCAGTGGACAGCACTATTTCCGCGGCCCGATCGAGCTGCCGGAGGACATTCAAGTGCGTGACGAAGCGGAGGGAGACAACAGTCGACCTGCCACCTTCTTTGAGAGCATCACGCGGCAACATGAAGGAGGCGTGGAGCTTGCCGACATTCCGAGGCTTCTGCCGTTGCTTCACGCGCAACAGGACTCACTCACTGCAGTCGACGACGTGGTGGAGCTGAGCTCGGGACAGCGAGACGCCGTGTACCAGATGCTGGAGGTGGGCGAGTTCTTCGTGGAGGAGCTGGCCAAGCCCCGCACGACCGCGAGACTGGAGCTCGGCGCGCAGGAGCTGCCATGGCTCGCTGAAGCGACGGAGAAGAATAATCCGGCCTTCTTCGAGCTGCAGACCCACCCGAACACCAACAACGATCTTGCAATCGCTGGCGTTCGGCTCGTGGTGATGAAGCTCGTGGTGCGGGGGGTGCTGCTCGACATCATTTACTCTCGAGACTCGTACTTCGCCACGTTGAGGGAGAACGCAGAGGAGATTGCGCTCGAGGACACGTTCGTGCCCAATGTTGCGTGCGCCGGTCCGTGCTACTTGGTGCGGCGATACAGCGACGAGGACCTCAAGCAGTTGTTGCTGTGGTGCCCCCTCCCGAAGGAAGCTCCGTCGTCCTTACAGCTGAAGGCGAGCAGTCCTAACGCAAAATCTCGTCGAGCTCTTGCAGCCAACGACACGCAACTCTACTGTCTGATGGCCAAGCGCCCGCAGACGAGAACGAACGCCAAGAAGAAGAGGACGACGCGAGAGAAGGAGTTGAAGAGGAACGAGGAGGATGGAGACGCCGACGATGAATCGGGTGACGTCGTGGACGACGCGGTGGTGTTCCAGTTCAACCAGTTCGTCTACCACGGCAGCGCGCAGGTCCCCACTGCTATGATGGACGACCCTGGAGCTCTCGCTCGACGCGGGTTCCCTCTCCTCCGCGCTCAAGCCAGTGATCTTGCCTTTGCTGGAGTGTATGAGGAGATTCTGGGCCCTGGAGGCGAGCATGAAGCCGAGTTCCCTCGCACCCAGTTCCTCAGCCGCTTCGCCACAGTTCATCGTCGGTTCAAGGATGAAGTCGGCTCCGTGTTGCTCGATCTCCTGGTCGGAGCTCAGAAGTGGGTCAAGGAGTTCATGAACGAAGTTCCAGCCGCGAGCGGTGGGAACGAGCTCATCGCCACGCACTTGGCGCGTTGGCTCGAGGTGGAGGACGGCTCCGAGTCCTTCTTCGAGCTCGAGCTCGCGCGCGGCTCAGTCTGCCCTTTTGCCAAGACTATAGACGAAGACCACGCGTACGGAGAGCAGCAGCCTTTGGACTTGCTGATCTGGAAGGGGATCGTACACGACGCGCTGCTCGGCGTCATCTATCGGCGTGGCAGCTTCTTCATGACGCTGCGTCCGGTTGCCGAGTCTTCGGACGTTGTGAGCGACGGCGTGCTGGACGACGATGCATCTGCTCAGCTCTTCGCCGGCGTGCCTCCGCACCTCAACAAAGGGCGAGGATATCTCGTCCGTAGACTGCCAAGCACAGCAGGAACGCCGGCGTGGCTGGCTGGTGCCAAGCTGTTGCTCTGGCAGACCAGTCACAGTCTCGACCGAGAGGAACAGGACGAGGCTCAGATCCAAGCGAGCGAGTGCAAGACGCCGTGCAAGGACTGGTTCGAGGACGCGGACGCCAAAGGTGATGCCAAGGCCCAGTCCAAGCCCCACGCTCTTCGTCCAGTGGAGCTTGCAGGTGACAAAGGCTCCAGCGAGACGGCGAGTGCACTGCCTAAGGAGGACAAGGTGGCGCGCCCTCACCACCTCTCGCGTCTCTCGACCAGTGAAGCGCTGCTAGCTTTACAAGCCAAGGCACAGGCGGCACTGCAACCTGTGCCCTGGGACCTACGCACGGGGCGTCCGCTCTAGTGACAGATAGTCTACGGAGGCTAGAGCCTCGATAAGCCATGAAACACAGCATGAAGCTTACTAGTTGCTTTATTGAGTTGTCGTATCGCCTGTGAATCTGCCTGTAGGACGCAGTAGCAGTGTTGGTAGTCGTTGTAGAACTTGCCTAACGTCCAGCATCATGTCGTCGTGAGTAAGGAGCTCTCTCGCACTCAGCCCCGACACGGCTGCTAGGATCTTTGAGACGTCCTGCTCGGGCATCGACGCGTCTGCAGCGTGGAGACTCGCTCGAAGATCATGCAGCGAGACCATGAGCGCTCCTGCGTCTCCAAGTGGCTCATTGATCTCCAATTCTGTGGCATTAGGCTGCACTTTCCGTCGGATGTGGAGCTGCACGTGCTGCCGGAAGGTCAAGAGATCGTCGAGACGCTGCATCTTCAGACACTCGGCGAATTGGCACTTAACCTGCGGTTGAACCGACCGATAAATCGCGTCCGACTTCGTCTTGGAGCTCTGGTTCGTGCTCACGTGCGGGTGGTGTGCCAACAACGCTGCGTAGTCGACCTGCGGGTGACCACGTAGGTCGAGGAGTAGCGCTCGATGCAGTTGACTCAACGCTGCGTCGGATTTCCACGGGAATGTCAGCCGTAGAGTCCGTACTACGTCTGCGAGCGAGACTCGACCTGGAGGTAGAACGGCGTCGGCCACTTCACTACTACCTGGTGTTGTATTGGAGAAGTGCCGGTCGTGGTCAACGACTGAGAGGGCTTCGTGTAGTCTCGCGAGCTCTCGAGTTTGATCCCCACGCGCTTCGACCGGGAGTTCCTGATTGAATACGAGGTGGAAGAGTCGACAAGCACTCGACTGCGAGCTGAACTGCTCCAAGCCAGCCAGGAAATTGTACACGAGCTCGACTCGATCCGCGCGGTTGTCTCTTGACCGCTGTAGGAACCGTTCGAGTGCCATAGTAAGTAGCGACGACCCAGAAGCAGACGCCAACGCAGCTTTCGTGCCGTCGTTTGTACCGGAGCTGAACGACGCGCGCGTGCTGGAGTGCCGGTGCTGCGCCACGCGGAGCTGCTCGTCGAATTGGTCCCAGACCTGAGCAAGAAGCTGCTCGATCCTCACGCGCGGGATGAAGAGGTGGCGCACAAAGCCGTCGTGTTGCAAGTAGCTCGGCACGTCTTGACCCATTCCTCGACCCGCTAGAAAATCGACTCGCGCTTTGGTGAAAGCTGCGGACGACGTCACCAGCTTATCAGGAGTTAGGTCGTTGAGCGCGAGCAGCTCTGCCGGTTCTGTGAGGAACACCAGTGGACTCTGCGCGTCTCCTTCAGCTTCTCTCTTGGCAGCTAACAGAGCGAACTGCTGCTGCTGAACTTGTCTCAAGCGCTGCGTGATCGTCCCAGCAGTAGCCTCAATACCCTCAGGGATCGTTGGTGCACTCGCGATACCTGTTAGCAACTCCGAGAGCTCAAATTCGAGGCCAAAACCATCCAAACCTGCCACGAACGCGTGATTTAAGGCGATATGCTTGCTCTCTTCGCTGTCTTGGCTTGATTTGGAGGTGTTGGTAGGAGCAGGAGACCCTGATGCAGCAGTTAGGGCCGTGGAAAGCTCCTGCAGCTCGCGACTTAGTAGTACGATGGTGTTCTTGTCCGCGGCGACGTGCTCTCCATTCCCCTGCTCCTCCAGCGCCGCCACCGTCTTCTTGAGCTCTGCAAGTTCGTCACAAGCGTGATAATACCGCGCTGTAACCTTCTGCAGCGCCCTAGCGTCTTCCAGAGAGCGCTCGTGGCCAGCTCGTAGACTTTCATCGTGTCGACGGACGCTGCTAGCTAGCGCCAACGTGGATCGTTGGACCTCTGCCAGCTTATTCTCCGCTTGGATGACCTTGCCCTTCTCAGCCTTCAGCGCCGCATTGAGGCGAGCGTTCTCAGCCGCACTCGCAGCCAGCATCGCCTGAGTCTCTGCGAGTCGGCGCTTAAGCGTCAACAAACGCGCCTTCGCTTCCGCACTGCTGGCGCTCAGCTGTCGAAGACAATGCGTCTCCACACTCTGCAGTCGCGTGTTGAGCCCCGGCACCATCAAACTCCGAGCATACAGCGCCTCCACCGCGTGTTCGTACTCGTCACGGATACGCATCAACACCGGCGCGTACACGTTGAAGCCGTCGATGAGTCTGTTGAGTGCCTCACGAACGACCTGAAGTCTCCGTAGACTGGGCGTTGACGCCTTATTGGGGGTCGAAGACTCTCGATCATTCTCTCCGTCCAGCTCGACCTGGAGGAAGGTCAGTAGCTCCTGCAGTAGAGCTGGTCGAGTTCGACTGTCGTCCACGAGCCGCGTCCGGGTGTGGAGCTTGCGCACTTTTGGTGAGATGGGCGAGAACGGGTCGAGGTCGATGGTTGAGTCCGTTTGGCCTCGCTTGTTGGGGCTCCCAGGCGCGAACGTAAGCGGCCATGACGCGACTTCAGCGGCTCGTGGCGGATGATGGTGATGTGGAGGCTTGTCGAGGAATTTGTTGGCTGTTGAAGGAGATCTCGGCTCACGGGCACTTGTCCTAGGAGACTCGTTGGTTATCGGCGGCAGGGAGGAGCTGGTGCTTGTTGTTGTGCCTTTAGGTTGTGCTGGGCGTCGAGGTAGCGGACTGGCAAGGCCGATGGCAACGAAATCCATGATTGGGGATGGCGGCTAAAAGGAGGAATCCCATTCAGGCGAGCGGTCGTGCCGAACAACCGTTACTCAGCTTTCCTGCTTTCATCCAAGCTGCGGAAGACATGGGGAACACGCTCAACCTCGAGTGCTCGGATCCGATAGTGAGCGATGACCCGTTGCTCAAGGTGCGCGCAGCGCAGCTTTACTCTGCTTTGTTGTGGGATAACATGACTGACAGTTCTTCGGACGAATGAGTAGGAATACCGAGCAGGTAGGTTGGAGAGCTTTATGGGACCATTTCAGTGACGAAATTAACCCAACTCTTCTTTATGGGCGTGTTAATGATCTTTGATAGCAACCATCGACGACTTCATGGAGGCCAAAGAGAGCTTCGACCACCTGCAAGCAGCTCTGGGGGACAAGATGACGGTCACCCCGGAGGAGTTCGACGAGGTCTTTTCGCTCATCTGTCAGGATCCACAGGAGCACTTCGCGCTGTTCGACTCATGGGAAGTCGGCAAGGTGGTGTGTTGCGCGCTCGTCCATTGAATAGAGGTCTGATACTTCGTCGAGATCTCATCAGCATCTTGTACACTGTTGCTTGCAGGTGGACGTGATGGAGGTCTTCGCGGTGATCATCGTGTATTGCGACGCGATGATGGAGGAGAAGGTGCCTCTGCTCTTCGATCTCTTCGACTTTGACCACTCCAAGGAGATGTCACAAGACGAGCTGGTGCTGTTGATGCTGTGCACAACCCGAGGACTGTGTAAGGTGGTTGGGATGCCTCGACCTGCCACCGACAGTCTGGAAGCTCTGGCTACTGACGCTTTTGCCCACATCGACGCTGATCGCAGTGGCCAGATCTCACTCGAGGAGTTTTCCGACTGGGTCCTGCACGAACGCAGCGCCATGGCGTACCTGGCAAAGTTCGCCAACACGCGCGTGATCTACGAGAACCAGGTCCAGTACGACCTGATGATCAAGGAGGTCTGTACAGCCTTCATGAACTTCGCTGAAGTGGATCAATCCGACGATGCCAAGGACAAAGAAGGCCAACAACCTTTGCTGTGCTCCGAGGACTTGTGTGAGGAAATGATCCAGCGCTATTGCCCCGCAACCGAGAAGCACGAGATCGCCTTCTTGCTGCGCACAATGAAGACCATCATGAACAAAAGGAAGGGTGAGGCCAACCAGCCAGAGGATAGCGCCGACAAGGCGCACACCATGATCTCGATGGACGCGTTCTTCCTCGTTGTCTCTCCGTACGCCGCATTCCTCGCCGCTGACGACGACGGAGAGCACTCAATCAACATCAAGGAGCTTAGGATCCTCATCTGGCTGCTTCGAGGATCCGAGCCGAGCCAAGCGGTGGTCGACAGCTTCATGAAGTCGCTGGATGACAACCGCGACGGCTTCCTCAGCGCTATGGAGTGGGTCTCGTACGCGCTTGAGGCCAACAAAGAGACCGGCAGTCAGTCGTTTGCGAACCAGATCCACCTGCTCTTTGCCACCGCCGACCTGAACGGAGACGCTGTGCTGTCGTTATCGGAGCTGGAAATCGGACTGAGATCCATTTTCGCTGATCACTTAGATCGTGTAGAGCCGGCGCCTAAACCAGAAGCCGCTGCATCGCCCGAGTCAGCGTGGGAAGAGCTCACAGCCCCGGAGCGCGTGGAGAGACGACGCAAGTCGCAGTTTTCCTCGATTACCAGTCTCGTCGCGGAGCTGGCCAAGGAAATCATGCAGGAGCTCGACGCCAACGAGTCGCAGCGTATCGAATGGTACGAGTTCCGGCAGCACCTCGACTACCTCGAGCAACGTGTGATGGAGATGAAAGCCTACATCCAAGAGCACGTATTAGACTCGGAAGACTGAATATCTCGAGATAAGTTGGCACTATGCTTGCGCTCTTCGAGCACAAGGCAGCTCAAGAGCAAGATAGAGACTATAGGTAATGAAGAAGTTGATATAAATGGTTTTTGTTGCTCCTCATCGTTGACTTACCAGCCTACGACGCCTCCAGTCCTGTCTTGCTCGACTTAATGGCCAAGCCATAACGCACTTAAGCCCAGATCTTGAGTAGCGTGTCCCAGCTGCCTGTGCACAGTGCCTGGCCGGCCGGGTTGACGCCGAGGCAAGATACACGGTTCTCGTGTCCGGCGAGCTGATAGATGTGTGAGCCCGTGGTGCTGAGCACGTCCCAGCAGTAGCAGTTGTAGTCGTCGTAGCCGGCGAAGAGGAAGCGGCCCGACTTGGAGAAGCTCACGGACGTGATGCCGCACAGGATCTTGTCGTTGCTGAAGTTGTTGAGCTCGCCGTACGCGCGGAGGTCGAAGAGGCGGCAGCTCGAGTCGTCCGAGCCCGTGCCCAGCGCGTTGCCACTCGGGAAGAAGTCGACCGAGTTGATGTCGGACTCGTGGCCCTGGAACGTGTGCGTGGTCTTGCCCGTGCGGATATCCCAGACCTTGGCCGTGGAGTCGCACGAGCCCGAGATGAACATGCTCGGGTTGTGCGGGTTGATGCTCACGGACATGACGTCGCCCGAGTGTTCGCGGAAGGTGGTCTTGACCTCCCCGCTCTCGACGTCCCAGAGGATGCAGTTGGAGTCGCCGGAGCTCGTGACGATGCTGGCCTCGTCGATGAACCTGCAGCAGCTGAGGTAGCCGTCGTGGGCCGCCAGCTCCTTGGTGGCGCGCATGACCTGCGCCTGCGACAGGTGGAAGATGCTGCAGAGGTTATCGAGCCCCCCGCAGGCCACCATGTTGCGCTGCTTCTGCTCGAAGGCGCAGGTCATGACCCAGCTCGAGCGCAGCGGGATGGCCTGGATCTTGTTGGTCGTCTGCGCGTTCCAGACGATGAGCTTGCCGTCCTGCGACGCCGACACGAGGCTCGAGCTGTCGCCGCCCCACTGCATGGCGTAGATCTTGCCGAAGTGGCCCTTGAGCAGCCTGCGGCACTTGGGCGGGGCCGGAATCGGCTTGGCGCCGGCGCTGGCGTTGGCGCTCTGGAAGCCGCCGTCGGCCTTGACCTCGCGCGTCTTCTCGATCGTCTCCTTGAGGCTCTCGCACTTCTTCTTGAGCTCGGCGGCGTCGGCCATGGCTGAGTGATAGGAGAGGGGAGGACTTTAAATTAGCGTTTGCTGGCTACAGGCGTCGGGTGTCGGCGCGGGGCGGCTCGATGCGTAGCTGAGACGCAGGCGCAGCTCGGGGCGGAGTTTGGGGCGCGACAGAGCTCGGGGAGGCGCGGGGCGGGGAATGGCGCGACGCAGCGGGCGCACTTCCAGCACAGCCCCCGGTGACTGTTGGAGGTATTTATAACTGCTGCGACGCTTGGGTCGAGAATATCTTCCATGGAATGCGCGCCTGCGATTGGGCGGGCGCCGGGTGTGGGACGAGCGCGGATTGGAGGAAATGGAAGAGCAACAATAGCGGTACAGTGTGCGTCGCACTGGGCAGCGTCGGTCGATTCGCTTGCTATGCTTGTGGACACCCGAATACATGTAGTGCATCGAATTGAGTTGTACGCCTCATGTGCTTTTATAGGGATACATCCAAGTGCACATTGCACTTATTGGTGTGAGCGCGTTCAATAGGGCTCCTTACTGCAGTACATGTAGAGATCAATAACGGAGGAGGATCAGACTTATCTATTTAACTTTACTGTTACAAGATGTCTGGAATTTCCTAAGTCAGGATATCAACGCCGGTGTCGTCGTGCGATCCCTTGCGGTGGTGCCTCTTGAAGCGGTCGCGCCAACATTCCTAAACAGAGGAGCAGGCGCGTGCCTTGTATTTTGGTGTGTGGGTGCCAACGTTCGCGTCGCGCCAGTGCCCTCAATTGCTGCAGCCCAGTCTTCCAAAATTCTTGTTTACTTCCTTGCTGCGTAACTTGCCCCTGCTGATGGGTCACCCGGTTTCTTTGGATCCACAGGACCGTTATACAAATGGAACTGAGTATCCACCACACTCGGTTCCACTCGATCACGTACGCCTCCACTTCGTCTGTGAAGGTTGCTTGCAGCCTAGCCTGCATCACCGACGACAGTTTCGGCGGCGATCTTGACATACAATTCGCCTTGAACTTAGCCAGATCATGCTGTTGGCAGCGTTGCCCAGTCCAGTGCGTTACTAGCGCTTCCCAGCACGTATTCGCACAAGGACATTCCCAAAAGATGTGAGCTAAGGTTTCCTTGTGTCCTTTGCAGCTCGCCAGCTTCCTGCAGCTGTTGTCAGTTTGCCGTCCGTCAAAGTATAGATTTAGCTGTGAGACCGCCAATCTGTAGTTGACCCAGGCTTGATACTCTGTGATCGCGTTTCGGTGCCTCCACAATTGGTTCGGGGTTTGCTGCAAGGCCTGCCACAGCTCGTCGTCGTGTTTTGCCCTTGCCTCGAGTCTGTTGACGACTTTGGTCAGCGCCGGAGCGAGCTCTCCTTTTGCTCGTGCAAACGAAAGTTTCTTCAACGCTTGGTCTATTTTGTGGCTCGACACTTTGGGTGGTATGGACCACGGAAACGCATGCAAGCTGGGGTGTGCTTTGAATACTATCTTGTTCTCTGCGCTTCCAATCTGGGGAACGTGGCCAGATCCTTTTCATAGTCCTTTGGAACCGCTGTGTCACCTGATATTTGCCAATGGAGCCCGTTCCTGGCTTGTTCCATCACGATGCGGCAGGGTTCTGCGTCAGCCTCCACCTGAGGTTTCCCAATTATTTGACCACGCTCTTCTGCCATCCAGTTGTACTGATGTTCTAGCCGTGGCGGCTGTCGTAGATGTGCTGCTTTGCTCACTTGAATTCGCCCCCCGATTTCAAGTGCTGGAGATCCCAAGAGTATAGCCAGCGCTCACCTGCTTAGCTTCGGGTAGGTATGATGCTTGCTTTCCGCCTCTGGCGAGGGAATTAGCATCGAGTAGGAGGTCAGGCCAGTCCGCCGAATTTCCAGCTCGGCCAGAGGACACACGAGTATCCTAGGATATTTCTTACGTGTTAGCATGTTTCCGTTGCTTTCTCGGATCCATGGGTTTTCCGTCCACAGGTATGTTGGCCAGAACTCCACAGTTTCTTCCGGCCACACCCATGTCTGAGGCTGAAGAGGGTCATATAGTCGTAATTCCAAAGTATTTCCAACCCTCCATCCGATTGAACTTCGCACTAAAGTGTCCATCTCGGCCTGTAGACGTTCTTGGATTGCATTCTCTGTGTTCGAGTCGGGTTTGAGCCTTGCACCGATTTGCGCTTGCATTCGCATCCCGGGGACTTTAAAGGCCCTGCATCTGGGGTTCGGCGGGTTGTGTGGGGTTATCACTGCGAACCCTTCTTCATCGGATGCTCGGAAAGCCCACGAGCGCCACGCCGAGAAATATCGGTCCTGGTTTTGAGTGAGCCAGAGAATAGCATGCTTCATCCGTAATGCTTTGATTGCCACTGATATCGACGCTAACCCTACACCCCCTGCCTTTTGGGGCGTGTATAGGAGCCTCGGATTCAATATATGACGACTGGGGTCACTCGATGTCGAATGTCGCCAGATAAATTGCTTTTGGAGGTTCAGTAATTCCTTCTCTCCCCATTTCGGTAGGTCAAACACCGCCGCTGTAAAGAGAATGGCTGGCAGCGCAATGACATTCATGATGGTCACTCTCAGTGCAACACTGGTGGCTAAATGCGTCGCGGTCGCCAGCCTTCTCCGGATATTGCGAATTCGTACTGCCCAATTGTGGTGCCCTAAGTCTCCCGTTCCAACGTAGTAACCAAGATACCGGATTGTGTCTCCATGCTGGAGAACTGGTATGCCCTCATAGGCCTCCAATTCAATAGCCGTGTTCAGGAAAATCACTTTACTCTTTGTTGGTTGTACATGCAGACCCGATAACTGGCCAAACCGTTCAATAATTTCCATGACTCGCGGTAACTGCTGCGCCTCCCGCAGAAACACAGTTGAGTCGTAAATGCCGAAAAAATATGGGTGAGCGTCGGATCACCGGGCACCGGAACCCCTTGCAGGTCTGTATCTTGCGTAATCGCCAGCGCCAATATTTCCGCCGCCAAAATAAACAACAAGGGTGCTAAGGGGCATCCTTGCCTGATGCCCGTTTGTACCGCCGTAGCTTGAGACAATAGACCATTAACTAGAAATATAGCTGTGGTCGAATCATGCAATCGCCTGATCATATTCACAAACGCCTCGGAGAAACCGAACCTGAGAAGAGCGAGAAACAAAAATTCCCGCGCCACCGTATCGTAGGCTTTGCGAAAATCCAAAAGTAAAATGATTCTGCTCGCTACCGCTGCGAGGTCTGGTTCGCCTCGCGCGGTGGCCAGTATGGCCATCATCATCATGACAGTCTTCATCATCTGTCTGTCGTGCACAAATCCCTGTTGGATTTCTCCAATCGGTTTGCCTAAGATCTTTTGCACTCTTTGTGCGAGAGCTTTTGCAAAAACCTTGTAACCTGTTTGTAAGAGCGAGATAGGGCGGTAGTCCATGGCGTCCGCTGAATCACCTTTTTTTCGCAATGGGATAATTAGCCCCTCTAGGAAAGACGCCGGGGGTTCTCCACCTTTCAGCAGCTCATTTCTGTGGTGTAGTACCCCGCGGAAGAAGTGGGCGCGCCGGGCGCCGGAGGAAGATGGCGCCGGGACGCGAGTGATGGACTTCGACGCGGCTGATGGAACGCGACGCGGATTAATGGGCGCGACGCAGGGCCGAGCTCGACGGGAAAGTCGGCGTGGGTGATGGGCCGTGAGACACGGTGCCAGAATCCAGTGCGACGCGTAATCATCCGACGGGTCGACCAGCGCACCCGGTTCTGCAAAACGCGCCGACCCTAAACCCCGCCGAGCAAAACGGGCCGACCCTAAACCCCGCCGACAAAACGCGCCGAGGTAAGATCTTGATTGCGCCACGCAAATCAGGTTGAAGGACGGCAGTGCAAGCACGACAGAAGTAGGGATAGACACACAACGATAGGCTTAGCAAGCAGTAGTACGGAGTAGCCAGTAGCTAGGGCATAGGATAGGGTAAGGACTCAGTCCCGAAATTTCTCTGAACCACAAAGACCTCCCGTCTTCTCCGAGGTTCCAGGGGAACCACCAAGCGCCGGCAAGTAGAGCCGCCTCGATTTCGCGCCCCCCCCCCGTCGTTTGCTGGTTCGGGTGCTCACCCCCCCCACAGACCCGTGCTAGAACAAAGGCACGTTAAACGTATACCGTGTAGGTGGGCGCCCGATAATGCGCTGCCTAGGCGAAGGACCGCACTGGCCTGATAACCGCCGTGCACAAGACCCCCGTGTAGGCCCGATAACGCCACACAAGCCCCAGGAAACGCCGGCCCGATAACGCCGCACGCCCGACGGGAACGCTGAGGAAACGCCGGCCCGATAACGCCGCACGTCCAAGGCTCGACGCCCTACGACAAGGAACAAGCGTCAACACAAGAACCCCCAACTCCGTAGCCTGCGAAGACTTGGGCCTGTATTTCGAAGATACGCTACTCCAACAACCGGGAATAATTTGCTCGGCGCGACCGCTATCCAGACGCGCCGAGTTTGTGCGAGATCGCATTCGCGAGATTTCTGCGAGGGCGCTACTCCACATTTCCAATTTCGACTAGCGCTGGTGCTAATACCGCTTGAGCGTCAATTACGAAACCGTTGTTTAGGCCATCAGGGCCCGCCGCCTTGTGCCTATTCAAAGCTGAGATTGCGTCCAACACGTTATTGGCTGCATAAGCTTCTCATTATCTTTCGCTGTCAGACGTCGCTCTGGTGGAACGTTGACGAACGGTCGAATTCGTGGGGTAGTTGCGAGGCCGGGATCGTTCTATGGCTCCTCCCTAATATTGGTTTCCATTCAGATGCAAACTTGTCTGCAATCGAGGCATGGGGCAGGAACGGTTCCCCATTGATCTGTCGAATCTCTGTAACAGTTTGACCTTTTCCCAGTCAGAAATTCGTTTAAACTTCCATCGTATCCGTTTCGAAGTCCGCTCCATACGATTGCCCGCTCGTATCATATGCTCAGCTCTTTGATCTTCCATCTTTGCTTCAATCAAATCGTTTCTCATTAGGAGCTGGGCCCGTGCTTGGGCATAGAGTTTCGAGGCATACCTGGTCGAGCGCTGGCGCTCCCTCCGTCTTACCGTCTTTTTACACTCCACACACTTTGTCACTGTTCGATCCCAATCTTTTACCCCTGTCTCCTTCCCTACTTCGTGAAGAATCAATTCCTCCATGAGCGCCATGCGAGTCTGTTCAGGCTGGGCTGTTTGAAATGGATACTGCATCTTCCTCACTGCCTGTGATCTCATTGTGCCCCACTTACTGTCTTTTAACAGAAGTCGTACCATTTGATGGTCCGAATAGAGAGGTGGTTCTTCAACCGAGACCCATTGCACCACTGTCGTCCACTGCCGGGGTACGTAAAACCTGTCGATCCTATAGAGATCAATAACGAATGCTCGGCATGCTGCCGTCTTGCCTGAACAAAAAAAGACTTCAACAATAGACTGTTGAGAGGTACACTGTACCACATATTGAAGGTAAACTAGCCAATAGGAGGTGGACAAATAATGCTATATGGATCATAAGGTTGGTAATGAGTAGATATGCTACGGCAACCTTTTCAGTGGAAGGTCAAGACCGTACTTACACAGGATCATTTCTATAGTACCTTCTTTTCTATTCGACTTTCCGAATAGACAACCTCAATAACTTTGATGATCGTATTCGACTTCATTCATTGACTCGGGATGTCGGTGGTTTGCAGTGCTGGGTCCTCTTTTGGACCTGGCCTCCCCCATTGATGAACGTCCGCTGTCGCTATTCTAAGGCAGCGTGAGTGAGTGGAGTGATATGGGAAGCTATTGATTTTCTATCTCTCTTTTTATTATTTTTTACCTTTGGCCCTTAAAATAGCATTCACAACTACAGAAGTTTGCGGTGGAGCTGCTCGACCTGCGCGACTTGAGGGCAAACAGCAGGCGTCGTCGAAGCTGCTATGGTGTTTGTGACTGCGAACCTAATCTTCCTTCTCTCTACAGTATTATTGTCATAGTGAAATAGCACCCTGAAATGTGGTGAAGAGAACCTTTCTTCCGTATATTGCTAATTGGCAACCACGAAATACGAGTAGCTCTGTATCCGAGTACATGTAGCTCAACCTCGAATGTTCAAGTTACCACTGAATGGATATTAGCGTGCTGTCATCTGTACTGGACGATGAAAGGTAACACGACTGAAAAATATTTGGGCCCTAAGCGACTAAACGTGGCACGAGCAGCTCGTCGTCTTTCGGTGTGGTTTCTCGAATTAAAGGTAGTTGCCAACGATGCAGCCCTGAATCTCCTGGTGGAAATGTTGGTACGCCACCGCTCACTGGTTATGGGTGGGGCATTGTGAGTTCAAAAATATCATGAGTGGTGACAAGCGATAAAACTTTCTCTATTTCTCCCTCGGTATGGTGACTTTGAAGCCATGAAACACGTGCAACTCGCCGCCAGCGGCGATCCCATCAACTGCAGCTGTGGTGCAGCCTTTTATCCGCATAGAGGCCAGAGAGCGCGAGCTTCGAGCGGAAGAGGAAGGCCACAGATAGCAGCGGTGAAAACAATAGAGAATACCCTTCAGCCCTTTTGCCTGGGTGATGTCCATGAAAAGAGAAATTAATCTGAGGAATTCGTTGGGTAGAGATAAAAACTTGTACTTACAGTAAATAGTATAGCTTTACTATAACTTGGAGTCAACATTGCGCATTTATTGGCTTCTGCTCATTCCATTCGTGATCTTAGGTTAGCAACGGACGGAGCTACACCCTGCGGGCAGTTTCGCCCTTGTGACCACATGAAGTGGTCCACTTCTCATTCTTATAATTAGCCGTGTGTCTGGATAACCGACGCTGATAAATCCCCGTCATGGTGACCTAAGTACGAAACCGGCCGCAGATTATACCTCGTCCGCTACTAAGGTAACCTTTAGACACATTGGAACGACTCGTACAGACCCCTCTTCATCGTCTAGAGTCTCTACTCCGGGATGGCGTGGCTGCTACTACTGCTCATCACAACCACCTGCTGCATCAAGCTAGTCTCTGCCGGGGAATACCCTGCCGGTTCCTTGGCACCTGTCTCGATTCAGCATGGGTACAGGAAATGGAGAGCGAGCGCGGCATCTCCAGCAACTTGCTGGCAGCAAGTCCCGCGACTCCAGCGGCAGACTCGTGCACCCGTTTCTCCAGCCTGCGCTCAAGTATCCTCGATACAGAGTAAGCTTACAGCAGAATTTTGCATGCTGTTCTGGTGGTTAATACTGGAGCTAATGGGTTTTTGCCTCCCTATTATCTTAGATCGACGACCCACGGACGTCTTCCGTGACCACATTCTCTGATAGTTGCATGCCTGAAGGGCACGTATTTTACGGTGCAGATCACGACGCTGACGGCAAGACTCGCGGTGAGGTAAACGGCACGCTAGTGTTGGACATTGGCGACTGGGACACGCATTGGCTTGCATCGCTGGTGCTTGCGATTCTCGCGGAGGAAGTGGTGCGTATATACTATTCAATTCAACACTCCAGGAAAAATAACGCCATTTTGATGCAGAACGGCTATAAGGTATCGATCAGTGTGGGCGGTGAAAGCAGCGACGGTCTTCAGCGAAGACAGGTCTGTGCACCCCAACGCACGCGAATACCGAGGTCTGGATCTCCAGCTCCATGTGAAAGTTGAAGGCCTACACCCACGACAGCTACCGAGTTGGTGGAGTCAGGTACTACGGGATTCAATGACCACGGACGGCTGGATGCTTCGCCGCCTGCTCGAGAACAAGAAGCCAACTACAACTTCTAACTTCGAAGATCTAAGGCGGAGGGAGACAGCACTTAGCGTTCGCACTGTTGTTCGTAAACCAATTGATGTTTTTTTTTCTTCATGAAATGGCACTGAAGTTTGCTTCTGGCTCAGAATAAATCCTACGAAAGCGGAAAAAAAACGTGACCCTTTCTGTCAATATCAAATAGGTGAGTCGGAACGTGTTCAAGCACCAACCACACGACGTCACAGCGTCGGGACGACACTGCACTCAGGATGCAGTCGCCACTCCAGTCGACGCGAAGACCCACGTCTCGAACTCCGTCCATCAAGCTACATGTATTGTTACATTTGTGAAAAAAACTGCAACATTTCAAAGCACCCCTTTAGCGCAGCTTGTGATATCAATTCCAGATCTATGAAAGGTGCCTTAACCCTTTGAAACGGTACAAATGCAGAACCGAGACACAGTGTGTAAAATAAAATAGTTATGAGCTAATCAATTGTATTCAAGTTACGCTCCTGTACCCCAACGCAGTAGCGCCTTCACCAATATTTTTTGGCGGTGGACCTATGATTACACACAAAGCCTCAACTGGTGAGCATTTTCCAGACGTCGTCCGATACACGAGTGGGGTAGTGCTCAAGGAGCCAACGTCCGATATCACGACTCGGTGATTTCATCCGAGCTGGTCCAGGTGAGCACCCTTCGCTTCTGACTGGGTGCAACAGAAGCACGGCCTCGAAATGGCCTCCCATCGCGGCATTATCCATAGCTGCAGCCGACCATTTGTCCGGGTATTTTTCATGCAGCCAGCGTAGAACTCGCACGTGTCCATGCTGAGCAGCCTTGGCTACCGAAGCTTTTGAGCAGCCCTCGGATCGGTTCGTCTGGAGCCACTTCATCACATCCAGGGCTCCGCTGCGTGCGGCGCCGTCCATCGCCTTGCTGGTGCAGCCTCCGTCCGTGTGCTCATGCCGCCATTTAACAACTTCAAGATGACCTCCGCGGGCTGCTCCATCCATGGCCTTCATGGTACAACCCACTTTAGTGTGCTCGAGAAGCCATTTCACCATGTCCAGGTGGCCGTTAGCCGCTGCAGCGTTCATTGCATCCATAGTGCAGCCTTCATTCCGGTTCTGATGTAGCCATTGGACGACTTCCATGTGACCATTAGCAGCCGCACCATCCATTGCTGCAGTGGTGCACCCAGGTCTTGTAGGCTTCTCCGCCCAGGAATTCTCTGAGTCAGAGAACACCGAGTCTGCACTTCTCATCGACTCATCGCCCGTGTCCGCACCATCTTGATGCTCCTCATCACCTGCAGCTTCTTGACAGATTTCGTGCAAGTACTTGACGACGTCCAGGTGCCCGCCCACCGCAGCTGCATCGAGTACACTGAAGTACTTGTCGTCCTCTTCTTCATACATCCAAAACATTTCCATCCCGAGCTTCACACTGAACTCCGAGTACAGCCACTTGACGACGTCAAGATGCCCATTCCTTGCCGCAGCGAACATCGTATCAATCGAAACTGCGTCCGCGTCGAACATGTCCAGCTGACGGGAGATATACTTCAGCGTCCGCCCGGAGTCGCCCTTGCTCTCGCATTCTTTCTTTCTCCGTTTTGGGAGTTGCAGCCCGGTCATAGAGATACTTGGCGACTTCCAAGTGTCCACCGATGGCAGCGGAATTCATGGCAAGACCACCGTTTCCTCCCAAACTGGTAATTGGAAAGTCATCGCCGAATCCATGAGAAGGATAAAAGCCACCCCACTCGCGTCGTCCTCCTCTTCGTCATAGTCGCCACCGCCACTTTCCTCGCCCATATCCTCGCGATCTGTGTCGATAATCCAGCGCACAATGCCCATGTGGCCATTTTCCGCAGCCCTCAGCAGCGTTCCAGCACTGGTCTCACTGTCGTAGTCGCCCTTCTCACGAACATACTTGAGCATGTCCAAACTCCCCTTGGCAGCAGCTTCTTGGGTTCCCTCGCAGGGCGAAATATCAAGTTTCTTCTGCAGCCACTCGACGAGGGCGACATCTCGACCAGCAACCGCAGCCTTCATCACGGTTTCTTCTTCTCTGTGGCCGTGTGCGTCCTCGTAGAGCCACTTGACGACATCGCCGTGGCCCGCACGAGCAGCTTTAGCCGCGTCATCGCCACCCCAGCGGACCTTTCGTTTGCCACTATCTTCCTGCTTCATTTCGTCATCATTTTCTTCTCCCTCATCGTTGTCGGCATTGCTTTCTTTGAAATATTGCAGAATCTCGAGGGCGCCAGCTCCTGCGGCTTGCATCACGACACTTCGAGCCACGTAACACTCTGGAAAATGGCCAAACAGCCACTTGACCAGTTCCAAATTCTGGAGTTTGACCGCCTCAATTAGAGACAACGTGAACTGGTATTGTCGGTAGTGTTTTTCCGAGCGGAGGAAGCCGCGGATGGACCAGGAAGTCTTCGGATCTTGCTCCAAGTCGATGGAGCTGTCCCAGATGCGGTCTAGCAGCCGCAGCGAGCCAAACCGGCAGGCTTTGTGCAGTGGCAACTCCACGGAGGTGTCCAAGAAGAGCGACACTCCGTGCGGCACATGCTCCAGCGAGGAAAAGTCCGCTCTAGCGTGGAAGATCTCGGTCATGACGAGTAACGGGGAAGGAAGTGCAGCCATCTTGGCAAATAAATTGAAATGCAAAACAATACAGTACAGTCAAACCTGTTTGTATGATCCTCTCTATTTGAGCCATAGGCTTTGTCGCTACCAAATATTTCACTTATTTTTTGTATGATCTCTGTTTATATGCATACAAGGTATATGAGTCACATTTTTGGGGACCAAATTAGGTCTCACCTGTTTATTTGATTCACACTGCTCACGGCCACACACTCTTCAAAGCACCACTGCTCAACACTCAACGCCTACCGCAAGCCTTCTTCGCTCGCCATGTCTCCTCGCACCTGTCTGACGCTAGAACAAAAGCTCCAAGTGCACCTAAAGCTCAAACAGAATCCTGGCATGAACAACCCCATGCTCGCCGAGTGGATCTACGCAACTTTCAAGGCCCGGGTCAGCCGTGCCACGCTCGCCCGACTGCGCAACCTGCCTTCTTCCTACTTCAGCCACGTCGACCTGAGTGCGACCAAGCGGCGCCGAATGAAATCCCCTCTGTTCGAGCGGGAACTGAGGGAATTTTTCTTTCAGAACGAAGCTAAAACGGCGATGGCGGACGACGTGCTCCTGCTGAAAGCGCATGAGCTGGCGGACTGCTTAGGCATCGATGCCACGCAGCTCCGGCTAAGCAACGACTGGCTTCAAAGCTTTAAGAAGCGCAATGGGATCCGCTCCCATACGCTACACGGCGAAGGTGGCGCTGTAGAAGCTGATGAAGTGCGAGATGCGAGGCTAGAGCTACAAGAGTTGGTGGCGCAGTTTACACCCGAGAATGTGTTCAACTTCGACGAAACGGCGCTTTTCTATCGCTTAGCGCCTAATCGAACGCTAGCTACGAGGGCAAGAAAAAGGAGAAGCAACGTTTGACTTTGGCCTTCTGCTGCAACGCGACTGGCTCCGACAAGCTCGACCCAATAGTCATAGGTACGGCCAAGAACCCGAGGTGCTTTAAAAAAGGAACGGCGATTAAAGGTAAACCTATATTGTACAAGTCCTCCAAGAACGCCTGGATGACATCCGTCATTTTTGACGAATGGCTGCACCTCTTCAACATGAGAATGGCGGCCGCCAATCGCAAGGTCCTACTTCTAGTCGACAATGCTTCATGCCACAAGATTCTACGAAACCTGACTGATGTGACTGTTCACTTCCTCCCTCTTAACATGACATCCGCCGTACAGCCGCTGGATGCAAGTAAATATTTTATCTATATTGTGGTGTAGCCTAAACTAACCAACTCTATTACGGTGTTTTTTTTATTCAGGTATTATCCGGTCGTTCAAGGCTCGGTACCGAAAGTATTTTGTGCGGTGGTGTTTGGATGCACTTGAAGCTAACATTACACGCAAGCTCAACGTACTGGAAGCTGTCCAATTCTCCATTGATGCTTGGGCGGGTGTGACGCCAACGACAATTACAAATTGCTGGGTCAAGACTCGCATTTTGAGAGGAAAGATGCTAGGATGGACCCGTGCTGACACGGATTACATTGAGGAGGTATCCAGCAACGAGATGGAGGAGTTAACGGCGATGCTATCGAGGTGGGAGGGCGCTGTTAGCGCTAGTGAGTATCTGGCAGTGGACGAAGACGTTCCTGTGCACGAGCCAGATGTGCTAGTGGACGAAGCGGCAGGAAGTGATGCAGTTTCGCAGGACGAGCAGGAGGAAGAGGAGGAACAGGAACCCGCAGTTCAACCTGCCATTGCTCTGAGACACTGCATGGAGCTGGCTGCATTTCTGCTGCAATGCGGAGAGCAGACTGACAGAGAACAAAGAGCTTTACAGACCGTGACCGCTTTGGTTCGAGAGACTACGGTGAAGGCAAAGCGGCAGCGAACTATGCACGATTTCTTTACGTGCACCACATAATTTTTTTTAACTGAGTCCATTTTATATGAGTCAATGTAGTAGATGGTCACCAACAGGGCCTCATATAAACAGGTTTGACTGTAATTCTTTTTACATAGTTTATGTCACGTCATATGTATCAGAATGATTGCATAATCTGCGGGTGTAGCATCATGTGAGATCTTGGCATCGAGCTCGCTCGCACAAAAACGACAGGCAAACTGGTATCCTAATTCCCAAAGCAGCTCGTTACGTGTATAGAGCACATTTGAAGCTGAAGCCCTCAATGAAGTTGGAGAAAAATAAACTGTTAACTTATTAAGGATATGCTCTCGTTTGTAGCTCACCAGTCGACTGTGACCGCGCAATATTTCTGCTGTTGGTTGCATGAACTCTTGTCTGATTCCAGCCAGATTCACCATCGACACCTATTCGTCTATCCCGTTGCGTCTTGGAACTCGGCATGGCGAGCGAGGACCCAATCGTGGATTTCTGGAGTACCGTTGTCTTGGGTCGCTGCCGCACTCTCTTCAGTGCACTGTTGGTGGCATTGAAAGTAAAGAAACAACAACGCCTCGAAGCTGTCGTTTACAGCAGCAAGATCCGCCGTCGCACTTGTACAACCCTCTCCACGATGAGAATGTAGCCATTGCAGCACAGTGAAATGCCCCTCGCTGGCAGCGTTGTCCATAGCTTTTCCCGTGCAGCCCTCGGATCTGTTGACGTGTAGCCATGTGATGAGACTGAGCTCATTGTATTTTGCGGCCTGATCCATTGCGCTAACCGTACACCCTTCCGACCGGTTGGAATGCAGCCACTTCACTACATCAAGGTGACCATTCGAAGCTGCATCATCCATGGCTTGAGTCGTGCAACCAGCGGTGGTATTCTCGTGTAGCCACTTCATAACCACCAGATGGCCGTGAGCTGCAGCGCCATCCATGGCGCGTGTTGTGCACCCTTCAGATCTGTTGGAGTGCAACCACTGCACTACTTCGAGGTGTCCATTTGATGCAGCGTTATCCATCGCTGCCACTGTGCAACCTTCAGAGCGATACGCATGCAACCATTTCACAACATCCAGATGCCCTCGTCCCGCCGCGCCATCCATAGCGTCCTTGGAACAGCCCTCCGACCGGTTCTGGTGAAGCCACTGGACAACACCGAGATGTCCATTAGCTGCGGCATTCGTCATCGCTGCCTGCGTGCACGTTGGACTGGATCGTGGCCTTGATTCATCTCGTTTACGCTTCTTCGTGCTCGCGTCCATCGATCCTTGCAGTCCATGCAAAAACTGCAAGACGTCCAGGTGTCCATTCGACGCTGCAGCATTCATCGCAACGGTGGTGGCCGAGGACTCTCCTTCAGCCTTTCGACCATAGTCGAATAGATCAACTTTGGGTTCCTCGCTGTACTCCATAACTAGCCACTGCACAACATTGAGGAAACCCTTTTGGGCAGCCCAAGTCATTGTTTTTCCGGATACAACTGTAGCCTCATTCCACGCCCCAAGCTGCGAGAAGAGCTTTCGTAGTTGGCGCCTCTGCCCAAGGTCTTGCAGTACAAAGTCGATATCATCTTTTGGGGCGGTCGAACGAGCACGGAGGTACTTGGCAATCTCCAAGTGGCTGTTGACAGCGGCCGTGTGAATAGCGAGGCTCGCCTCCCCGCCCAGATCCGTCAAGCGATACCCACTACCCTCGTCTTCATCATCGTCGCTGTCGTAATTGGTTATATCCCGATCAATCAGCCACCGCACCACTTCAAATTGCCCTGCTTCCGCCGCCTTGACCAGCACTCCTGCAACATTCTCCACCTGATCCTTGCTGTCCAACCACTTCAACACGTCGAGGTCTCCCGTTGCCGCCACTTTGTGCGCAATGCGGAGCCCAACTCGTCCCTCAGACCATTCATATCCATGTTGAATCAGCCACTCCGCCATGGGAATGTCCCCGTTCTTCACTGCGGCTTCAAGTGCACCACGGCGGTTGTTAAAGTCTCGGAAGTGGGTATGTGCCCACCATACAATGTCGTTCCGTCGACTCGCCACTGCAGCCCGGAGGAACTTCCCCGTCCACTCCACACACAGCCCCGCTCCAGCAGCTCGCACAGCTTCATCCAATGCAAAATTGCCTTTATCGTGGAAAAACTGCAGAACCTCCTTGCATCTTGCACTGGCGGCTTTCACCACCACTTGAGCTCGGACCGTGTAACCCGGAAACTTGGCCGCCAGCCACTTGACCATCTCGACATTTTTTAGCTCAATTGCCTCGGTCAGAGACAAAGTGAACTGATATTGACGATAGTGGCGGTCGGTTTGGAGGAATTCGCCCAAACTCCAGGAATTGTTGGGGCGGGGGAGTTGACTATGGGCCCAGAGACGCTCGAGCAGCTTGAGCGAGTTCCGCTTGCAGGCCTCGTGCAGCGGCAGCGCGATGGACGAGTCCAGGAAGAGCGAGACGGCGTCCACGACGTGCGGGAGGTCCGTGAACTGGCCCTTGGCGCGGAATAGCCACGCCACGGCCAGCAACGGAGGAGGAGTTCGGGCTGGCTCGGCCATTTTGAAGTGCAAGAAATAATAGAATGCGTTTAGAACCCCCTGGGATAGAATAGTAAAGTTATACTTATGAAGAGGTTGCCAAATTCACAGGTCGAACGAAGACCTGTGCTTGACCCCGGCAAAATACTTATAACTTTCCAAAACCCGGTACCAAACCGGGTCTCTCTTTCTTAATTGTAATGTTTAAGCTAATATCTGCCGGAATCGGGTACCCGTCGATAAATGCTAAGATTTATGCACATTATTTACCAAAGGTGGATACTGATCGTTTATTACTGACCAAAACCTGCATTCAAACACTTACGGACGCTCTAGTACACTATGAGAGCGTCATGGCTTCGCTGAATGCGTATCAATTTGCGCCATAATCGACCAAGGTTAGCTGAAGATGAACGACTTGACTTGTCTAGCTGCAGGCTGCATTTTTTTACATGTCAATTTGCTCAATACCCAATCACTCTTAGCCGAAGATGCCCAACCTCGTGTCTGTCGCCAAACCAATCAGCTCAACTCGACAGTGACACGAGCATCGTTCATTTGAATAAGACTTTTTTCCCTCCGTTGAAGCACACACTTCCAAGGAACTGGCCCATTTGCGTATATCTCATTCCGCAATTTATCCCCCAAGCCCTCAAGTTAAAAGTTTGTTTGTTTGTTTTGTTTTTGAATTGAGGATCATTATTGTCACTTAGCCAACATCCTCAAGTTAAATGGTCAAGATCAGCGCACCATGCGTCTCTCCTTCGTTCCGCAACTGTAGCTCTCTCGTCTGATCGTTAGCACACAACATAGTACAAAAATGAGCACAGTATACCTTACCTGCAAAATGAATGAAATAGCTCTCTCGTTGCTGGCGCCAACGCAGCCATTGGACGCTGACCAGGGTGCTATGTCACCGATGGCCTCATCAGACCAGGCAACCTCAATTGGTGACTTTCGGTTCCTGAGAACCCACCACGATAAAGAAGAGCGGGGCTTGCTGGTTACCAGCCTCACAAAGGTTTGGCTGAAACATCATGACACTTCGATGTGCGCAACTATTTGTTCAATTACGCATTCTCGGGCAGATGCTGCGGCTGCGAAGCAGGCGCAGTAGATGCCCATGCTAGAATAAACTAGAGAGTTGGGCTGGTAGTGCTTTTAAGGATTAAAAACAAAACAACGTTAGGATTTACTCAATTATTATCCATTATCATCGCCCATGAAACTATTCGTCGACCTGTGTACCCCCCCCCCCCCCCCCCCGGAGCAACGCTCCGGATTACCTATTGGTTTATGCGAGCTTGACAAAACCTTGTAATCACGAATGGTATTGGATCTGATCAGCAAAGTGCGTCATTCTTGAAGTTGCTGCCAAAACGACAAGAGTCTCCTACGCATCAAGTTTCCTGTTTGACGATGCGTCTAGGATTCGTCCTGTTCGCAGCTGTAGCCAGCCTTCTCGCAAGCTCCAACGCTCTCTCAATCTCTAAGAAGAGTGAGAGCTCTACGGTTGCCAAGAGCCCGCCTGGAGTCACCCGTTTCGTCGATGGAACCATACCGTCCACCCGATCACTGAGAGGGCAAGACCCCGCGAGCGAGGATTCCGACGATGAAGAGCGCGGTGCAGCTGAACTCGAGCGTGTGGTCTCAAGTTTGCCCAAAAAGGCTCAGAGTTCGGTTTCCTCTCTCAATATATACGACGAGATCAAGGCGCTCGAAGCGTATTATAAACAGCTTCAAGCCTCGTACATGCCGGTGTTCAAGGATCTTGCGCTAGTTAAGGGGACTACTCCTGAGCAGGTCGGCAATAAGCTGGGCATGTGGAAAAATAATTCTAGACCATGTCGATGGATCAGCTGAACCACGACGCAAACTTCCACTTTTTCAAAGAGTACAAGAGATACTGGGACACGTTTGACAACAAGGAGCCGGCGAAGCTCAAGCGATCGGTCTCTAACCTGTCCTGATCCCCCCTCACTTGTAGAGTGAGTGAAGAGCATTTTTGCGCAATAGAATGTTCAAATGAGAATATCATCATTGAAAACCAGCTCGCTTTCGGCATTACATGTACTACCATGCAACCTTCATCTCGCATCCGATGCAGCAGCAGCATGATCCCGCTGTACAGCCTTGACAAAGGCGTTCGTGACAACGGATAAAAGGGCATTTGCCATGCTAGTCATGCAACCTTCTGACCGATCTCTGTATAATTGACGTCGTGCATGTGGCCTTCTCGTGCTACGAGACCCATTAAGTCCATTGCAACTGGTGAACGACCTTGACGAAACTATGCTTCCTTGCATTTAGTATCTCCCACTCTCCTGACCTCGAGGACGACCACCCTGCAGATATGCCTGAGTTTTATCGAGATATTATCATTCATGGTGTGTTTCCCTCTCAGCATTGTTGTCCTAAGCGTTTTGCATCGTACTTACCGATTGTGAAAAGCGAGTTGATCATTAATACTTAGAAGAAGAAATTCGACAGGAAAAACGGTGAATTATGCTCACGGAGAGAGAGGTAGCTGTAGCTGTAGAATGAGCTAGGACGGTAGGTTACACTACACGAATCCGTTTCGCTGAGCGTACAAATACTGGGCCAGGGCTTTGGTGTCCGTCTTGGAAAGTCCGAAGGATTGTTTTGCGCTTTTGATGAAGCTCTTGAGAGAGGTTTTAAACCCTCGTTCTTCATCGTCGTCGTCGTCTTGATTCGAAGTGTCAGCAGGTTCAGCTTTGCGCAGGTGTCGCGTGCCCTCGTTTAGAGTTGTCTCGACGTCGTGGACCATGTCTGGCGATGCCATAGTCAGAGTCGCACCCTCGTTGGAAGTGAGCGCGTTAGTGCTGCTCTGTACTGCAGCCGCGACAACGAACGCGAGAAGGCAGGTCAGACGCATACTTGACGTTGCCTTTGAAGAGTTGGAAGAGGGGGCTTGAGCGCAACCAGGAAAATCGGAGAATAAGCTTGTGTTCATCCTACATGTTTAAGCATTCGATCGACAGATTCAAGAGCCACGCATACTTACAGATGTAAGATGAAATGAACGTGCACGAATTCTTAGGGACATTGATTTGTGCTAAAACCACTTTTGCTGGTAATCAAGTTCGGTCGAGTTGCATCTTAGAAAAATCAAGGTACTGTACCATAGTGTACAATCTACTGTAGGTTCATTCGATTGTTTAATTGTATTCATAAACATTTGGCATTCTGATAATTGAAATCTATGACAGAGTTACAGTGTAATTGTCCACTTTGGCCTAGACAACCACAGGACCTTCAAACTTGTAAGCATTTGGCTCTGAACTTATTGTAATCATGAGCATAATTCAGGAGAGATTTTCGCGACGGGACAGGCTACCCTCCTCCTCGCTGTGCTGCTGTAAAACAAACGACAGAGGTCACAAGACAAGGCCTCACTCACCAAACATATGCCAGACCACTAACACTGATTTAAAAGGTACATGTGTCATTGGATATCTTGGATATATTGAACTGCCAGTTGTGTCAAAATGAAATCTACGCTGCCCGCAACGCCGCCAGCATCGCATCGCGATAGTGTTCCATCAGCCACTGGAAGATCTCGGACATGAGCAGATCGTCTTTCTTCATTACTACCTTGCAACCTTCATCCCGCATCTGGTGCAGCAGCAGCATGACCTCGAAGAGTCGCGGTCGGCACGGCGTAGACCAGCAAAGGTCATTTCCGAAAACTTCACCTGCTGCACACTTGCGACTTCTACACGCTCCTCATAATGAAGGCCCAGATCGTCCTCGCTGCTCTCGCCGCTCTGTTGTTGCCCGTGTAAGCGCCTGTCGATGGCTGGATCCATAAACTATGTTTCTGACCTCTGCCTTCAGTCAGTCATGGTGCAAATTTACAGTGTACTGGAGCGATCGACCAACCTAGTGGCCCCGTTGCCGAGAGCTCGGCGTCCGACTTCACCCAGAAGGCATGTACCGCGTCGGGCGGTTCGATCGAACCTAACAGGAAGGGTAACGATAAGTGCTGCGTCGTTTCCAACCAAGGCGCATTTTTCAGTTCGTGCAGAGGACTCAAGGCTGGAAGCCAATTCCCGAATGGCCGCCCCATTCCCGCGCAGTGCTGGGGTAATTGATGATAACCATTTTGCTGCTATGGAGAGTTCACACAGCAATTGTGTTCCATGCTACATGGCGTCTACGCAACGATATCCATTTTGAGGAAGCAGCAACAGAGCAACCAAGCACTCAAGGTTTGATGAGTTCATTTCGCCGACATTGTCAATACATGTTCCAGCATTCTGAAGAGCTGAAACTGGACGATGATGCAATAAACTCGGTGCTTCAACGACTTGGGTTTGATGCACCCAAACCAATTAGTTTACCCCAACAGGGTTGTCGAATTTGGATTCCGCGGCCATAATTGAGTTGTCCAAGTAGATATTACCATAACTTACCGTAGCTAGCGAAACCGCATGGCCACTACAGAATTCTGCCCGAATAAGGAACGGGTGTACAACTAATAGCCTCACATATTTAATATTATTTTCCAGTCGATGTGGCGATAGGGGGATGTGCAAGGTACTGCAAGGTACTGAGGTACTAAGGTGAAAAATCCAGTGCCAATCATCAGCTCTCCACCCTCGTTTGAAAAATGGCGCGCATTTAGCAGTAGTAGGATCCAGCACAAAACCCAGTCAGTTTTTTTCTCCCCGTAATTTACCATAGAGAACAGTCGTAGAACGTTCTCCGTGAAAGAGGTTATTTCAACGATGCACACGATCACTACCCTCTGGTGAGAAGGAACACCCTTATCACCTCCAAGCGCCGCATAAAGCAACAGCAACCTCACATACATCAAATGATCATTTCAACGGCACGGCCTCTCGATAACTTAGCACGAAAGGACGCACTCAAAGGATCTGAGGATAGTTTCGGAACCGCTCAACTGTTCAGAGGCAAATCTTTAAATGACGTTTAATCCTGACAAATAAACTACGAAGTATATAATATCATCATAACTAAGATAATGTGCATGTTTGTATTGAAAAACGGAAATGTTTGTAGTAAGGCTCCGTCAAAAGTTCGTTGTATGAAGCATTCGATAGTAGTATCAAACGTGGAAAAGGCAGAGGCAATGATTACGAACATTTTTAAAGCGAGACTTCACCACGACATTTCGTGTCCTTGTGGCTACGTAGGCAAACGGTGGAACTATGCCCATCATTGTCAAACTAAGAGACATAAATCGTGGACAACATCAATGCCTGAATCTTTGCATGGTCATTCATGGAGATCGAAAACTGTAGAAGAATTGACCTGGGTACAAGCTCGTTCAAGCTAATCCGAATTCCAGAATATTTTTTTTCAAAAAAAATACCATCAGCTTAGGCGAGCTCATCAAGAGCACCCTTCAGCTTAGACATCTTCTGATTAACGAATTCATTCTTCTTCAACCATTCGATGTAGTTGGAATCGATTGCTTGGATTTGTTTGATCGTTCGACCTTTGAATTTGCCCCAAGTCATTAAGAATGACCCATCATCGTTGATGAATTTAGCTTTGAGAAAATCACAAATGCCAGGCTCGGAATCAATGAGAATCTTCTGATTCGACAACCAACGACAGTAGCCTGGATCAGAAGCATACACTTCTTCAATCGTCTTGGATTTATGCTTACCAAAATTTAAAACTAAATTCATGATTATTATCGACTGTATCTATATACAGAGCCAGCAGGAAATATTTGAATTTTAATTAATTAATTCGAATACAAGCTACAAGATGACCATTTATGATCTAAGGAATAATGAATCAATCGTTGGCTTAAGTCTGAACAGTTTAACAGATAGAGGAGAGTCAGAATTACTTGTGTCCCAGGTTGAGATAAATGTAAAAGTTAAGCAAGTCGCTCGTGGGATAGGAAAAACACTCCTCATAGTAAAAAGCAATGATCGTAGAATTAAGCTGAAGAGTGGTGATTATATAGTTATCGGATCATACAAACGATAGCTTAGTTAGAGGTATATTCGAGTACCTCTCCAGTCAATCGATTGTACGTCATCTCATTTTCAAAGCCAACCAGTACAAGCATGTTGCAACCCTGTGTCGAAGCATTCGTTCCCATAACCTGGATGCTCTGTGGAACATCCTTCTCGGTCAGACGAGATACGTCTGCTACAAGCACACGATTGGTTTGCTGCCAGGTTTGGTAATCGATCAGACCATTCGATAGTTCCTTAGTTAGATCACCATTAATCGATCCAAGCTTAGCGAACTCTTTGATGAAGTCCTGGAAATCGTAGTCATACGAGATATCAAATACTTGCTGCGAACCAATACGAACATTAAAGTTGCGAATCGACGAACCAGGCTGAACAGTCCAAGGGGCACTATCGAAACACGACTGGAACTGCTGAATAGTAGAGCTATTGAAATTTCCAGACGAAGTCTCAGCAAACGGTAGAAGAGCAACTACCTTGGCATTCTTAAGACTGGCAGACAGCTGTAGATCGAATGCAGTGTTCAGCTGAGTAGAGCTGACGCCAGTACCTGCGCGTTGGTAGAACCATTGCGCATAGTAATCCATGTATCGGACAGTCTTGTTAGGCTTGCTGATCAGAGCTTGAGGATTTTCGAGATCAAGGAATGGTACGTACAGACGAGTAGTAGTAAAAGGGAAATAGGTGCTATCAATGGTTGGCTCAAGAGAATTGGTAATAGCACCCCATGCCACCGAGATCTGACCTGCGGTCGTAGCATTAAATACTCCACTATTAGGAGCAGACCCAGCCGAAGAGGCTACCATGATCGGGCATGATTGACCAGAAACAAGCATAGTCGATGAAAGCGACATAGCTTTAGTAGTGCTAAGGTTGATTACGGCCGATCCCTGATTTACGCGGAAACGAAGCTTGATCTGAGGATTAGCCATGAGATCAAGCTCCTTGAAGATCGGGTGGAGATCAACCAACTTGATCTTGAGCATGTAATTCCACGTTCCTGCGATAGCAGCAGCAGCAGTTCCACCGGGGACGAAGGCCCCTCGCCCAAACTGGTTAGCAATAGTGTTCGCAGCTCCAGAAGCGATACTAACCCAACCGTTAGTGTTCTGACCGCCTGCTGTAGGTGGATTGGATAGAAGACGCTTTACGAAGCCTTCGTTGGATGCAACAACTCCAGCACCTGTAGAAGCCGTACCCAAAGCAGGAGTGATATCCGAAGCCGTATTCGAATAACCATCACCATACAGGCTGCTTGTAGCAGACGAGAATAACAACGAGCCAGAGCTATCGGGGAATAAGAAATCCTCAGCACCATGCTTATTTACATAGTCGAGTGAGGTCTCTGCTTGAGCACGAAGGTTGTTAGCAAACAGCTTATACTCACTCATCGAAAGCAAGCTCTTACCATTAAACTCCAGCGACATACCATCGATAACATTCCATACACCGCATTTGAGACCAACGCTCAGTCGGTTGGCAGCCGCAGCAAGCGCAGTAGAAGCATGAGTATTCTTCATACTCACCTTGTACGGAATGACAACGTAGGCATCTCTGAGGCAGGCAAATCCCTCAGCCCCATTAAGCTGAGCTGTAGCATCAATCGTAATAATACCATTCGCATACGAACCCTGGTTTAGATCGATGACGTACGGCACACGCTTTCGAGAGCTGACCTTAACGGCCGGATCGCTCTTAAGCGAAGATTGGTATAGGAATTGATCAGCGAGCTGAGTATCGGACATAGTTGATTCAGTTATATACACTCCAATATAGCTTTGGTGAAAAATAATTAAATGAATCTTGTAAAACCAATATCATCAGATCACGATCTAATAGCTTTAGCTAAGAAGCTCAATGTTCATATTGACCACATTTATGAGTCAAGCGAGATCAAAAAGCCTCTTCCAACGAAAGGATCGTTCCTGATTCTACTACGTAAGCCGAGCCAAGACATAGGTCATTGGACAGGTGAATATTTCGATTCAATGGGAGAAGGGCCACCGAAGAAATACGGCATCAGCAAATACAACGAGATTCAAACTCAATCAGCTCACGGCTCTTATTGTGGTATTTGGTCGCTGCTATGATTATATGCAAAGCAGAACAATCGGATGGATCTATTCAATAAATTCAAAGATTTAAATATTTTTGTTGCAGATTAGTTCTGAGTTAATATATACTACCACGCAAACGTTGTCCCCAATCAACAAATTATGTATAACGAACTTATCATCTCGAGCGGTGTTCCCGCCCATAAATTACGAAAGGCTGCCAATACTGGTAAGCTATCCCTTACAGCAGCAGAGCTACAAGGGTCAGGAGCTAAGATCCATTTACATCCTGAATCGCATGAGAAAGCTCTCAAAGCTAAGAAGGCCGGACGTGGAGTTCGACTCCACATAACTAAGCATGAAATCAAAAAGGGCTACAAGCGAGCTCAGGGTGGATCTATTTGGTCAAAAATTTGGCATGGAATTAAATCTGGATTTAAGTTCGCTAAGGATAGTGGGTTGCTATCGAAGGCAGCTGACGTAGCTGTTCCAGCTGTTGCTACTGCATTTGGTGCTCCTGAAGCTGGGATTGCAGCCAGAGCTGGTCTTATATCGCTTACTGGAGTAGGATTGGACGGTTATGAGAGCGATGAAGAAGGAGGACGTATCAGTTTCTCAGATGTAAAACGACATGCAGGCAGTGCTCTTCGCTATTCTAAGACAAGAGGAATCATCACTGATCTAATCGACGAAGGTGAGAAATATCTTGTCAGCAAGTCTGATCGACCAGAGCATCACGAAATGATTCATAGTGTTCGTAGAGGTATCAAAACCCGTTTCGGTGTAGGTGTAGCTGGCAAGCGTCGTAAGGCCAAATTCACAAAGGGCTCTCCTGAAGCAAAGGCTCATATGGCCAAGCTTCGTGCTATGCGTAAGAACAAGGACGGGGGATCTTTCACAATGTAAAGGCTGAAAAAAACTTCATTTTTTTATGCTCGACGCTTGCGTAGAAGTAGCATAATATTAACGCTCGTATCGCGGAAATGGACTCTTTGATCATTCTGATTCCAGATGCTGATGCTTACAGTACTCCTTGGTCCATCGTGGGTACGACACCAAGTCTCATGACTTGGGAAGTATTGAATCT